TAAGAAAGCCTAACACACAAAATTTAAATATGTGCTCTTCACTTTTCCTTTCTATTGTAACAAATCAATTAAGAGTTAGTGGTGAGAACTGGTTTACTTACTGTCATACGTTGTGAATTAGTTAAAAACTATGGACAAGGTGGGTGGGAAGAGATTAGCATGATTCATAAGGATGTGGTTTATGCTAGCGAAGTGGGTGATTAGGATGTGGTTTATGCTAGCGATATAAAACTGTTTATCCGGTCAAGGTTTCAATACAAAATATCTTATTATAGACTTTTTCGGTACAACTTTCGGTCCGATTTTACAATTATTATGATCCATAAAGGTATTAGATCATACCTAAAGTGACTCATATTCACTTTTAATGTTATTGAGTTTGGGTTGTGTCAAGGTTGTCAACCCGCGTGCGGACCCGGACCAGGTCGAGCTAGTGGTTCAAGGGTTAATGGTCACCCGGTTTAACCCGGAAATATAGAAAGAGTCATTATATTGTACTTATCCTGATAAATAATATCAAATCTCATCTAACATATGAGTTATAACATATAATATTCTACCAAAATAACATGTCGTACTTAGATCCAACATATAGTGAAAATTCACACACACTTATATAACATCAATATTCAAATGTTCAACTTAGAATTCCAAAGATTGAGTTAGGCGAAAAGAAAAATCGAAAAATAGGTGCATTTCGCAAACCAAAGAAAAAAAGACACTATTTGACCTCCAACCCGGTACCTTGTAACGGTCGACCCGACGGGTGCATGCAGCCCATATTTCTCACCGGGCCAGGATCAAAGTGAATTGACCCGCGGGTTGACAACCTTGAGTTGTGTATTAATTGGATCCTATTTGGGTCCATTAATTCAATTGGGTTAGATCCATATTAGTATAATTGGCTTTAGATGATTGTTATACAAAAAAAAAAATCTCAATCATTTCATTAACTATCTTCAACCAAATCATATACCTTTAATTAGGTGTTTCGACATTTCTATTTTTTTCGTAACAAAAGATAAGCAAAAATTGAATCATAATCTGGTAGTCATTTTCTTTTGGGTTAATACCTTATTTTGGCTTGAACTATGATCATATAATCAACTTTGGCCCGTGGTTTAAGAACTTAACATCCTGACCTCAACTATGCAGCATATAGACTCAATTGGCCTGACACATGGTTTGACTGTCAATTTGGATGGTCAACACGCCATATCATTGCCTCGTCAGCCTAAAAATTATTAAAAAAATCAAATTCAAATTATTTTCCTAATTTCTATTATTTATCATACGTGGACGTGGACGTGTTAGTGAATAGTATTAGGCTGGATATTTGGTCTGAACTTTTTGGTTTTATCCAAAACCGGACCGTATAACTCGGACCGGGAATGGATAGCAAACAATCGGTCAATCCAATTTTCGTGCCTAGATTTGAGGTAAAAAAATCGTTTGAAATCGGATCGAAAACCGGATAAGAGGGCCTAACACCCAAAATTTAACCTCCTCACCCTTTCAGGCCTTAGGCCACTAAAATCTCCACAAACTCAATCTAAAATTAAGACCGAATTGGGATCAGACCGGTTCAAGACCAGACTGGACTGTAACCAATACAATATTTGGTCATTATATTCTCGAAAAAACCGGACCAGAACCGATTCAATTCGAATCAATTTAACCGAATCATTTCATTAACTATCTTCAACCCAATTATATACCTTTAATTAGGTGTTTCGACATTTCTATATATATATTTTTTTTTTCATAACAAAAGATAAGGAAAAATTGAATCATAATCGGGTAGCCATTTTCTTTTAGACTTCCTGTACTATTAGTCCCATCTAGGCCCAATAACGAATATAATAAGATTTGTGCCATGATACTATTGATACGTACACTTTATTCCCCTTTCTGCATGCATGCTACGGCCACTTTGCTTCTTCTCATCATCTTGGAGGTTGAAAATCTTACTTCAATGTTTCGTGTAGCTCGGCGATTGAGCAATTTGCTACGACGGTGGCCGACTTGGCGCAAAAGCTAGCCGGAATCTTGGCCGAGAAGTACTTGGGGAGGAAATCGACATTCTTCGAAGACAATTGCGTCCCAAGCACTTGCTACCTTCGTATGAATAGGTACCCGCCTTGCCCGATGCCGGCGGCGGTTTTCGGGCTGATGCCGCACACCGACAGCGACTTCCTCACGATATTGCACCAAGACCAAGTCGGCGGCCTCCAGTTGGTCAAAGACGACGGCAAGTGGTTCGCCGTCAAGCCCAATCCTCAAGCGCTCATCATCAACATCGGCGACTTGTTCCAGGTAGAACGATTTGATCGGAAGAGAGACCTTAAAAGCAAGGGGTAGGTAAACGATTCGATTCAAAGGTCTTATTTTGTGGTTAAAATTTCATTGCAGGCGTGGAGCAACGGGGTGTACAAAAGTGTGGAGCACCGAGTGGTGACGAACCCGCACGTCGAGAGATTCTCGACGGCCTACTTTTTCTGTCCGTCGTACGATACCGAAATCGAGAGCAGATGCGAGCCTCCGATTTACAGGAAGTTTAGCTTCAGAGAGTATAGACAGCAAGTTCAGGAAGATGTTCGGAAATTAGGGCGTAAGGTAGGCCTTTCGAGGTTTGCCGTAAACGCTATATAGCTAGCTAATGATAGATCAAGGCACGTAAATATGCTATTTGTTTGACACCTAAAAATTATTTTGGTATAAATTAAATGTGTCTCGACATTTAAGTGATTTCAAGATGTCAACCTGATTGGTTATAATAATTACTGCGGATCATAGTCTACGGGAGATAAGAAGTGACGTTGTTTAGTGGAAAACAATGTCGCGGGAAGTCGTAGTCCCAACAACGCAACGGTACATAGCAAGCAACGTTGTTTAGTAGAGAACATCGACGTGAGCCATGCCAAGTAGTGGAATAGCCCATTGGTTAAAAGCGTGCAAGCCAAATAAGACCGATTGTCTGACAATGTGGCAATCCAGCATGAGCATATTTCATCACTATCTACCACCAATTACCACCTATACCACGGTGGTATTTGGAGACATATCGGATCGTAAATTTTTGTTCCATAAAGTATATTACAACAACTCATGCAGTCCAATCCTTCTATGTAAATCTTTTCAAATTTTGAGTTAAAAATGAAGGTGGTAAAGAGTGGTATTGTGGTGTTAACCTGTGGTATGAAATTTTCTCGAAATATATCAAAAATATTTATCATTTTGCATATCACAATCAACTCATTCTATTTGAGTAAAAAAAATTCTAATTTGAGTCAAAACAAAGAATATACTAATCGATTGTAAAAATAGGAAAAACCAAAAGTCTTTGAATCTCGACCCTTATATCATACCCCACTCAAAATCAAAGTAACATATTTGACTATGCATTAATATAACCAAGAGGTAGACACCCTACCCTATTCTGTTGTGCGCTCCTTAAAAAAAAAATAACAATCAAGAAATTGTAGTGAAGTAACGAGGAATGGACGGGGTTCTAATTCCAAATGCAAATTAGAGATTTGGTAATAAAATCATAATCAAAACTCATAAATAAGATTGTAAAATCGTAAGATTTTTATATTAAGATAATAATTTTGACTACATTATTTGCAACTACTATTAAATAGGCATATATACACATTAGAAAACCTTCCCCACATGAATCCCATGTGTTTCTGGTACACATAACAACTATCAGACCAGGGTCGACGCAGTAGCGGATCTCCAAACAGGTAACAGAATGCTGGTCGCCGAGGAGGACTACGTTTGAGGAGGCATCGGTGAATACCGGACGGCATGGTTCCCGCTCGCCAGGAGCCGGTGTCTCAAAAAAAGGGCCGTTAAGGTTCTCCGGCGTTGGCGCAGTTCGTTTTCTACGTGCGGTATTTCGTTTAGCGTATACAATGGTGGGGTTTCCACTGCCCCCCCCCCCCCCCCTTCGGAATCTTGGATCGTTACTACGCTATACTAACGCCCTGGAAAGATGGATCCACCTGCACTGTCTTTGTTCCACGTTGATGAATCGTTTTAAATATATCTGCCGAGTAGAAGTACATCTCCGTTTTAATATAGTTGTTATGGCTAGTTTTCTGAGTTGAGGAGATCGAAAAGGAGGAAAGTGATTGCCGGGCATTTGAAACTAATCCCAAAAAAACAGAGAGCTAGGAGAAGAGAGAAGATTGCCTAAGAAACGAGGTGGTGTGAGTTTGGCCATGGCTTCTGCTTCTTATTTATATAGCACTCACCACCTGCAACAACCTCATCGACCAAACGTATACAAAGCGTGACCTACCTTTCCCCACAAAATGGCGAACTGCATTTTCCACCTACTGTCACTTCCTCTCTGATCTACCTCATTGGGAATTTGTTTCTGCATGCAATGCAAGTTATATATAAAGAGAAGCCTATCATCTAAAGAGTTGTTAGAGTTGATGATTTAGGTTAGCAGCTGATGATTTGGATTGATGTAATTTACTTGTAATCATAAATTTTAGGTTTATATCATAAAATCCACTTTAAATTCATCTAAAGTTATTGAAAGCAATTTATTTACACAAAAAATCATAATCTATGTTATAGATAGATATATAGATTTGAATTGTTAATTAATTATAATGATAATAGTATTGCGCCTCATTTTCCTTAATAATTTATTACTGAAATGACACATTGAACTCTGAAATTTATAACACATATTCAGTTGCATAGTTAGAAATTCATCTAAGATATCTCAGACATGAAAAAATATAAAGTAAGTTTCAGAATGTGTTTTTATATTTTGGAATGTTTTTAAACTACTTGCAACAGACGCTACTAAGTATAGAGTTTTCACTTATATTAAACTGAATTATAAAATATATTAATCAGAAGTCAAATAGACATCACAAAATATTATTTTATCTTAAACGTGTTTACACTAATAAGAAGATTTTGTGTTAACTCACAATCATATAAAAATAAACTACTACGTTGTTTGTACATATGTTACATATATTGTGTTTATTAGTGGTTTATGAACTATGTGATTCGTATTTAAAATTATAATAATGATTAGAGTTGTATTATACTCAATAAACAAAATCGTATGGTAATCAAGTAATAGAAAACAATATGAAGCAGCTAAACTTGCTTTTAATTTTCAAAATTCGGTTTCAGAACTCACCGAAAATTTCAGTTAAACAAGTTTTTTTTTCAGGTTTTATTTCTCACGAAATCTACAATTTCGTTTTGACATTTTAATTTGTTTTCTGTTCTGTTGTGCGTTGAGGTTGAAGGATTGAATGGGCCGGCGCGTAGGAGTTCAGGCAGAGAAATGGCCCAAAGGCCCAGACTTGTCCACAAAAGTCCAAATTGGACAAAGAAGTCTGTCTTTTGTAAATTGTAAAGGTTTCGGCAGCTGAGAGCCCATTCATATGTCATCATCATCTCCCAGATTCAGTTGACTGATCAAATCTGTCCGGCGGAAAATGCTACATCGCCTCCGGCATTGAAAGAGCAAAACAGAACCGCCAGAGGGGAAGGCAACGACGATGTCGCCGCCGGCTTCCTCACGGTGGCGCACGACGGTTTCCGTTATCGTCCTGTCTTTCCTCTTCATCTCGCCGGCCACAGCCATCTACTGCGATGAAGACGATTGCTACGATCTACTCGGGTCGGCCGTCTCTCCCCTTCCCTCTCTTCATCGACATTGCTTTGTTCCCCTCTGCATCTCGATCTGATTATGAATTTCTCTTCAGGGTCACTCAGAGCGCCACCGTATCGGAAATCAAGAAGGCGTACTACAAGCTCTCGCTCAAACAGTAAGTTGAGCTGGAATTTTCCCTTTTTTTGGGGGGGAACTAGCTTCGTTTCAAGCTCGATTTCAATGCTTTGATTGTTTGGTTTCGATCATTTCTATATCTCAGTCACCCGGATAAGAACCCGGATCCGGAATCGAAGAAGCTCTTCGTGAAAGTCGCAAATGCCTATGAGGTACTGAAACAATGAAGAACATTCTTCGTCATTTGTCGAATTTTTGTACTTATCCTTATTTGGGATGGATTTCGAATGAATTTGACTGCAGATTCTGAAAGATGAAGCTACAAGGGAGCAGTATGATTATGCAATTGCACATCCAGAGGAGGTGAGAATTGTGGGTTGGGTTAGCGTTAATTGGATGATTGGAAGCAAACATTTTTGTGCATAATGTTCTTTGCTGCTGCATTTGGATTTTGGAATTTGGTTTAGGTATTCTACAATACTGCTCGGTACTATCAAGCGTATTACGGTCACAAAACGGTATGTAACTTGTTGTTGTCCAACTAGTATGATCCGATGTTCTTCCGAGATGCATCCATGATTTTGATGGTGGATAATTATACTGTTTTCAGGATCCTCGCATAGTCCTGGTTGGGCTTCTTCTACTGCTCTCAGGGTTTCAGTATCTGAATCAGATGTCTAGGTACCAGCAGGTAAACTGTTGAATGTTGGATGAACTACTACCATTCGAGCTGGTGTGGTTATGGAGATGGAAATCATCTACTAGGCGTGAAGTTGTGGAGATGGTGCTAAGAGTAGTTTTCTGTGCCCCTCATTTGTTTCAGGCAGTTGAGATGGTGAAGAAGACACCCGCTTATAAGAACAAGCTACGAGCTTTGGAACTTGAACGTAATGGTGGGCTTTCATCTAAGAAGAAGAATAACAGGCAAATGGACAAGTATGAGTTTTGTAATATTTGATCTGTTCAATCAGCCGCTTCAGACTGTATATTTAGTGGTCTTTTAGCTGATTCGTGTTCCAAATTATTGGCCTGAGTTGTACTTTGGTTATGGGTTTAACGAGTTTGAAGCTGTGTTGTGCAGAAAAGTAGAGGAAGATCTCAGCAATGAACTTCAGCTGGACATAAAAGGTGCTCATCAACCCTGCATCTGGGAACTTTTCGGCGTCCAATTTGTTCTGCTACCTTACACTCTTGGGAAGGTATGTTGTTCATGCGGATGTTCCGTTTTGTACTTTCAGATTCTTCTGGGACTGAATGTTTAGCATGGGGCTATCTTGATTAGCCAAAGAGAGAAAGCCCAGTGACATTTTTCTTTGTTCATAGTTGTTGTTGTGGAATGGCTGCTGGTTATGGAGATACAAGTTGAAGAAAGCTCCCTATGCTTGGGAAGATGCCTCCTATCTAACTCGTAGGTCACTGAGAGTGCCTCTTGAACAATGGGAAAACATCGGTAAGTATACTCCATGTTCCTTACACGACCCTGTCCTGTCGAATTCGAACAGGGAGCTAAGGCCCTTGGGATAGATCTCTTAGTTTATAGTTTATACAATTTCAAAGATCACCCTTAGAACCTCACCTGCCAGCTTAACCTGCTGTCTGCTGCATAGGATTGAAAACTCTGATGGCATAGAGTGAGCTTGTGGGACTGTCCTGTTCGGTCCAAAAATAGATGAACTATCGGAAAATCATGGAAAGATGAGAACCAGGACCAGTAGAATTTGCATTCAGGCCTGTCTGGTTTTATTCAAGCCATCTATTTGTGTCTATTTTAAGGCGCGATTCAATGTAGTTGTAACACAAAAGGTCCTTGGATTTGAAAATTGAAACTGGATGGAGTGAACTTAAATCCGATCCAAACATCGATGTGCTTCAGCTCGGTCTGCTACAGAATTAATCGTTGCCCACCCCTGATGAGCACATTGGGTCATAGTCTCTTATAATATATTGCGGCTTTGAAACTTCATGCCTGCATTTGCAAGCTCCGAAATCTTAAAAATTGGTTTTCTTGTTTTGTAGATGAATCGACGAAGGAAGATCTTGTTCAACGACGTCTGTGGGAGAAGTCGAACTTCGAGAGCTACGTAGCTGAAATGCGTAAAGACTCGAAGCGCAGGAGATAAAAATCGATGTTCTTGTAGCTTGCCCATCTTACTTATCTCTTCCAGAGAAGGAGGGACTGGCAAACCAACTGATGACACAAATTTTTGGTAGTCAGATACGGTATACATATACATGAAGCAATTCTGTAGCAAAGATACAGCTGAATGATTCAATTTGTATTGCTGCGGCAACTTCAGGTTCTTTCATTACTATGTCTGCAAGGGATTCTGGACCCAAAACTATATAGAAAGTAGAATGTGAAACCAATGAGTTGAAGTTTATGTTAGTGGATAACGTTATTTAGTGCTCAATTATCACTCTTGATGAACTTGTTGCGGATGTTTTTTTTTTTTTTTTTTTTGCCTCAGTAATGACAAATTGGAGAATTACAAGGATTTATACGATTGTGAAATGTTGCTACACTTAGTTTATGTTCAATTGTCACGATAGTTAAGCCATGGGAGTTAACACTTTGTGACGTTGCTATGTGGTATTTATTGTTGTCTTCTTGATGCAGTTCTCATTCCTTGGTTCACTGGATGAGAAATGGATAACTGAGCTGGCAACCTCTTTGTCATCAGGAGCCTGAGAACGAAAAGAAACATTCCGTCTTGGTGTTTCTCAAATAATATGACCTACAGTGGAAGAGATGTCAGATGTTTGATACGGGATAGATTTGGATAGCTCCCTTTTCTTGGCGGGAGTAGACCAGGTTTCTCTTTTCATGGCGAGAATGGCCAGGGGTTTCTTAATTCTGAAATTGCTTACCTATTATCCATTACGTTCTCAACTTAAATACACAAAAACTGGAATTGAAAAGGCCTATCTAAGTGGAGCTAATCCCACGTCTATCTATGCTAACCAACTAACCATAAGATGCTAAACCCACTCCACCTATTATGCAAAACACTCCTAAATACTCTAACAAATACATGACTCTTAACAACCATTCTTACCCACTAACACTACTAACCAGAACTATCAATTAAGTCCAAACCCTACAACAATAATCTTGATACGAGGCTTTATTATGGGTTTATCAATGTTCTTTGGAGGTATTGAGAAGTAGATCGTGGCTAAACTATATAGCGCTGTCGAAAAGCCGATGCTCGTCCATTCTTCATGATCAAGACCTGATGTTTTGTCCTATTATTCGCTATCTGTCAACCGCTAAATAATCAAAACCACATCCCTGCTATTCGCATTTCGCAGTAGTTGATTGTCAGTGCAGTGGTCAGCCAGCCACACTCCCTCAAAACGACGACGTTTTGGTGAATCCCTTCTTCACATCAGCTCTCTTCTTGTCTCCCGATCAACTCATCATCTCCACTACTCATTCATTCAGAGTGTTTATGTGAACTTCTGTTTCGTGAACTTTGTGTTCCAAACTTTCAATGAAGTTGTGCTTCTAAATGCTATAAACTTGTGTCGTTTTCCTTCTAGAAAATCTTGACATATTTTACTTGTTGTTGTTGACAGCTTACTAAATTATAAATTAATCATTTGAAATTGAGTCTAAGTAAGAAAGTGTTGTCGAATTGTTATAATCGATTAAAACATTTAGGCAACATCTAAGCACTAGATATGACCCCAACAAGCTGACTAGCACTTTCTTGAACCTTGATTATTACTAGCGTGGGCTCCGGTCATTTGGCCGGAGGAAGGTGAGGTATGAAATTTGATAATGTAATGGGGTATATAGCTTATTGTTGTATATATATATTTTTTTTTGGAAACACGTGATAAAAATAGTAAATTTTAGTAGGAAAGAGACATGAATGATGCAACGAATCAAAAATCAACCTTATGAACCAAAATCAAGTACCTATTACCTTGTGAAACTATATTGTTTCTGGTAATATGATGAGGTGGAGTAAGTTTTATAGAAACCGAATTCCAGAAAATCGAATAAAAAATCGCCTATCCCGCCAGTTTTCGGGAAATGAGCATCTCACAATCGTTGCTAGCTTTTACTCGCCCCGTTGGCCGATTAATTTGCTTTATAAAACTTTCATCTTGTCATCATTGTGTTTTCTGGTTTTTTGCCAAGCCATGATAAAATTTAAAGAAATCAAGAATGAACAACACGATTTGGGATAGGAACCATCGTTCCTGTATCCCTAGAAAATGGTGGTAAACACGGACTCACCTGCCAAACTGGTCTGGATTGAGATTTTTATCGGGTATTAGGGAACCATGTGATTATAAATTAGACTTTATCAAAATGGGTCAAAACTTGAAATTCAGCCTGTTTGACCAACCCATGCCAAACTCTAATTATTCTTTACTTTTAAACTTTATATTTGAAAATAAAAAATAATGAAAGAAAAGAGATGACTGCAATTCGCCATTTGCACATCACTGATTCGGGAATAAAACTATAGAATTTCGAAAGGAAACTGAAAATGTTTAGGATCGTTTTAATGTTAAAAATAACCAAATAGATCTTTCTGTTTAGTTTTTTACTAACAAATACCAAACGATTCCCTATAATATACACTATAATATAATTATTATGATATCAAATAATTACATAATATATATTTGAAATGATAAAAATTGGACTAATTGGGTTGGTTGAGGTTGAACCATTGAATAACTTTAAAATACATTATATTTTAGTCACTAAGATATAAAATAATAGCATAATATAAATTATGCTAGAGAAAATAACTTGTTTTAGAAAGGCAAGCCCATGATGTCCATTTGTTTTACTTGATGGACAAATCTCGTGTAGGTCAGGCCCATTCAACTCTTTTATTTTATGATTAGCGGTTAGCACATTAGAATCCATGTATTAATTTATTTTTTCTTTTTTTCTTTTTAGCAATGAAAATGAGTATTGTTTTTGCCTTTTCATATATATTTTACCATCACGGAGAAATAAAAGGACTTAAAGAAAAAAATTGACACTCCTAAACCTGTTTAAATCCGCATGTGTACGATAAGTTGGCCCGTTCCACAGAGGAAAAAGAAAAAAAGTGACACTCCCTATTCTACCCTTCCTACAAATGCTCTTGGAGTAGGGAATTTGAAATGGGGGAAGAGTTTTTTTCCTCTCTGCGATTATATATTTTTAATTTAAAAAGATACAACAAATGTACTTAGTGAGATTGGTTATGATCTTTGCTTTTCTTTAAAATGGTCACTCTCCTTTAAAATGGTCATGGTTCGAATCGTAGCTTCAAATTTTCTCTGGATATGATCTTTGCTTTTCTTTAAAATTGTCATGGTTCGAATTGTAGCTTCAAAATTTTTCATTTGGTTTGACTTTTTTCATTTGGTTTGGCTTTTATTTATTGCGTAGATTTTTTACATTCAATTTTTGTACTTAATTGGTGGGTGACTACTAATAATAGCAGTGTATCTATTTGCCTAAAATCGAGTTATTTTTATCAAATTATGATGCAGCATAATTGTCCTAATAAAATTATACAAAAATCCATTTTTCATCCATTGCTCATGGCTTCATGCATTGTCTTGATGGGCATGGGATGATAATTTTAATTTACAATCTGCATTCCATACAAAATGTGATTAAGCTATGTACATAACCGGCAACTTAACAAACTTATACACTATTAAGGTTTGCCTATTTGTACACGTTGACGATAAGTACTTTGCTAGTAGCTACAAGCTACAGTTCAATAGAGTAGCCCAACAAGTAGAGAAAAACGGGCCCAAGTTAGCTAGAGCCCAACTTTGTTGGACTTCCTATGATCCACCCACGTTGCTTTTTAACGACCACAGCTTCCAAAGTTCCATCTCGCCGGATATTAGGTGAAAACAGCCTCGGATCCACCGGCCCCGGCAGATAAAACGACAGCGTGAATGGCGCCGGCAGTCCACCTCCGGCGTCGTGAAGTTGCTGCTGCTGCTGCGCTATCTCCACCTTTCCGTCCGACCAAACCTCGCAGCTCAATCCACCTGCCATGCATGCACGTATCGCCATTTGTCCATCAATCCCACCGCACAAATATAGAAAGAAAGGAAAGAAAAAAAAGAGAATAATTTGTATTATTTTGTAGACATACGAAAATTATTCGGGAGACAAGGGAGTGCAACGCGGAAAAGGTAAGCAGCTCTACTGATCCCGATAACGACGTAGTCGGACGACAACCCAACCAGCTTAAACGTCACCGTTTTGCCGTTGACAACCACGGTCGCATCGCGAGCAGCGAGCTCCTCCGCCGTCGGGAAATCCCTCTCATCGAGATCATCATCGTCGTCGCTAATAACCACCCGCCGCCGCTTGAATCCATCTCGAAACAAAACCACGGGACGCGGATCGGAATCACGGTCGTCGTCGTCATCATCCCTCGGGCGAGGAGGGCGATACGTCAAGCACGATTTCGAATCCATCTTCAAGCCGGACGAACCGGACAGACGTCTGAACCGGTCGATATACGACCGGTTCAGCTCATCATCTACTGGGGCATCGTCTTCGTCGTTAATAACGACGACGATGCCCTTCACGACCTCGTGGATCGAGGCGGCGGAGTAGACCTTGTGCTTGTGGAGGTGGAGAGGGAAAAAGGTGGTGAAATTGGTGGTGTAAGTTGTTTCGTCGCCTTTGAGGTAGGCGTGGAATTGGGCCGGGCTGAGAATCAAGGTCGGGTCGGCGTTTCGGAGGGCGTAATAGTACAGGGATTTTAGCTGGGAGACGGTGAGGGAGGAGTCGCCCAAGTGGGTGGAAGTGTAAGGAGGAAACCGTCGGGAAAGCCTATTAGCGACGGACCGTCGCGGAATCTCCGAGAAGACGTCGGGGCCTAAGTAATTGGTGACGATGAAGTTGGCGAGGAAAAGCTTGTCGTCGTTGAAAGTGTGGTTGGCCAATATTTCTTCCATGGTGGGAAAAAACCTGAAGAGGTAATTAGGCAGAAAAAGAGGGAGGATTAAGCGAAAGGAAGTGGGTTTAAGTTGATAAAATTGTGATGAATAAAAGTGGTGGCGATATATATATATATATATATGACGGTGATTTTATAGGGTTTGGTGCTAGCTAGTCATGGTGGAGTCTCGTTTTTAGGGCAACTCATGTGCACAGGTGGCAGTATTATTGACACTTAAGCACACACGTGGTTTGACATTAGGGAGCGAATCTTCATAACCAAACTTGTGATTAACGTGGAGGGATTGGAGTTAGGGATGGCAATGGGTCGGGCCGGGCGGGTACCTCAATACCCATACCCCGTCCCACGGTAGTATGGGGTGGGGGTAATACTCGCGCGGGTATGGGGTGGGTCAGGTCGACCCGCTCTTACATGCTATTTGAGAAAAATATATGCACAATTTTACTTCTTATGATAAAACGAAGGGGAAAAGACTTGATGAATGAATAATAGTGATAATATAATAAGTAATTGAGTATATTTAGTTGAAAGATCAAGTCTAACTAGTTAAATAAAAGCCAAAATAGGAGATATATGAATGGATGGGGTAAAAAGTTGACTGAGAACGGGCTAAGAATGGGACGAGGCAGGACAGGACGGGTCGAAAGTTGATACCCATGCCTCGCACCACGCTAATACGGGTCGGGTAATACCCGCACCATCGCGGGTCAGGTCGGGTATTACCCAGCGGGGCGTGTTCAAATTGCCATCCCTAATTGGAGCAATTCTGTAGTGCCGCCACTGTATTGATACATCCATTTTATACCGGCTACACCCGGTCTTCGATTTTCCCCGTTAATGGGCTCTACCTCAACGGGAACAAAGAAAAAATGTTTCCAATTTTTTGTATTTTAAAATAATGTTAAATACTTTAAACAAAGGTTATGTAATATGTTGTACTTTTGTTCCATTATTTTTTTTTTTCAATTTAGACCCTGTAATAAAACAAAAAAAAATATAGATTTTGATTGGAAACCTAAAAAATACATATGAGTAAGTTTTAATATATTTTTTTAATTATAGGTACTTAGTTGTAAACAGCCACTCGGAAATTAGAGTTGTAAGCATAACCTATTTATATCGTTGTATGATGTACTGGAAGATTAACGAAATAAGAAAACATAAAACATAAGAGGGAGATCCTCTCCATGGACTAGTGTCATACTGACGATACCACGATAAAAAAAAGGATCTTGTATTCTTTACTTTCAGTTTGATCTTTTGACAATTTTTACCGTGTATTCAATTTTTTTGGTAACCATGTATTCAAAAAATTAGTTTATATTATTAGTGACGATGCTAGAAATTCAAACTAAAGCCATAATTTCAAACCATTTGAATAGTGATAATGGGAGATGGGATAATATCTTATGAATTACTCTATTTGTCAAAAACTTTACATCTAGTTTACCTACATTTATAACTCACTTTCACTAACGTGGCTTCGCCGTTGCTAGGGCTGACAATCAAACCCGCAACCATGAATAACTAACCAACCCGACCTAAATCAATGAAGATAATCCCCGCATTGACTTGGTATTGGCGCGGGGGGGGGGGGGGGGGGGGGGGGGGGGGGGGGGGGGGGGGGGTGTGCTGGTAAAACCGCAAAAAGTTTGAAGTGGATGGGGTGATATGATTTTAGACTCCTCCGATTTTATTCAGATACCTGTGGATAATACCTGTTTCATTGCTCGTACATACAACATTACTATATCTAAAATTTAATGTATAGATATTTAATTATAACACTAAACGGATCTAGTAAATCATGAAATTAACAAAGTTACTATTTAATTACAAATTTAACGCATTTAATCCTAAAATATTCATAACCCATAAGAAAAAGTATAATGTTATCCAAATCAACTAGGAAGTTATTTTGTGACAACACCCCCTGCCACTAAGGGAATCAACTAGAAAATGGACATCTTTACCGAACTCAAAACCTAATAAAGGGCCAAGAAAATATAATAGAGCATACTAAATTATTGAAAGATTTCCACTTCGTCACTGGTGCAAAGTACAATCAAATTATGCTTAACTTTCATTACCGCTTTCATCAACACTTGGAATAAATAACTATAATTTTTTAAAAGAGAGAAATAAGTAAAGGACTGAAAGAAGAATTGGAGCAAGATAAATTATTATTTGGTTTGGGTGACCATTCAATTACATTTCAATATTTTTTTGGAATTACACTTCTTTTTATTGAGATGTTACATTTGATTTATTTATTTTTTATGGGCTAAATTACAAATTTGGTCAATTAAATTATACAAATCTTTCCTGTTTGCCACTCGAATTACTTTTCTTTCTTATTCGCCACTAACTTTACAAATCGTTTCACCATTAGTCACCGGCCGTTACACTCCGTTAAATTTGTCTTACGTGGCAGTCAACTATAAAGTTTGATTGTTAAGTAGATGAGGTGGAAAATAAAAAAAATTAAAAAATTTATATTTCCATCTTATCTTTCCACTTACTTTGTCTATATGATTTATCATATTAATTATTTATTAAAAATTAATAAATTAAAAAAAATAATTGGCACATCACAATCTCCTACGCTTGTCTTCGATCTTCTTGAAAATTTGCAGTCGTCGGTCGAATGGAGAGCTGCCGCCTTCCTCCTACCATCGTTCTCCATCTCCAAATCTCATCGCCAGTCACAATCTGTTGAAATTCGTCGTTGCTCTTTTCAACTTAAGATCCGGTCATGGGTCTTCATCTCCTCATCAGTAACCGAGAAACAGACAGATTTAGATCCAGATCCAAGGAACGAAAGAAGACGGTGAAGCCGGACCAAGGGTTCTCGAACCCGTAAGACAAGGAGGCGGCGCATCGAAAAACCAGTGCTCTCAATTCGTCGACCCGTTGAGAAGCGAGTTGATGCTATTGGTTCTCAATCTTTCCCCCTTGAGAAGAGGAAGCGCCAGAGCCGGGCCCATCAGATTATTAAAGTAGAAAAGCCCACTTGCAAATAAACTACTATTTACTAACCTAACCCAATCCACTAACAAGCCAAAGAAACCATACAAATACAATAAGCAGTCACCATTAGGGATGTCAATCCAACCCGTAACCATGGGTACCCTACTAGACCGTAACCGGTCAACGAGGGTAATTACCCGCTTTGACGGGTTAAGGGGCGGGTACGGGTAATACCCAGTTTCAAAATAAAGGGTAGTGTACGGGTATGGTAATCGATAATACCCGTCCCATTATACCCGCCCCGCTAACCAAAGGGTCAATTTCCATTGAGAAATTTAGTTTAGCTTGAGAAATTTAGTTTAGCTTAAGAATTGAGTTTAGCTACTATTATTGATGATGAAGATGTAGACGATTATTATGTTTGTGTGGATTGTAGAAGCAAGAACAATTATTATGTGTTTGCTGTGTTTATTTGTGTGGATTGTTGAAGGTAGAACAGTTACAAGTATTGAGAATTTTTAATAGACAACAGTATGTATGTGCATATATGTGTATAATTTCATAGTTTAGGATTCGTACCCATGCTTACCCGAATACCCGTGGTTACCCGGTGGGTAGGGTATGGTTATATAATTTTCATACCTGATGGTTATTTAATCGGATATTTTAGAAGGCAGACCGGGGATTAGAAGTTGGTATAGGATAAACCCGCACCCGACCCTACCCATTGCCATCCCTAATCACCATCCGTCCCTTTTCTAAGTTCCTAACTCCGTCTAATTAGCTGGCGCGTGAGGATGCATATGTCCGTCTAATTCGCTCTGTGAACAATTGCCTGGGATCTGCATTCTGCTGGATGGTAAGCTTGAACTTGGTTGCTTATGTACTATGTGGTTTGGCAAAGATCCAACTAGTCTGTGCTGTCAATGCTTCGTAGATGAGAACTCTGATGATTGAAGTTATATGTTCGTTGAATTGCGCAGCCCGTTATTCTTCTTGTTAATAAAAACATCAAGCTTACCTTACCCACCGAAACCAGCAAGTCCCAAACACACGATTGCCCCCAACGGCACACTTGCTAATAAAATAAATGGAAACTAAACTACGAAGAAAGCTACTTGGAACTCATCCAGTTTCTTGATACATTCCAATCGGTTTATGATTAAAGTCATAATCCATTAGTGATTATTGGCTTTCCCTTTCTTAACCCCAAATTGAATAATGCATATATACTGAACAATTTGTCCTGTCTTGTTAATGAAATAGGTGTCAATGCGACCTCGTCGTTAAATATGACATCAATGATTGACATCAAGCGATTTAACAACACCATTCGAACTTATGTGCGGATAACATCGGACCATATGGATATGAGAAGAATTCCTCATCTATAGGGATGAAAACTTTGGCCTGTTTAACCTACTTTGGGCAGGTAATACCCACCTCGTAGCCCGTAGGTGGGGGAGGTATGGGTACTCTACTTGACTTGACCCTCCCATTTCCGACCAATTTTGTCTAAACTACATGTAAATTTATTCAAATAAATAAAGAATTTTACTTTTAATACCTCACATTTTAATTCTATAAATCTATAAATGTGTGAGTCTCAATTTCTCCAATATACATTATTAATATTATAATGTATATAAGACGGGTATGAGTATCGAGATCTCGCTCCAACGTTGTTGTATTGTCATTCCTATATTGAAGTCGAAGTCACCGTCTGTGGGCCCACTAATGTATAAGAATCCAAAAGCCCACTTGAGAAGAATTGTTAACCAAACCCAATCCACTCAATTATCAAAGATGCCCATGGCCCACTCACAAACGAAAAGGAAAACTAGTTTTTTTTTTTAATGGCTAAAAGGAAGTTAAATTCTATTAAATTAAAGGGTAACAGCAATAATTTCGAGCGTTCACCATCCGTCACTCCGTCAGTCGCTATCGCGTTCTTGACTCCGTCTATTAACGGATTCTCCTCTCGAGCGGTCGAGGGCAAACCGCCAACTAACACCGTCAATGCCAGCGAGAACCATTTAATTTTCCCGGAAAAGAAAAACAAACGCCATAATAATAGTTATCAACGACTTTGGTTTGGGTCCTCGAAATCGTCGGGAGAGGATACAAATTCGACACGGGAACGGAGAACAAACGTGGCACGTTCCTATTGGTTGGAGTTTACCAAGTAGGCCAATTCTCCTGCTATAAATAGAACCTCTAATTCTCCTCTCTTCTCCGCAGTTCCATTCGACCAATTTCCTCCCTAATCAAATCTCCGATTCACGCAGCTTTCTTCTCAATCTCTGAAGGTAAAAACATCTTGAACTCGATCCCCCTCTCTCTCTCGTTCGGTTCTTTCTTGTCTTGGTTTCTCGTTTATTTTGATTGTTGAATGAATCGTTCGATCTAGGACTTTGGGGATTATCGTTCTTCAATTCAGTTAGATAAGTCTGGTAGAATTTTGAATTTCCGAAGTAGGGTTTGTTTGTTCTGTTTATGTGATCGTGGGTTGAATGAATTTTGCTCGAGCTGTGAATTTTGCTTTTGTTTTATCTTTCATCGGTGGTAGTTCGTCGATTCTGGTAATTTCAATCGCATATTGCTGAATCAGGGTTCTCCAATTTTTGTTGGGTTACAGATGCAGATCTTTGTCAAGACTCTCACTGGGAAAACTATTACTCTCGAGGTCGAGAGCAGCGACACCATCGACAACGTTAAGGCAAAGATCCAGGACAAGGAGGGGATTCCACCGGATCAGCAGAGGCTGATCTTCGCCGGAAAGCAGCTGGAGGACGGGAGGACCTTGGCGGATTACAACATCCAGAAGGAGTCCACACTGCACCTGGTTCTCCGTCTGCGTGGTGGCATGCAGATCTTCGTCAAGACCTTGACCGGAAAGACGATTACTTTGGAGGTCGAGAGCTCAGACACCATTGACAATGTCAAGGCGAAGATCCAGGACAAGGAGGGCATCCCGCCGGATCAGCAGAGGCTGATCTTCGCTGGCAAGCAGCTTGAGGATGGCAGGACTCTCGCTGATTACAACATCCAGAAGGAGTCCACTCTCCATCTTGTCCTGCGTCTCAGGGGTGGTATGCAGATTTTTGTGAAGACCCTGACTGGAAAGACGATCACTTTGGAGGTTGAGAGCTCCGACACCATCGACAATGTCAAGGCGAAGATCCAGGATAAGGAGGGCATTCCCCCAGACCAGCAGAGGCTTATCTTTGCTGGCAAGCAGCTCGAGGATGGAAGGACCCTCGCTGACTACAACATCCAGAAGGAGTCTACCCTTCACCTTGTCTTGAGGCTGAGAGGAGGTATGCAAATCTTTGTGAAGACTCTGACCGGAAAGACCATCACTCTGGAGGTGGAGAGCAGTGATACCATTGACAATGTCAAGGCTAAGATTCAGGACAAGGAGGGCATCCCACCAGACCAGCAGAGGCTCATCTTTGCAGGGAAGCAGCTCGAGGACGGCCGAACCCTCGCCGATTATAACATCCAGAAGGAGTCAACTCTCCATCTTGTCCTCAGGCTCAGGGGTGGAATGCAGATCTTCGTTAAGACCCTTACTGGAAAGACCATCACATTGGAGGTGGAGAGCAGTGACACAATCGATAATGTGAAGGCAAAGATCCAGGATAAGGAGGGAATCCCACCAGACCAGCAGAGGCTGATCTTCGCTGGCAAGCAGCTTGAAGATGGAAGGACTTTGGCCGACTATAACATCCAGAAGGAGTCTACCCTCCACCTTGTCCTGCGTCTCCGTGGTGGCTTCTAAATGAGTGTTCCGGCTCTGGTGTTGCTATTGTCTGTTTGGTGTTGTGATGGCTTTTGAAGGGTGTTGGTTTTATGATATGGATGTTTTGAAGAATGTTTTCTTTAAGTTTCGGGTTTTCATGGGATAGCCTAATGGCTTCTCAAGTTTCAAGCTTTGTTTCTTTCAGTACTACTATGTTGGCCCTGGTGGCATTGTGATCTCTCTTTTGTTATCTTTTGAATAATAATGTCGGAAGTATTTCGTATCTATGGCCAATTTCTCTTCATTTTGTTCCCCTTGTTCCATTTTTTCACCAACTTACCTTACTACTCTCCTTACTCTTTTGCTGTATTCTTAGTTTTGCTAAGTGCTTACCACTCCATTGCCACGCAACTAGAGCTTGAATAATGACTGGTAGATAGATGTATTGATCTTCTGTCAAATTGAAAACCAATCCACCTCACAAATCCTGATGCAGTTGGATCTTAGGCTACACAATCTGGTTAAATTGACATATTCTTCGCTCGGAGATGGATGTCCATAGCATATTTTGAGAAGGGCACCATATGGATAAGGATCGAACAGCTACATATGTAGTCACTTTCATGAAGTTTAGGGAGACAATGGCCCAACAATGGGCAAGGACTAAAGAGCCACTCCATTGTCTCTTTGCTTCCCGTTTTATCACGTACCATCCTCCTGGTAGAAAGAGGCGTTGCTTTTCCAAGAAAGGTCTCCCTCATCCAACTGTCCGAAAGCTGGATGCTCTGGCCAAACTTAAAAAGAGGCTCGCTCGCCTGTCGGTCAAAACCTACCATTCTTGCTGGGACTCTCATCATGCCTTGCTTCCTATTTAGTAATAAAGCATGACATTCGAGTTGCATAAACAGCACAAACCCTTCCTTTCCTTACTAGAAGTTCACAGCATTGCTTCCTGCTCGCGGATTGTTTCGATATGGCGGACTCTACATCGCCTTGCTGTGACGCTTTAGACAAATCTCAAGGTGAACCAAGTTAGATTTTGGCGTGTATTATCTTTAGGGTTATCAAGTGTGATTTGACTGTTCATTGTCAGTGTTCGATGCTACAGAGATGGAGCGACAGAAGCAAGAGAAAGGGATCAAGTTCTCCGACGATGAGGAGTCTCTCATAATCAGGATGTATAAACTTGTTGGAGAAAGGTCCGTTTCCTCTATATTCGCAGTTTCAGTTTTAGGATTGAACTATCGATCACCTTACTTCTATTGTTGTTCATGCAGGTGGCACTTGATCGCCGGAAGAATCCCTGGAAGAACAGCTCAGGAGATTGAGAAGTACTGGAACTCTAGATACTCCACAAGCGAATGAAGCCTAATTGCTGAAGCATTTTACCCCTCGTGTAATAGACCTTGTTGGGCTGGCATTCTTGCCGATAGATTTTCGGTTTGTCAATTACGGCTGAGGAACAAAAATGAGTTTCAGCAAAGCAGAATAAAAAGATCTTCATTACAGCCATAGTTTGGCATCATGTAAAGTACACTAGTTACAAGATGGACCCCATGCATCAATGTCTCGCGAGTTATCCAACGCAGTAAATGCGAATAAAGAACCAAGGTTGTATGATTTGGTCTTTGACTAATACATCGCTTCAGCTTGTCGAACTCGGTCTGCAAGGTCTGGATCATCTACTTAAACATTGCTCTGTTTGTAAGCCTTAGTGTCCAAGACTTGTTTACCGCACATTGCACAGACTCCTGAGAAAAAATATCCAAAATACATGTCAGTTTCTCAGGAGTACACAGCAGAAAATATGAATAACGAACGAGCAATTCGTCCACACTTTCAGTATTAAGGTGGCCAATAACTAAGGTACCTTTGGTATAGGCACAAGTGTGGCAGTACTTGGCCTCTTGGTGTGTTTGTTGCTTGCAGATCGTGCACTTGGTGTTTCCATAAGGTGTCCATCTGCAGAAACCACATTAACATGCAGGACAGAGTGTTAGGATTAAGCATGCATCATTCAAGAGCCAAAGTTTTAGCAGTGCTTTGAAGATCTATGGCCAAATTATTCGAAAAAATCTGGTAAAGACGAAAACTTTGGATATAACTCCTTCAATATATGCAGCAGCTGACCAGCATTACCCAATACACCATAAGACTAATTTTCTGTTGCTAGTATGATGCAGTAACATCGAACAAGAAAACTTTCGAGACTCTTAGGCATCCATTCTAGTAGCAGCGCATACTAGTATGCAGACATGCCTTACAATAGTCAATCGACCCCTAAACAGTCGCAAACCAGCTCGTGCTAGTTTGTACTTCCTAAGTCATCATTCACCAAGTCACTCACTTGCGACGCCTTAGAATCGAGTTGCGAACATGGTAAGTGAAGAACAGAACATGGAATCAGGTGGGGCTCGCCAGTTTCATGTCCTAGTGTCCTACGATAAGAACTATCACCCCTACTCACAACGACGATTAAATTCAGCTACTGAGAACTCAAAAAGAGTAGAAACACTGCCGCACCCAAAGCTGTTATTGACAATCAGGGAAATATAGTACCCTCGAAACTGAATTACTTGAAACTTATTAGCTTCCCCCTTTTTGCTAATGAACATAAGAAACACTACAGTTCGGATGAAACTACGCGGCGGGGCAGAGAAAAGGACTAGAGAAAGAAGAAAAAACCATACCGGTTCTTCTTGGAGAGGAGTTTGTTCTCGTTGACCTTCCGGCCGCCGCTTTCGTAGGTGTTGGAAGCTCCTTCCTTCCATTTATCCGGAACTATCACCTTCGTCAGCTTCTTCTCGCCTGGATCAAAAAGAGAATTCCGTGAAATCGCAGCTTCAATCGATCGGGGAATCAAAATCGCTGAAGAGGGAGGAGGTAAAAAGAAGACTTACACTTGCCGCAAACCATCGTCGGAGAGGTAGCACTTTATTTCTTGCCTCTCGCCGGAAACCTAAATCGCCAATCCCTAATTACAATCCAGCGGAGAATCGGAAATCGGCCGATCGGGAGAATTCCAGAAAAAGATCGTTATAGACTTACAGTGTCGAGCTGAATTGGCTGAACTAGCCCCGGGAAAAGTTGTTATTCTCCGAGTTTGTGTCCGGGTCGGGTAATAACAAAAGGTCGGTGAGGGCTTGGCCCAACAAAAGCCCATACCCAGCGTATATATTTGTTTAGACGTACTCCAATTGGGCTTGGGCTTATGGAGGTAAATCTTCACCGTTCTGCTACAATTTTAACGCGGAATATCAGTAAGGCATTCGAGATAAATTTATTGCGACTCTATTTGTTTTTATTTTGGTAAATAGACGAGAAAGAAAGCCTTACCTTACAAACGTGTTTTATGGATTTGTTTTCTTAAATAGATACTTAAAACCCAATTACGATTAGGATTAGTAAATTTGCCATATTAACAATGTACGACAGTTTGGCCGAGTGGTCTAAGGCGCCAGATTTAGGCTCTGGTCCGAAAGGGCGTGGGTTCAAATCCCACAGCTGTCATTTATTTTTTCGAATTTATTTTCTTAAGCTGTGATTAATTACTGGTAAGTACGTGCCTCACTCTCCATATGGATTTATCGATTATCATAATCTATCGTGGGCTTGGGCTGATCAGCTTACTGTCGTTTCTCAGGTCCAAACAATACTAGCGGTCCAAAAATTTTGCCTATTGAGCCAATGCATTGGATGGAGTCAACGGGAAGGTGATGAATCAGCCGGAGTTTGTTATCGCTGAAGCAAAAACTGTTGGAAAGACTGTGGATGCTTGATTAATTAGAATCATTATGTAACAAGTCGAAAAATAAAATAAAAAATGTTAATGAGTTAGTAATAATAAGAGGAGAAGGGGAGATAACGAAGAGAGAGTATTCGATTGTAGATAATTTGTAGTTTTAATAAAAAGGAAGTATGATCTGGATTCCAGTAATTGAGTGTAGCTTTGTAATGATCCGGTCGTCGTATTTAGGGATGGCAACAAAACCAGAACCCACGGGTACCCACCCGACCCAACCCGGTCAACGCGGGTAAAATCTGTGTTGACGGGTTTTGGGCCGGGTTCGGATTTAAACCCGCTACACTATTCACCGGGTCGGGTTGGGTTTGGGTTTAGGTAAACCCGACCCATGGGTACCCGCCCAGACACATATAATTACTTTCCCGGTATATTTAATATTCTAAATAATATATTTTCCTTAAACAATTAATATTCTTTATGTTTGTGGATACATGTATAATTTGTTTTTTCTAATTGTTTAAATGAAGTTGATATTATGAAGTGGAGAGTGAAGAAACTTAGTTGACGAAGAAGAAGTTTTCAATTAATCTTTTGTTTATAGATGTTTATCTTTAATTTTGAACAATTTGTATTGATCATTTGCGGTTTGCTTGTATGCTCTTGATTGGTGTTTTTTTGTATGATTAATTTGTATGAGAAAATTGATGTTAAACTTTTATTTTGAAAGAAACTTGTTATTGTAAATTTTTTACCACAAATACCCACGGGTACCCATGAACCTGCGGATACCCAGCGGGTTGAGTTGGGTTTGAGTTTTGCAAACCCAACGGGTTTTACCCGGGTTTTTTTGGCGGATAAACCCATGGGTTTGGGTTTAGGTTTGACAAAACCCGCCCCAACCCGACCCATTGCCATCCCTAGTCGTATTGAATCAAGTCAACTTTCTAAGTCGTTTAAGCTCTTTATGGATATTTTTTAAGTGCGTTGCTATTACTTAAAGACAAAGTATCGGCTTTAAGTTATGAGGGTTTCATTAGAGAAGGTTCAATATAGGGGTGTCAGTCGGTAGTTTTGGTTTAACCGAAAACCGATATCTTGGTTATCGGTTAAACCGAGCGACCACCTCCGGCTACCGACCACCGACCGTGAAAGATACAGCGCTAGCTGACCATCGACCGGTCGGTTAGCCGATTTTGGTTCGGTTAACCTCATACCCGAAAACCACACCCTAATCTAAAAAACAAAATTAAAAAAATAAAAAAATGCAGGAACCACTTATTCCTTTATCTCCTCCATCCTTCTCTCTCCTTTCAAACCCTCCACCACCACCACTTATTCATTATCTTCTCCGTCTCTCTCCTCCATCCTTCTCTCTCCTTTCTTTTCCACTCAAGATTCAAGAAGCAGCCGAGGAGGGCTTGCCGCCGACGGGAGAGGAAGGAGCGACCTCGCGAAGCCGGCGGACAGAGGCGGAGGGAGACGGCGTTCACGCGGCGACGGTTGGAGGCGGCGCGGCGGGTGGAGGCTGCCTGCTTGCCTGCAGGTCGCGATGGTTGGAGGCGGAGCCGTGGAGGAAGTTGTGGTGGCGGTGGAAGGAGGGGGAGCGGAGGAGGTAGGGGAGGGCGGCGACTGGTGCTGGTGGTGGTGTCTGTGGAGGTGAGGGTAAAATAAAAGATCGATCATGGCGGCGGCGACGGAATTGGACATGGTTGATGGGAGAATAAGAAGATTTAGGGATTCGAAAATTTAAGGAGAAGAAGAAGATTCAGGGAGAAGTGGATTCGAAATTTTTTGGATTTAGGGTTCGTCAGATGGGGGAAGGGAATGGTTAATTGGAAGAGAGCTTCATATGGGCGTCGTCGATGGTTTGGCCGATGGGAGACGACGAGGGGTGGTTGCTGGTGGTGAGGGAAGGGAGGGGTCGAGGTCGACGAAGGAGAAGAGAAGGAGGATAGAGTTTGGGGTGGGCATTTGGGCGCGGGTTTTATATGGGTCGGTTGGTCTCGGTTATTCGGATAGCCGATTTCTGTTGCTCGGCTAGCCGACTCTCCTACCAGCCACTCCGACCACCGACCGAGACTGTATACAGTCGATTTTCGGTTAGCCGCTAACCAACAATCGAACTGCCACCCCTAGTTCAATATATACATTCTCAATCTGCCACTATCTTGATTCAATCCGAGTCCCAATGCTAAAAACACTAGTTATTTGGGCCGAAGTAAAAATAAACAAAAAAGCCTACTGATTAGACAAAAGGTCAAAGTCGCATTCTTCTGTACATTCCCAGTCCCAGACTTCAGTGCTCTCGCCGGCAAAACGAAAATGTCGATCTCCCCAAACCTCTCCCATTTCCTCTCCTTCTTCTTCTTCTTCTTCTTCCTCCTCCTCCTCACAATCGCTGCCGCCGACGAATCTGACCTCGTCGCCGACCTTCTCTCCCTTCAATCCCAGTCCAAATCCGGCGTTATCCACCTCGACGACCATTCCATCTCCCGCTTCCTGACCTCCACAAAAACCCCTCGCCCTTACTCCCTCCTCGTCTTCTTCGACGCCAAGCATCTCCATGACAACTCCGAGCTCCGTCTCCAAGATCTCCACCGCGAGTTCTCTCTCCTCGCCTCCTCCTTCATCACCAACAACCCCGACAACGGCAAGCTCTTCCTCTGCGACATCGAGTTCAAAGAATCGCAATCCACATTCTCCCTCTTCGGCGTCAGTTCCGTCCCCCACATCCGCCTAATCGGCCCCGATGTCAAGAACCCCAAGGATTCGGAGCAGATGAACCAGGGGGATTCCTCGAGGCTGGCGGAATCGATGGCGGAGTTCGTCCAATCGAGGACCCAGATCTCCGTCGGCCCGATCCACCGCCCGCCGCTCATCTCGAAGACTCAGCTAGGGTTCCTGATCGCGTTCTTCCTCTGCTGGACGCCGTACTTCGTGAAGAAGGTCATCGCAGGGGAGACCGTGTTTCACGATTCAAAAGTCTGGTTGGCAGGTTCGGTTTTCATTTACTTCTTCAGCGTTTCTGGTGCGATGCATAATATAATTCGTAAGATGCCCATGTTCATGATCGATCGGAATGATCCTAGCAAGCTGGTGTTCTTTTACCAAGGCTCTGGGATGCAATTGGGAGCTGAGGGGTTTGCTGTAGGGTTTCTGTATACTGTTGTTGGGTTGTTGCTTGCCATGATGACTCATGGGCTAGTGAAGGTGAAGAATGTGACTGCTCAGAGGGTGATTATGATCGCCTCCATATTGGTTTGCTTCTGGGCTGTGAGCAAGGTTGTGTATTTGGATAATTGGAAGACTGGTTATGGGATTCATACTTTCTGGCCCAGGAGCTGGAGCTGATCAAGGTGAGGTGATGTTGATGGCAGCTGCATTTCGTACTAAGCTCCGGCATTTTTTGAGATGTTGTTTGAAAATGCGGATAGTGGTGAGTGATTTTCTTGCTTTAAAGAAGAGACTGGTAGATAGTTTACTTTGATGGTTTAGAATGTACTACTATTACTCTGCATTGAATTGAATGGCTGCCTTCCGGGGTTCCTGAGATTTCTATGCTGTTCACAACTGGTTAATGCTTAGTATCGGTGAACATTTACATGTGGATGAACAGCGACTACGTAGCTTTTTGGCTGGTAATTTAGCTCCCACTTTTATGGTTTTAAAAGTACTGTTACTCTGCCCTGAATTGAATGGCTGCTCGCCAGATTTTTTAGGGTCTTATCTCATTTACGAATTACGACTTACTATGTTTAGTACGTATTGAGAGTTTGCGTCAGGGTGGAATTTTCGTATGGGGATTACTTAGTTTTTTGGCTTGTGAGTTTAGTTGGAAGCTTTGATCATCAGTACAGACTTGCTTCGTCACTGAATATGCTCCTACTGTTTACTTCGTGATTGTTTGTAGATAGATGTGTGTTCTTCAATGCTGTGATTATCCGCGCAATGTGAATGGGAGAGTTGTCGAGTGAAGGTTGCCGCACACTACTGTAGAGACTTCAGTGATGGAAATGGTAGCTAGTTGTCTGAAGTTAATATAGTTCTGGAACTTAAGATCATCAGATTGGGCAGGCATGTATTCCTCATGCGTGGGCAGGCAGGTGTGTGCTCTCTTCCTCATCGGCTCTCTGTAGTCTCTAATCGACATGTATTCTATAAGTTCTCTATTCGTTTAAATTCAGTTTTGTAATTGTATGTTGATTTCTTCTGAACTATATGTACCCTCGAGTTCGGCTTGGTAACCGGTTATGTAGTTCTTTGCTTGATGAACTTTACCTTCACCTGAAAAGTAAAGGAAAGTGTAGAACCAACTATCTGGTTAACTTGGACAAGAAACCTGATACTGGGTAGTCTGTGCAAACCATTTGCTCCGCAACCGATAATTGGATCGAATGGACTTCGATTAGGTTTGGGTTTTCTCCATCCTCATAATTCTCAAAAGCTAAGTAAGGTATCAGAAGGTATACATTATTTCGATTCGATTTTGTTCCTCGATTTCTAATATTCCCGATCAATCTCATGCCGATTCCACTCCAATCTTGGTTGATTATCATGTTAGTCGTTCCGGTTAATGACCCAAAACTTGGTGCCCGTTTATTTAATCAACCCACCATACAAATAATACACAAGCTTTGCGTAAGAACACAGCCGCCTGTGATTCTCCCTTCCAGCGAATTCACCATTCCACCCTCCCCTGTAACCTCACACCACGGCCAATCAACGAGGACAAATCCGTCAACAACCCCAAACTCTGCAACTTTCCCCACTCTGTTTATATTATAAGACCTTCCCCAAGGTCGCGTACGAAGAAGGAGAAGCCATTAACGATTCCCATTCCCATTCCCCCACAGCGCAAAATGGAAGAACAAGTAGAAACATTAGGTAAAGCGTTCGTGGATCACTACTACCACCTCTTCGACGCCGATCGATCCTCCTTGTCGTCCCTTTACCAGCCCACCTCCATGCTCACTTTCGAAGGACAGAAGTTCGTCGGCGCCGCCGACATCACCGCCAAGCTCAGAGGCCTGCCGTTCGACCAATGCAAGCACGCCGTCAGCACCATCGATTCGCAGGCTGCCGCGGGTCACGGGTGGCATCGTCGTGTTCGTCAGCGGCAGCCTGCATCTGCTCGGCGAGGAGCATCCCCTCCGGTTCAGCCAGGTTTGTCCCACAAAGCTAGCCATTGAACTAAATTTGACTCGGACATTGAACTAAATTTTGTTTCGTTATTGTTCGTCGTCGTCGTCGTCGTCGTGATTGCAGATGTTTCACTTGCTTCCGACGATCCACGGGACGTTCTTCGTGTAGAACGACATTTTCCGACTCAACTATGGTTGATCTTTTTTAACGTACTTGATTCGTGCTTCGATCTGTTTATTCTGTGTTGTTTGTAATGTGTAAAACACTAAAACTGGACATTGACTCTCTGCCAATTGGATATATCGTGTTTTTCTGTTATTTCGTATTGAAAGGCTTGATCTTGTGGGTAGTTGGGCTCTCGAGTACTTGGCCTAGGGGAACAATTTTGGATCAAGAAGATGGTCCGGCCCAGATGAGCACTACCCTGATAGCATAGAACGACATATAAATTTCACCCAGACCAATACAGTCAAAAGCGCGATTCTACCTAGAAGCGGAAAATGGGTAAAATCGTAAATCGTAGAATCAAAGCGTAAAAACGTAAGTTTTTGACGCATACTGTAAAATAACGAAAAATGTGTTAAGTACGACATATACTATGTAAAATATGAGTGCTCATAGTTTAGATAAGTTAATAAATACCTGTAATTCATGTCTAAACTCATAACATTTTAACAATAAGTTCATAAACATATATCTTAACCATAAGCTACCTTCCCCTCTAAGCTAGTGATTTTGGGAAGCACCTAGTTGGTGAATTAGATTACTCTGTTGAAACTAAGAATGCACCCAAGTACTTGATATGTATCTTTTAATCTTAAATATATCATTTTTTTGTGATTTACCTGTAAAATATAAGTATTTTTGTGAATAGAATACTCCTTTAGTGAACTAGAAGCATAAAAGAGTAAAGTGTTTTGGTGAACCAGAAGCGTAAAAGCGTAAGCTTTTAAGCTTTAAAGCGCATTTCAGTCCCGATTTTATACACTTAAGATTTTATATGGAAACGAAAGCATTTTAGTGTTCTAGAAGCGTAAAACCGTAAGTTTTTAAGTTTTAAAGCGCGATTTTTACTGCATTGATCCAAACGACAAATTCACAATATGGACCTGAGATTCTTTACTATATCTGTTTTATCCTCACAATCTTACATATAATCTGACTAAAAATATCATATACAATATGGTAGACAGAACTTTGTTTCATCTTCCCATTTTTACACGATATGGTAGATAGATAATAATCCTATAGTTGTGACTTGTGTACAGCCATACAATTACAAACTTTTATAGACACGTGATATACCAAATTCGTATTATTGAAAGTCAAGTGTATGGATCACTTCTTTACCTGTCAAGAGAATGATATCTGATATATTTCTGATCTCATTATTTTAGATTACCGAAATCAACTAGTTTCTGAACTTCATATCAGAACTTTTGATCGAGAGTTCCCCTGCTCGAATCCTTACCATCGAGGAACCCTTTAGTATTGCCTCCTATACAGACTCATAAGTCGAGTTATATAGGGTTGAAATGAGGTCAAATTTATGTACATACATTCCTACTGGTGTCTGTGAGCTCAGCAGCTCAACTGGCTTCTGGCAATAGGGGAATTCCAAATTTTGATAATTGGATTTAAATTTAATTATCACAATGACAAGTGGATAATTTTGATGAATCACCAACAACAACAAAAAGAAGACGTCACCACGAATGGCAGAGAAACAGAAATGATACAGACATTATAGTTTGCAAAATGGAATGTCAAGATTTGCAGTTGCTTATAATAATAATTAACAAAAGAATTTAATCAAGTGGGAAGATTTGTAATTACTTAATTAATTAAAGGGGTGATGCTGCTGAGCTTGCCCACCAAAACCAAACGTGGGTACGAGTAACCCCACTTTTGCATTACATGTCATGCTAAGCCCTAATTACATTACATGTCCCCATAACACATAAATTGAATTAAGAACAAAAAGAGAGATTTGACAGAGATGCAAAAATGGGGGGAAATTCTGAGTAGCAATAATAGCTTTTTAAGCTCTCCAGATTCTGAGGATAAAACGAGAAGCACACTGCCACCTAATTATTATTATTATGAACAAAAGGATATTAGATGTGCTTTAATTTTAATAATTAAGCATAGTGAAGTGATCTTGATAGGGAGGAGAGCTGAGAGGTCATGTTAGTGGTAGGGATGTGCAACGGTCTTGTAAGGATCACATTAAATCACAGAAAATGTGGTTCAATTTCGATCCATTTTTCGGTATTTAGAAAATTCATGAAATCAAACACTGGAACATAACAGTACTTAATCGGTGGCCCGAAAACCATTACACATACACACCACAATAAAGGAACCCCTAGCTCTGCCTAAGATCTCTCTCTTGTTTCCGTTAACTTACATCACATGTGATTTGGATCCATTAAATGTATTAGGCCATGGCAGGAAAGGAAAAGTACCCGATTAGAACTCGCACTATCGTGTTTATAGGAGTGAGTGTATGTCCTTGGACCTTGATCATACATCCATATGTTTTGAGTCATTAGATCGACATGTGAATTAAGATGTAGACTATCAAACAGTATAAGCAAGGGGGCATAGCCGCACAACTATAAGCAAGGGGTTATTAACATTTTGTGTTTTGGCGATTTGACTAGGTAACTCAAATCAAAATTTGAACTCTCCAAAACTTGATTTCGAATTTCATTGACACTAACTCTAACTATAATGACGTATGTCGAAGTTTTATGAGAGGATAATGATCCTAACTTTAAAATTACTTGCCAACTCTTAATAATTTGTGATGAGATGAGAATAGTTCACTGCACACTTCATCAACTCTACTGCAATGTACTGTTTGAGATTAGAAGTCAGTTTCACTACTGCAGACTAGATCTCTACAGAAAATGTAATAACCACATTCTTATCTTCTTCTTTTTTTTACCATTACTAATTACAAAATGACAAATAAAAATGGAGCCTTACCAAGAAACATTACAAAGCTGTATTGGGAAGCTGAGAGAGCGTTACAGTTTCATTGAACACAAGTCAAGAACACATAAATTAAGGACACAAACAAACGAAACATCTTTTTGTTTGGTCTGTTACTCTGTTGTGCAAATAAAAAAATAATTAAAATACTCTACTCGAAAATCTCATGGACATAATTAAACAGATAAAGGTGGGATCTTTCGGCAAAACCCAGTTCATATAAAACCCTAACTCCCTCAATCAAATCCATTTGGCTCCCTCCGCTCCTTCAACAAACAAGCATCATTACACTAGACTAACCCACCAAAGAAACCAAAAAGAAAACAGCTCTTTGACAGAAAATTCCCCCTTTCCTCTTTCCCTGTCAAGCACAGCACCACCTCAAACTGAAAAAAACCCACCAACCCATTCTCTTTCTCTCATATCCTCATCATACAAATGACAAATCAATCAAAATTTGGGAATTAATTAAAATAATTAGTCAATCCCCCTCTCTCCCTCTCCCACTTTCCCTTCCTTTCTGTTTTCTGTTCCGAGTGTTCTCCCATCTTCCCTCACATCCTGTCTTCCAATAAACCCTTCCTCCCCAATTTTCCTCTGCCTTCTTGTTCTGCTGCCGAGCTTCTTTTTGTGGTCTGGTTGCCCTTCTGGGGTTTTTTCTTTTAGCACTAAAATGGAGAAGAGAGCTTTGTCATACTGCTTGGAGGAAGGAGATTCTGAGATGCTTCTCTCTTAAATCTTTCTCCATTACAGCCATTCCTCAAGAGGTATTTTTGGGGGCTTTTTTCGTACTTTAATTTGATGAATCCTTGCTTCTTTTATGCCTACACATTCCAATCTTGCTTCAGGGGAAACTGAGGAAAATAGCTTCTCAAAATCACATGCATTGATGAATCTTTTTGGTTTGTTTGTTCCCAAGCTCATACCTTTTTGGGGTTTTTTTTTTTGTTTCACTTTGCTTGTGAGCAGGCAAAAGGAACTACACCCAATCGGCTGCCCCCTCTCTTTTGTGTGGTTCTGTGACCTTCTGCAGCAGCATTGTTACTTAAATTTGATTTTGCTTTTGGGGTTGGTTTGACAAAATGGGAGCCAACAAGATTAAAGTGTTCTACAAAGGGTTCAAATTCATCACTCAAATCTTTGGTACCACCCCCTGGCCCCTACACTACCTCTCTGTTTCTTCTCATAGTGTGTCAATGAATTCAAGGATTCCTTATGCAATTAGGATAAGGTGGTTTTTCTGAATAGAATCTCATGTTGGTCTTCTTTCTTCCCTGGGGTTCTTCCTGTTTTGCAGTTGTGAAGGAGAGAGAGCTGGAGATTGGGTGCCCAACTGATGTAAAGCATGTTGCTCACATTGGGTGGGATGGCGCCTCTGGGAATCCACCCAGCTGGGTAAGTTCAATTTATATTTCAAAGTAGTGAATTTCTCCCATTCCATCGACCTCAGTGATAAAAAGGTTTTGATCTTTGATTCATTTATTAGGCATTATATAGCGAATCAATGAACTATCTCCCATTTTTCTGATATTGTTGATAAAGACAGTTTTGATCTTTAATTCACTTGGGTTATATATAGCAAATTACTGAACTATCCCCCATATTCCCATCTTGTGGATAGAAAAAGTTCTGATCTTTAATAATTTTGGGGTGTCTGGTTTCTTCTGCAGATGAGTGAGTACAAGACAGCTCCTGAATTCTCATCCTCAAAACCTTTTGGTGCAGCAAATGGAGTTCCAAAAGAGTCCAATTCCACGTCTTTCTCTCCATGGTCCTCTCAAGGTAATTCAATAACCACTAATGTATCTTCTCTTTTCTTATCTGTGGTGGGCAGTGGCCCGGTTCGATTCAGATTCGGATCGAATTAGTATAGGATCTGATAGAAAATTAAGAGATATCAAACCTGGATCTCTGAAATGCATCCGAGGAGGAACGGTATTAGCCTTTTTATGAGCGGGGTGGGCAATGGTCTGGTCTGATCTGGAATCAGATCGAATACAAATGGGGAGAGGCAATGATTCGGTTTGGTTCAATCAAAACACCGATCAGCCCCGATTCTGTCTGGTCTAAATACTTAATGGTGTCGCCCACCCCTGAAAATGAAAATGTGATGCCATGTGCCCGGTTTGGATTTTGTGTTGAGAAGGCTCAATGGTTCGCTTTCAACTTAGTTGGATTCTTGTGTTGCTGAATGCAGAAAGTGTCCAAATTTTTAGGTTCATGGAAAGCTAAAATCTGTAGTGTACAAAAGAAAGCTATTGAAGCCTCTTTGCGTCCAGATAGCAAAGAGTTTGGCTGCTTATGTCACGGGACTATGCTTCCCTTCGACAAGAGAATCTATCATAGCGTGAAACATTAAACAACAGCTTGTTTTTTGTTCGGATCCCCTAGTCTCACTTTGCACTTTCCAGTAGCTTGAAACTCCATGTTCTTAAGTGATATCCTGGCTTTCTTTTCCTTTTTATGAATGCTTTTTGTTTACCCTTTTGCTGTCAATGTTTTTGGCTACAGATTTTAGTGAATCAATGGGGCTTCACCAGATGCCTGTGTCAACAATGCTGGATCAAACCGTGCCAACTTCAGACCCACCAAGCATCCCTAAGAAACTGAAGAGGAAAAAGAAGTCTGCGTCGACATCAACGCCTTCAAAAGGTTCATCGTCGTCTTCTTTATCGAAGGCTTTACGGTCATCCAAGGCTAATAAAGCCGTGTACCACGAGACAATGCCATCCATGATTGCACAAGCTTAATTAGTAGCCCGATTTGTCGAAGTGTATAAGGAATGTGCATAGCAGGAAGAAGGCGTCTTTTTTCTCTTTCTTGGTGATCAAGGCTTCTGTAAATGTGTTGACAAAGTGTACTACAAATATTGACTGTTGGAGTACTTAGGGCTTGATATGGTATAAGGGGAGCATAAAAGGTAATGTTAGATTGCAAGTTCTACTCCTGAGGTTTACAAGAATGTGTTGTGAAACAATATTGTAAGGAAATGTGGGTTCAAAAGTGAGAAATTTTTTGGAATTCAATTTGGTTGGATTGAATGAGAAAGCTCTGGTTGATGATTGATTTGTGGTTAGGGATTGGAGATACCTATGGGCTTTGTATAGTTTGGTAACATGTCAAGCTTATTTATGGTTTAGAGTGGTCTAATGTGATTCAGGCACAGGTCTTTGTCTCTTTAAAATTTAAATCACAAATTCTGTAAAGCTCTCCTGCCAAATGCATTCGAATATACAAACCTCAACCAATCATTAGCTAAATCTAGTGAATGGAATTTATATAATTTTATGGAACGCTTTCTTGAATAGGCCAAAATATCAAAACTAAAACTTGGATCGCTGTGTTGTTCATATATTAATAAGTTGTTTATACCTAAAATTATTTTGGCTCGACTACTACTACGAGGTTGGGTGAGGATGCGTTTGTCCATATGCGGAGGGAGGGAACTTTGCCCTTGTCCTAGGACAGGGGTAATCTTTTGAGAGGGAAAAAATAACCCCACATATGTTTGACGGAGAATAAAAAGTAATATAAGGATGTTTTGACACTACAACATAACTCATTACTTATCCATTAATTAACAAAAAATAATTAATTTATTCGTTTCATTCATGATACTATGATTCGACAACAGTTTGGTTGGCATTATTATTATGTTATGGCTTATGAGAGATTTGTTGGATTGAAATGAATTGATAAATTATCTCAGATCATGGTGTAGATAAAAGTGCGTAAGTTTTATCAGTCAGTTTATGTCGAAAGAGTATTTTTAGATTAAGCTATATTAAGAACAAGTTTCAAAGTCGAATTGACGATCAATTTGTTAATAATTGTTTAGTGAGATACTTTGAAATTAAGAGGCTCACTTAAGAGTGTAAACAATGAAGTTATTTTATATTTTTTCATAATATGAAAACTCATTGTGGTTGTTTATGCAAACAATAATTGTATTAGTCGGTTATTTCTTTATCTACGAATAAATTATATGAATATTATTAATTTAAATTATATTAATTAAATATTTATATATTTAAATTATGAAAAAGGACATGGGTGGTTTCGAATCCTGCCTCCGCCACTGCGTTTGTCTAGTGCCATTTTTTGTAATCTTAGTCACTATAGGTCCACATAGAGCAAAGCTAACAAGGAGACACAATTCAAAATATAGAATATGCCCTTACTTTTAATCAAAATAATGTTCAACCAAAATATAACTATAGGGTGGTTTGGAAGTTGCGATTGTTAATATTCAATCACTCGTTTCGCAATCACAGCTAGCTAGTACTCCTATGAGAAAACATATGGCTTGCAACGAAATATTCTTCACTTTCATAGATAGGAATTGGCCAAGCAATCTCGTGAACAAGTGATGATGTGATTACGGTCCCTAGTAAACAAAAAAGACCTTTATGCTAAACTCCATTTATCTCAAAAGTGGTTGGGGGTTAGACTCAAACCTCATCACCTAATTAGGCAGATTTGGTTCAGGTCCAAATTGATACAAGAAATTATATAAATTTGATCTGTTTCTGTACAAATAAAAAATAAAAATAAAAACTCATGAATATCAATCCACCACACCCGCTTACTCATCCATTACAAGCTATCATTCACCCAACATGTCCACAAATACATACTTAGGTGAGCCAAAATTTTCACCATTCAACTATTGCTTAACCCTTAAAATGAGGATGTATTTGTGTACAAATATTTCTTTTATCTGTAGTGACAATTCTCCAGAAAGTATAAAGATAACGTATCATAACATCACGAATAACAATCATCGAAGTTCGAAATTACTTAAAACACATATTACAAAGAATTACAGTTTAGGACCAAAGAGAAGAGAGAACAAAGAGAAAGAGACCGGAAAGGGTGCAGCTGAGATAAACAAGAGAGATGAGAGAATTAGAGAAATTAAGGTTATGCAATAATCTAGTTAATTCTGCATAATTCTTAATCATCCCAATTACAAACTAGCATAGTCCTATAACTTTCTTTTTTATCCCCTAATTCATCTTGTCGGTCACTTAATTATAACTAGGACCGGTAATGAACCAACCCGCTTATGAATGGCTCGGAGTCCGACTCGAGGAAAACTCGTTCGATACTCGATTCGTCTTAATTGAGCCGGCTCGCGAACAAGCTCGTTAACTAAACGAGTCGAACTCGAGCCATACCATGTTTAGCTCGAAAGCTCGCGAACAAGCTCATTTAACGGTTTGGTATTAGAAAGGATTAGAATTCATGGATTTTATGTATTGAAATTGGGATAAATATTGTGTTTTATTTTGCTAGACTTTGCTACATGTTTGAATGTAATTTTGTGCTTAATTGTAGGTCAATCTTGAGCTATTTTGAACATTTTACGAGCTGAACTCGATTTTGGACTCGTTAACCTTATTTGACGAGTCGAGCTCGAGTCGAGCTCGAACTTTCATTTTAATAAACGAGCCGAGCTCAAACTTGCATATTAAAGATCGTGACGAACACGAGCCGTGCTCGAGTCTGAAAAATATATTAACGAGCCGAGCCCGAATTATGACAAAACTCGGCTTGCTCTGATCATTAACAACCCTATTTATAACTATAATCTCAATATTATTACCAAATATATTTGCTAACAGGGACCACAAACTTCTTGAATGTTCTTATAATCATAATATGTAATTAAATAACATAATATAAATTACCGCTAATAGGTGCATAAGTTTTTAACAAAGTAACTAAAATTGTAATAGTGTTTTTAATAATTTGGGGGTGTAGCTCATATGGTAGAGCGCTCGCTTCGCATGCGAGAGGCACGGGGTTCGATTCCCCGCACCTCCATAATTTATTATTTTGTAAGTTCAAATAACTATCCCCTCTTTTCTACGTTGCCACCGCACCGTATATTAAACACCAATTTTATTGTTTGGTCAAGCCAAACCGATAAAATTGGTTGTTCGGTGCGATTTAGACTGCTCCACACATTGCACAGCAATGTACTTGAACTAACTAATCCAATAACAATAATTAATCCTATCCAATAACAATAATTAATCCTATTGACCTGCTGTATTTTTTTTTCAGCTGTGTAATCCCCTGGCTTAATGCCTCCCATAATAATTAATAATAAAAAATTAAACGATTCATTTCCCAATAACACTAATTAGTAATTAATCCCAATTTCCCAGAGGCGTTAAAGGATAAGTAAACGAATCAAAGAGAAAAAGACCACGGCCGGGCGGAAGTGAACTGCTTGGATTCTTGTTTCCTTTCTCGAAGATATTGTCGTCGTTGGCGGCGGCAGCAGAGGCGGAACTGCCGCGACAGCAACAGGAAGAGGAGCTATTTTCCGAAGAAATATTTTCACAATCATCACCTTCAGACCGACATCCGGTGGCGGATAAAAGAGAAGAATGAAGAAATCAAATTTGAATTTAGTAATTTACTGGGCAGCCAATTGTTTGCAGTTTGCAGTTTTGGAACGCAACCGCTCGGTTTCGGATTAACTCGACCGCGAACCGCTAAAAATTCAGACCGCATATTTGAACGCAAGTATTATGATGCAGTTTGGCTCGACTGCAAATGCGGTTCGGTGTGGTTTGGAGCGGTTTGACCGCACCGATGCCCACCCCTAGTCGCAGACGTAGTTTCTCACCCATGGCCTTTTATTGTAGTTTTCTAACGAGATTGTTTCTCAAAAATCTTGTGGGGAGCGATTTACTTGAAAAATGAAATTGTTATGAGTCGGATGACTTTTGATGTAATAGTTTTGATGAAGTAGATCTCAATTTCTTCCAAAATCTCAATGAAAAAAGGGTCTCATTTCCCTTGCAAGATCCTAGTATTTGCTAAGCGTAATTTGTTTCTCGGAATAAATAACATCGGATTATTATAATCTCCATTCATGCTCGAGGCATTTTATTTGAGTGGGATTTCACGCATTCTAGGGACAAAGTAAAAAAACTTCATGTACATCTTATTTTGTAATCACACTCATCTTATGGGGTTTTATTGACTTTCTATGGTATATAGAAAAATAAATATAAAAACGTTAAGCAAAAGTTAATGAATGTTAAGAAATGTTGATCCTCATTATGCAGAGTGATAAACAAAGATGATATTCTCCTTCTCCTAAATGATTAAGTTACTTTATGCTTAATACCTACTAGGTTGGTTTGAGACTTGGAGAAAAGGAGCAAGTTTTGGGGTGTGTTTGAAAGGAGAGTTAGGGCCAATTGGGCCTCAAATATTGTCAAGGGCCTAGTTCTGAATTACGGGCTTGTGATGGTTGAAAAGGTGAGGTTATAGTAGTACTAGCTTAGTAGCTTATCATTCGGTCCCTTGGCCGGATGTTCTAAATATTGGTACTCTGGTTTTGACTGATACGACCCATTAGTATATATGTTACGATGGTCGGAATTAGACCAACAACACCATAATAATATGATGGAAAGTAATTATCGTATTGCATTACAAAAGAAACAGTAAAATAAACAATCCAACCAATCCATTAGTTCTAAATCAAGCAACTATTGCCAAGCACCATGATTCCTTAGAGTGAACATGTAAAAACCATAGGAACACTTAACTAGATCCAATTCCCGGCAGTAAAAATGGAAGCGACCAAGCGATTCATAAAGAAATCCCAATATGGATTACCCTTAGACCAAAAACCACAGTGACACTGAAGGCGATGAATCTCTAGCCGAGAAAACAAAAATCAACAATGTCCAAATCAAGTCGATGTAATGCATTGACCATTTTTTCTTATTGATAAATAACGTTGTTAATTAAAATGACAGATAAGAAAAGAAATACAAAACATGCAGTATGTTGTAGAAACCCCAAATACAAACAATTAAAGAAACAAGCAAGCAACATATGCTTGGAAACACTAGCAGATAACAACTTTTCTCAATAATCTTACCACTATGAAATCATATTGCTAATCACTCTGCTACGCTAAACCCACAAATGACTTACAACCCTATTACTTTCTATTTCATCAATATGTATATGTATAAGTCTATCGTCATGTAACCTCTCCATTATCACGATTCATATCCTTCTCAACAACAAACAGACTAATTGGTCCTCTCTTACTCCTCCTTCGCGGCAGCTACATGCCATTTTATATTAGTGCACATTAATCCAAATGACCATTCTTTGTTGCAAATTTTGGCTTGAGGTAATATCACTTCGGTCATAATATAAATTTACATGAAAGTAAAGAAATGATCATTATAACAGGCTTGTTAAATTTAGAGTACCAACGACATTTCCTCTCTTCTCCTTGGTGGTTTCGTCAATCAAATGAGATTGGCAGCTACCTCTACCAAATCGTTCTATATGAACATAGTATGGTCTTTTGTATACATTGTTTTTTTTTATGAATTCTTTTGTATAAATTGTTTCCGCCTTACCCATTTTTTGCATTGCAACTCCAAGAGCTAACTTGTTGGGGCTCTCCTTTAGGTAAATAGCTTGTATCACGATCAGGTATGACAACAAAATTGCTTTGGTCGAGATAATATCAGGATCTAGTGTTGCTTTGAAGACGTCTAAAGCATTTCTCATGCCTTATCAACCTCCAATCAATTTAACACGGGTCATTGCTCTCTTACCGTCTAAATTAAAGGGAGAGCTCATGATTAGTCTCTTTCATAGCTCAACTTGACAATTTCTTGGAGGAGATATAATCACGATTCACAATTCCAGAACAACCACCTCAAATAATACAATCTTATGGGAACAACACTAACGAAGCAACAAAATTGAAATTTTATAAATATCTCCTCTGCGGTTTTGATGAGCTCAAATCCCGTAATCAGGGCAAGACGTCAATAAATTTCAGGCTGAGATGTTAAATCGATCAAGTCTAGACATGTGTATATTTTAGCAGGCTATACGACAAACACAGAGAGTTCGGTTTCTCCATCCCGTGAGCCATGACAACACATGCTCACCATGTATTTATCCCTTGCAGAGGAAGAATATCAAACCACCTTGTATATGCTCCAATTATGGCTATCACTTGTGATTTTTATATTGTAGAAATTAGAACTCCATTTTTAAATATGGAGGTAAGTGACCACTATCACAAAACTTTGTATTATAAAAACTGATATGCAATCATGAAGTTATTTCAGTCAAAACTCAAAAGAAACCATATTTATATATTGAAGATCAGGATTATAGTTTGAATAGTTCAATACAGCAACGATCTCACCTCTAACATCTGGAATGTGTGAAAAAGTGGTATGATTGAAGTTATTCCCTATGTTAATACTAATCAGAATAGTCTTTGGTTACTCGAATAACCACAATAACCACAAAAATATTTCAAATCGGGAAAATGATGATACTGAAAAGGAGTGTATATCACAACAAAAGCAACAAAAAGTATAGCTATGTCTCTTTAATCAAACCAAAAGTTAACCTAAACGATCAACCAAATGAACTGATGATTAAGAAAAAACGCATTATTGCCAAAGAAAATAAAGAACCCACCAATTAGCTCTCAAGTAAGAATATTGAAGACATCCCAGTTGCAACGTCATCAACTGATACTTTCACTAATGTTTCGGCTTTTGCTTAGTTTTGCAACTGAATACTTGGAGTACTCTCTTGATCAAAATGGAGAGCTAAAATTCTTGTCCTGTTAGCATTGATCTATGAAGTATACAACTTAGAAAATTATTAAGTTGATTACAGTGGCGGATCCAGGGGGTGGCCACCCCGGCCCCGGCCCAGCACTCCTCTGGATCCATAGTTAGTATAGGCCTTATAAATTTTTCGATTTTAGATATTCGGGTCGTTGTTATTTTAAAATAAGGTTGGGTATAATTAGAAAAATAATTCAGATGAACATATTCAAAATCACTACTCTAAATTTAGCTTATAAATTCTAACCCCAAAGGTTATTCGTCTAAAAAAACAATGAAACCTAAAAATTCAAAAAGTTTAAAACGTAAAAGACTAAAACATATATGAGGTTTGTTACCTTGGAAAATTTACTAGAGGAGCTGGTGGATATAGGGATGGAAACACAATGCAAATTGATTAGTAGATTGATTTGTCTAGTGTTGATGCTGCTCGTTTCAACAGTTAATACGAATAGAACCTTTTCAACAACGAAACATGTGAAAATTCATTTGCGCAACAAAATGAGCGTGGATTTCTAGTCGATTGCTCAAGTATTTTATTTGAAACAGTGTATACTATTGGTATGGATGTGGACTCCATTATTAATGCATTCGCTAAATTAAAATACCGTCGTGTACAATTTACATTGTAAAAAAATTATAATCATTATATTTTTTTACTATTCTAATTTTCTAATAAAATGCGGCCCAGTGCACTTCTGTGTTCTGGATCCGCCGCTGGTTGATTATAATGGTTTGATGTTGATTAGGATAATCAAAGGCCATTTTCAAGAATTCTCCGAAATATTTATGGCATATGACATAGAACTTGAAATTTTTTAAGAAATATGTGTAGTAGAGTTCAGTAGAGTTTTTCGACCTGGTTTCTAGTAAATGCAATAAAGTTGTTACCAATTTGATCTCTACTATAATTAAAACTATACTCCATATCATTAATGCTAATAACAAATATTAATTATAAATCATTATGCTAGATAAAAATTAAAACAACGTTTTGCTTTGTGGGTGCACATCAAGTAGAAAATGGGTTGAGTTTTGGCATAACTCGCAACTAGTGATGGTAATGGGGTGGGGCGGGGCAAATATCTCAATACACATGTCCCGCCTCACGCTACTGCAGGTCAAGGCGGTAGAACCCGCGCAGATACTGGGCGGGGTGGGTCGACCCACTCTTACATGTTATCTGAAAAAATACACACAAATTTTACTTTTTACGATAAAACGGAAGGAAAAACACTATATGAATGAAAAATAATGATAATAGAATGAGTAATTGAGTCTAACAAGTTGAACGATTGACTCTAACTAGTTGAAGAAAAATCAAAATAAGAGAAATGTTTATAGATATTGTAAGAAATTGAGATAAAATTGATCGAGAATGGGGCGGGGCGGGTCAGAAGTTGATAGCCATGCCCCGCCCCACGCTACTACGGGTCGGATAATACCCACGTGACATATTCAAATTGCCATCACTACTCGCATCCAAATCAATCCGTCGTTCTAAAATGGGTAAAACACGTAGTTGATCCAAAACTCATAAACACTAGGTTTTACTCAAATGTATAGGTCTATGTTACCTTCGAGTCTGAGTTCAAATGTCATTCTTACGAACCAGGTAGGGAGACGTGAGGTGGCGGCATGAGGCTAGTCCGCTTGTTTATCAGGTCGCACATCTTTTTTGTTTTTGGGGAGACAGAGGTATCGTGAATTACAAACCCTTCGGTCAATTTTTTTGAAAGATTGGTTTCATAGATAATGGCGCTCGTTTTTTGCCTTTTAGATGGTGTTAGAGGAATTTCAGTGGGAACTAAGTTTTCACGTTTTGTTTGCCAACTAGATAATATGCCTTCTGATTTTTGCAATCACGATATTGGTCCATTCTGTAATTTGAGAATACTTGCGGCCATAATATCTAAAACTCTTTTAATTTATCCAAATTAATTGAGATTTCATACCAGTTTAGGAGGGTCTCACTATAAAATTCATGCAAAGCAAACAACTTATTCCAATATTACATGACTAGTCACAACCTCTCACAATTTACCATACCAATAACAATCCGATAAGTCCCCATGAACAAATTAATCTTTGTTCTTAATCGTCCTCGTTTTTGTCTTTGTTCCACAAAACCAAAGATGAACATCCTGATCATTCCTCAGAAGTCAGAACTTGGCGCTGGCTCCTTGTTTTCTCCAAAAGATTCCACATCAAACTAAAATAACACACCATAATAAGTCATAATTGAACACACATCCTTCCAATCAAAAGCATTAACTCCGATCCCTCTCAAAAACATATCCGCCTTTTCTTCACTTCGTTCACAGCCCATAACCAAAGAATTATTTGGAATAAAATACAGCAACAAAAGCAAATCAATGCCACTTTTCCTACTTAAACACCTATGTTGTTTTAACAACCAACAACATCATTGTACACTATAATTTTGGGCATACAAGTTCATACAATATATACATACTTCTATCGTAAACTAGACAATCTCTACCATTCACGTTCATCTTAACGGTCAGCATAGATGCAATAATTTATTTTTTAATCTAACAGAAAACAGAACCCGCATTTATGCTGTCCGTTGAGATGGACGCAGACAATTAAGATTACCTGGTGTACGATATACACCAAATTTTATCTGTTGTACGATAGAAACATCCATATACATGTACATATTTTTGGATGAATGAGAGATTCATGAAATTACTAACAGGAACTTTTCATCACATGTTACACATGTTGAAGAATTGCCTTTTTTGCCTCTGAATGATGCATATCCTTAAAAAAAAATAATACTAGAGAATGCAAAATATGAAGGTGAATGCAATAATACTCCTACTGAAAGTAGGATTACATGTGAGTACTGATTACGTGCTTTCTAACAAATTGACTTTTATCATTGATATCTTTTTATGATTGAACAAAAGTGAATCATTGATACAGTACTGAGTACAGTAACGCGTGAATGTTATAAAGCATCATAAAAAAGAAATACGTGCTAAATATTCTCTTACAAAACATGTGCTTAAAGGGTACTTCTAAGTCCTAACCTTCATTCGTGAACTGATTTTGAGATCACATTTGGTCACTGATATTACTAAGTAATATCATATTTAGTTTTTAGAAAACATATGCTTAAAAGGGTATTCATACATCTCTCTCTCCTCATGGTTTGAGCATTCAGAATTTTAACCCTAGTAGCTAGCTAAGATATATATGTAACAATATAGCATCTTCCCTTTTCCCCCCCAAACATTCCAACTACATAAACAAACAAACCCCCCCCCCCCCCCCCCCCCCCCCCAAAATTTCCACACCATTCCGCCGCTCACAATGTCTTGTTGCGGCGGCCGCCGCGGCCTGAAGCTCTGCCTCATCGTCGCCGGCATCCTCCTCCTCGTCCTCCTCGTCACCATCCTCGTCGTCTTCCTCGTCGTCCTCAAGCCCAAACAGCCCAAAATCACCACCAAATCCGTAACCCTCGACCGCATCCACTCCTCCATCTTCCCTAAACCTTTCCTCAACCTCACCCTCGGCCTCGTCGTGGAGGTCGAGAACCCGAACTACGGCAGCTTCCGCTACGACGACAGCAGCGCCTACCTCGTCTACCGCGGCGGCCTGGTCGGGGTCTCGCCGATCCCGGCCGGTTACCAGAAGGCCCGGTCGACCCAGACGATCCGGTCCAACGTCACGCTCATGGCCGGTGGGTTGCTCAAGGATTTGGAATTTTACGGGGATTTGGTGAAGGGGGTTCTGAATTTCACTTCGACGTCGTCGTTGCACGGCAGGGCGTCGATGTTTAAGGTAATGAAGGTGGAGGTTACGAGCAATTGTACGTGCGAGATTTCGGTTCGTGTCGCCGGTAAGAAGGTGGACTCCAGTTGTAAGACCGTCGTCCGCCACTAGAATGATGATGAATGAAACTGCAATAATATTTTATTTTTTGGTGAACTAATTTATGTTTTTTTTTTTTTTTTTTTGTGGGATTTGTGACTTCTTCTTCTTCCTCCTCCTCCTCCCATCTATCTATCTATCAAATTTGTTTCACATTCTTGTAAGAATTAGTTTGTAGTTATTTAATTATTTATTGAAGTTCACTTCTCATCACATATTTTGATTTGTATTAATTAAGTTGGGTAATCACACACAAACGCACTTAAATATATGTTGTGGGTACTTGAACTCGAGGAACCTTTGCTAAATAGTTCGTTTGTTATGTGCTACTAGCTAGAGTTTCAATAATGTCGCTTTTTAGGATGGTAAAATAGTGTATTATAGTAGAGGAAGTACATTATCATTTAATAATTGGTGAACTTGCCAAAGTCATTTATTTCCAATCTGTTAGGCAAAACACAATTGACTTACTATTAGGAATGACAATGGGCAGGTCCGGGGCGGGTTACTTGGTATCCAGACCTGTCCCGTGGTAGGTTGGGTCCAGGTCGGATAACTTATCACGGGTCGCGGGTAGGTCAACCCAATGGGTATGCAATTTATATGAAAAATATTAGAAATATTCGTTATTTTTATTATAAGACCAAGAAAACAAACAATATTAGAATAAATGTAGTTAAATTATTGGAGAAATTGAGGCTTTCACTAATTTAAAACTTTATTATAGCTAAAATATGATGTAATAAAATGAAAATCCTAAGTAATTTGACTAAGATTACATGTAATTTAGGCAAGAACGGGTCGAGAATGGAGCGGGTCAGGACAGGTCGGGTCAATGAGAGTACACATGCCCGCCCCGCCTACGGGGCGGGTCAGACCCACCCCAAAACAGGCCAAACAGGTCGGGTAAAATAGGTCAGGTTGAAATTGCCATCCCTACTTACTATGCTATATTGGATTAATTAAAATGTGAAATATTAGTACAACATTATAATATTTTGATTAGAAGATATAAGTGGGTTTTTGTGTGCTCCAGAGGTAGCGCAATCCGAATATCATAATCCACACTCCGATACTCAAGTTAGTTCGAACGTTAAAATAAACTTATAAAGTATGTGGCGAAAAGTTAAATCCATAAAGGGTGTTTTTGTTTTAATAATTCTTTAAATTTGATACCTTTCCCTCAAACTTGTGGAACTTTTTCTCCAGTTTGGGGAAAATGTTTGGAAGAAGAAATTGTACGCTAGGAGTTGGGCCCTCAATTTGGACGATAGAAGGGCTTGGACCCCAAGCCTGTTATGGGCCCGGTAGACTTTCTACTGATCTTGTGCTAAATCAGTCTTTTATTTTCTCTGGGCTTTTGTAGTTTTGTTTGGGTCATGAATAATTTGTTCAGCAAGTAGTTGAGTTGATTCCAGGGGCAGAGCTACTTGGGAAGTAGGGTGGGCCCCGGCCCTAGAGATGTCAATTTCGACTTGACCCGTTTTACCCGACCTGTTTGACTTGCTTTGTGGCGGGTCCGACCGGCCTCCGTAGGCGGGGCGGGGCGGGCATGGGTACCTCTCATCGACCTGACCTGCCCCGACCCGCCCCATTCTTGACCCGTTCTTCCCTAAATTACATGTAATCTTAGTCAAATTATTTAGGATTTTCCTTTTATTATCTCATATTTTAGTTATAATAAACTTGTAAATAAGTGAAAACCTTAATTTCTCCAATAATTTAACTACATTTCATCATATCATGGTTTCTTTCTTGTTCTTTTAATGAAAATAACGAATATTTCTAATGTTTTTCACATAAATTAGATACCCATTGGGTCGATATGCCCCGACCCGCGCACCGTGATAAAATACCCGACCTGGACCCGACCTGCCATGGGACGGGTATGGGTATCGAGATACCCGCCCCGGACCTGCCCCATTACCATTCCTACCCGGCCCTCCCGGGATTAGTCTGGGTCCCTAGGATCTTAACTCTTAAGGATATTTAGATAAAATTTGAATAAGTAGGACTCGGCCAGAATATTAGTTTATACAATTATCATGTAGTCTACTGGTAGCTAATCTAATTTTTAGTGTGGAGCACTCAGGTTCAATTCACTACTACCTCACATTTTGCTTTGTTTTGAGTGATTTCAATAATTTTTAGATTATATTGAAAGAAAGGTAGCAAAACATTTAGTTGAGATGCTATTTTGAGTGATTTTTCAATGATTTCAAAGAACGTTGTATACTTTTAAATAATTATTTTTATTTACATTTAATTATATTCGGCGCACATGGTGTAGAAATCCTGGCTCCGCCCCTAATTGATTCCTTCATTTTAAAATTGGGATGGTACTACAGAGAGCATTTAATTGATGGGATTGCAATTCCAACCTCCACGATGAGGAAGATGGATGGAATCCAGTGTGATCATCTCCAGCTTTATCCAGAAAAAGCACCAATCGAGATAACACATTTACTCATACATACTTACTTGTAATAGTAAGTAAAGGAAGCCATTAATATACGAGTCAGGGCTCATAAAAGCCAAATTCATTAATTAGACTTTGTTAATGGCACACAAACGTCTTTTTGGTTAATGCAAGAGCTAGAACTCAAGCTGGAATAGTTTAGGGCATACTGGGAATTATCATTCAGAAATGTCAGAGAGCAAACTTACAATGGTTTACTTTGGGATCTGTATTCTTCTTGGTTCGTATTTGATCTTCTGGACAATTTTATAAAGATAAGTGGAATGTGAGTATGTGACTATTTATATGTTAGTTTGAGGTTTACTTCATTAAAGACAGGAAGGATTTGTAAGGATATATTTTCGTCGTCGTTGGGACAAATCGATTGTCAAGTTTTAGTGCATCATTCGAAAACTCAAGGAATTATATGTTTAGAGATTTTAAATGTTAGCAAGAATATCTGGAGCGAGTTGTTGAACTTTCAGGTTGATGATGATGATGATGGTATTGTACCTCTCGCCGGAGCAAATGAAGTCGCTCATATTGAGATATGAAATCCAAAAACCAGAAGTAGTCATACAAACTCCATCATATACTTTTTTTTTCATATAGGTTCTCTCCGTTGTACTTTAAAGTCTTAAAGAAAATGTCCATCCCCATATGTCCATCATGGAAATCAGGGTTTCAGTTCCGAACCCTATCGAATCTCTATATAAAAAAAAAATGTTATGAAAGCACACATGAAATATTACCATCCACACCATGTTTTTATTTCTTAACCTCTCTCTAATATCAAGTGGTACCATTATTGTCATAAACCAGTTGGTATCAATAATTCGAGTTGTTGGGAGAAGATTATGTTGGATCTTATACCAACACTCTAACACGCCCCCCTCAAACGAAAGCCAACTCACGGTCTTGAAGTTTGCCAACTCTGATACCGTGTCATAAACCAGTTGATCCCAATAACTCGAATTGTTGGCAGAAAGTTATGATGGATCTTATACTGCACTCTAACAATTGTATCATACTACATACACTACACATATGACAATTATGTCGTAGCAACACTGACATATATGGTTGATCAGTAAGTGAAAGAGTTGGCGGATTTGGTTTGGTTGGTCCAAGATTCTGTGGCGAGCAATCATATTGGAAACCAGAATTGCAAAGAGAGCATGCATAGCATAGGTAATAATATGATGACGATGGGGGAGAAGTGGTTGGTAGGCATATTGAACACGCCAGCCGATACAAAAGCGTGGCTACAATTAATGCTTCGAAGCTCTTAGGATATAGTTTGGAAAACATGATGTAACTTGGTATATATAGTGTATTTCGAAATTCATACATTGGATATATATAAGTGTCAGAGCAGAAGTGTGGCAATCGATAATCCAAATCAACACGAACGAACACAAATTTAACGTGGTTCACTAACACAATGTGTGCTAGCTAATCCACGGGCAGGGGGACAAATTTCACTAATTTGAGGAGAGTACAGGTTACAAACCAAATTCCAAACGGACAAACCAAACAAACTAACATGACTGACCTTACTACAGACTAGGGTGATGAAGAGTATTTATAGAACTCTTCTCCTAATCCCAAACAGAAAATCAAACACCTTTTCCCAAACATATAAGGAAAAGGTCAAAACAAAACCCAATCCCAAACCCAAACAGAATAGGCCTAAAACACAAAACAAACCCAAATCAAATTCAAGTCATATTCTAACAATAAGGCTGGAATATAGACTTATTTGAATAGACTTGGATCTGGTGAAGTTTGGGTTGGATTTTTTTTTAATCGAATTCATTTCATTCTATTTGGATATGCATGTACCGTATGTATTGGTGAAATGAGGTTTTTCTTTTGTTGTAAAAATGAAACTGAGTTATAGGGTCGTGACTTGGGTTTAGAGGTGGCAAATGAATTGGATTGGTGGATTGGATTGGTTGATCCATGGATCAAATAGATTGGATCTAATGGATTGGTGGATTCATGGATTGGATCAAGTGGATTGGTGGATTATCCATGAATCCAAATGACATCCTCAACCAAGGACCAATATGTAAAATGTAAAAAGTTTAGGTACTAAAATGTCATAATGAAAAATTTTAGGTACCAAAACGTAAATTTTCAATGATATTTTTCGTATAAAAAATTAAATTTTGGGTACCAAAATGTAAAAAGTAAAAATTATAGGTACTAAACCGTAATTTGCCATTGATCCATGGATCCAATCCATGAATCCACCAATCCAATTGGATTTGGATAAAATGGATTGGATTTAAATGGATTGGATTAGGTGGATATTTTTAATGGATTGATGGATTAGATTGGTGGATTGGATTTAAATTGCCACCTCTACTTGGTTGTACTCCAATTATGGGGTTATTCGGGAGTTCGATTGGACAAATTCGGTCGACTGATTTAGTGAAAATAATATACATGTGATTTACATCCCAATATATTCTATAGAACTTGAAGAAGGGTTTATGACAGAAATTATGGCCCTTCACCAAACATCACATCAGAGCATTTTATCGTCAAGAGTGAGTTTCCCTTTGTCCTTCTTGTTCGTGGACTTCCCGACTATAGCTAGGCCATCGATCTAGCCGCGGCAGATTGCGCCATTGTTCAAAATTATAAATGCTAAAAATGGTACTTTGTTTTGTTCTTTGGTGGACGACTTTACGAGCTAGTTACGTTGGAAATAAAGGAGGCCTTTGATAATTAGTGCACAATAGTGCTTTGTTGTTGGAAGAGCATTTCCTTCTTCAACAGTCCTCACATCTACCTCAAATGGGTCCAATTCAGTATGAACTAAATCAATATATTATGATCTATCGTGCGTCTTAAATATGACTTCTTATTACATGGTTGCAGGCGATTTGTTTGTATTAGTTATCATTGAAAGGAATGGACTTTCGTGTGTATGGAGATTGTGATGAATGCATAGATTTTGAAATATTACTATTCTAGTGGGTTTAATGCAAAGTTTATTCGAGGAAGAGAGAAGTTTTAGGCGGTTGTGGCTGACGGAGGAGAGAGGATAGAACTAGGGTTTGGGTAGATTATATAGAATAATCAGGTGTGGTCACTTTTTAATTTCCAAAATTACTCTAAAATAATCTTGACCGTAAGATTTTTGGGTAGATTATATAGAATAATCAGGTGTGGTCACTTTTTAATTTCCAAAATTACTCTAAAATAATCTTGACCGTAAGATTAAAAAAGAACGGAAAAAAATAATCAAATGGTATATAAAGAGGTTGCCACCGTGATTACTAAAAAACAAGTAATCGCCCTAACCCATTCTCCACAATAATCCACCAAACCCATCACACTTAAACAATGAGATTACATACAAGAGATATGTTTCTTGTCGTGTTTTTTCTCTTTATCCTATGCTACAAATTATAGAAGATGATCACAAATTTTTAATTAGTTAATTTTCATCTCATTCGTCGTCTCATATTAATAAATACAGGAGGTCATGGTTTCAAATTTGATTTTTATTTTATTTGTGTCACCCCTATCATTTTGGTCCAATTCCAAACCCAAACCCAAATATTCAAATTATCATTAGCAGGTAATGGAGAAATAGGGAACTCATCAAAGGGTGAAACGGCGGCGGATTATAGTCAATGCTTAAGAACTGGAAAAGAAGGTTAAGGCTAATTCTGCAGAAACGGGATTGATTTTTTTTTTTTTGCCATTCAACCGATCTCAAACGAGATGGAGATAAGATCCACACAACGTCAATTACAAACTACGTAACTAAGACACATAGTCGAACCTCGACAGGACCCGAGGCGACAAACTCAGGGACTTTTTGGCCACTAAATGAGCCTCCCTGGTCCTATGACGACCTACGAAACGTAGATCACAATACCCCCCAAAACCAGCCAACAAGGCTTTGATCTCACGCAAAATTGCACCAACCTTAGAATCATTGAAATTCCCTGCCAAACATTTATCCAGATAACCTTCGCGTCGCCCGTAATAAAAAGCGATGTGAATTGTGAGGTGTCTTGTGCTGCATTCCTTGATTGATTGATTAGGTTAGGCCACAATATGTGGGCTGGGCCGGGCCCCACGTTGACGTCGATTTTCAACACAGAGACAAACGTATCCATGTGTGTAACGCCACGTCGACGTCCCCTGACGTCACGTCATCTCGGCTCGCTGGAAGTCAAACTTTCCTCCTCCTCCGTTAGAAATGACGGAACAGGACTTGGGTCCTTTTCTTTCTCCTCTTCTCCGTGTGTTTCTATTTTACTGTTCACCCTTTTTTTTTTTACCCAACAGGCAACAACATTGAATTGAATTAGCTTTTTACTACCCTTTTTTCTTTTTTTCATTCCTTTGACTCCCTTTATGGTCCTTTGTGACACGTGTCGTCTGTCATTGATTTTTTGTTTTTGTTTTTGTTGTTTTCTCTACTCTAGGCTCTCTGCTAGGGTTACATTTGGCTAGCGGTTCATTATTTTTCAACCTACAAGTCAAAGGGGAAAGGTATTAGTTTATTACGACTCTTATCTCGGTTAGGGGAGGTTCGCTTGAAGCGTGATTTTATCATCCCAATTGATACGAATCATAAAAATTACTGATATATATTATGATTAATTCGTACAAAAGATGGTATGCATCGAATTTTGCACCCTCTAATTTTCCTTCCAAATTAGGAGTATATTTTAATAAGGGAAAGCAATATGCACAACAACTAATAATGTGTCCAGTTTTGCATCAAGTTTGCCTTGTAGCCCACATCATTGAATGGCAGGTTATGATTTGTTTCCTAATTTATTAAGGCAGCTAAGAAATCCCTTTTCAGTCCCCAGCGATCATATTAACTTATTAAGTAATAACCAAACGAAGACCACACCCACTAAGTAAAAAATAAGTTATAATGAATCAGCAGGAAAGAAACAAAACAAAACAAAACATTAAAAAAAAACATACTAATCAAAAGATGTTGAAGTCTCAAGTCTCCATCGTAGCTGGTCCTGGTCCAAAGAAGTATTTATGATCAAAATTCCTTCATTTTCTTCCTCCTGCAAAAATCCAATTTCTTTTGGTCAATTAGCTCACACTTAGGGATCATTTGGTAAGCACGTAATGTATAATTCATATATTTGAAGAATTCATGTATATTGTATGTTGAGTTGTGAGAACTTGTGTAATATTAGAATGCATTGTTTGGCTTGCATGACTTCATGGTAAAACCCACATAATTTGGCATGAAATCTCAAATACTTTGGGTAAACCCAAAGCATTTGAGATATCATAGTCACATGATTCTAGAATTACATGGTGCACCAATATCATGACATCTGTCCAAAAGTGAAACAAGAAAAACAGTGAATATAGTTTAATGAAGATTGAATATAGTTTAATGAAGATTCATTTTTGTCGACACAATTACTCCTAGTCCCCAATCTTATATTATCATCCAAACAAAGTGAATTATGGTAGGCATTGTATATCAAGTTCGGTATCTAGCCCGTAGCATGATAATTTAAAATTATCGAAGGAATAAATAAAAATATCTGACGTTAAAAAGCTATTAAATGTATTTTAAATATTGTTCACTAGCCAATCCATAGTAATTCATAAGATTAGTTCAATTGAAGCATGAATAGTTTCATTTTTGTACGTCCAACATTTGATGATTTCATTGTACACACAAAATCCACACATTTCAAACGATGATGTCAAACGTTGTAATTGTTTTCAAAGATTAGAGCACTGTCTAGAACGATCCAGCGCCATTGGAAGGAACGTGTGACAAGCTAGGTTTTGATGGGAAGAGCCCTAGAATTGGAGCTTCATCATCAGAAAGGTGTATGGCATGATGGAAAGAATGGAAGATAAGGAGACGATGATGTAAAATAAATAATCGTGTAGAATTCATTGTCAAACGAAATCTTATGTTTGGTATGTTATATTTAAATTTTTAGAAAATAAAATAAAGTGTCTTGTAGACTTCATTGTCAAATGAATTCTCGTGTTTGGTATGTCATATGTATAAGTAATTTAGTTAATAAAAGAATGTGTTTATGCCATTCTACTATAATCGGTAAATACTTGTGGAATTCATTTTGAAATTTCATCCAAATTCCTCGGAATTGCTGTAGCTAGTTCCAAATTCCGTAGAATTCAAAATCTAGAACTGAAAGTGAAATTCTTTTTAATACCAAACACAAAACTATTTCCATTTCAAAACGAATTTATCAAAACTTATGGAATTCATTCATACCAAACAGCGTGTAAAAGTTTTTTTTTTTTTTTTTGCGTCGGACCAATCATACGATACTGTTTCACAAATACTGGTATTTTTTTTAGTTGAAGGGGTATGTATGTATGTATATATATATTTCTTTCACATTCTTTTTCCATATACAACAACATTTCTCTCTCTCTCTCTCTATGGTAGCATTAAAAACCTGCTATTGCTCTTGCTCTTGCTCTCTACCATAAATGCAATTGCACCCTCTCAATATACGCTCTCTTCCTCCTCCCTCTCCCTCTCCCTCTCCCCGCAATAACTCCTCTTCCTCAGCCTGCCCACATCTCCCCACCTGTTTTCCTTCCTCTCCCTTTCCCCCCTTTCTTCTTCCTCCATCCATCTCTTCTTCTCCCTTTGATCTGTTCAAAATCCCTTCTTCTTCCTTGTCCGTTTCTCTCTCCAGCAGTCGTCATCTCATCAAGAAAAACCCTACTTTCCCCCCCTCTCTTCTCTACCTACATCATCATTAAGAAGGAGAACTAGAAGAAGACACAGTCAGTCGTCCCAAGAGTCAAACCAGTCCAGCTGATCAGCCCCCTTCCCTGACCTGAATACTTAAGCTTTCGCTCCCGACGAAGAAAGAAAGAAAGAAAGAAAGAAGAAACCCTATTCTCTTTTCGTTTCCGGGGGGGTAAGTTCTTCTTGTTCACCTTCCTATTATCCCTTTAGCTTGCAGTCTGCTAATGAGCTTGCTTCCCAATCCGATCCACCATAATTCTGATGGAGTTATTATGTTTACGTTAGTATTTTACTAGTAGAGAGAGAGAGAGAGAGAGAGAGAGAGAGAGGGAGTGAAAAATGGGGATGGGATATTGGCGAGATCTCAGTGGCCAAGCGTTATAATAAACTCGTTAATTTGTGGAATGGGCTCTCTCCTCTCTTACCCTCTTTCTAGTTCTTTTTCCAATCCTAGTTTGTTGTTGCAAGTGTGGTAATGATAATAAGAAGGGGGAAAAAGAAGCCATCTCTCTCCGTTTCTTTCTCAGGCTTGTAATGTAATGAGAATTGAAACCTTTGTTGTTTTCCAGAGAAATCTAATTAAAATCCCTGCTGCCATCCCAACCCCCACCCAGAAGTCAAAAGGGTATATGGCTATATGCATAAAACTAAACAAAAACCCACCTGTTTTCTATTTGCTGAAAAGCTTACTTACTTATCTATCCTCTCTCTCTCTGTGTTTTTCTGTGCCTTACTTAGGGTTTCTCTTGATGGGAAAGAAAGAACAGAAAGCTAGCTAGCTCCGCAGAAAGCTAATTCCATAGTTTGTGAACATGCATTGCAAGATGGAGCTCCATACCCGCGAAACTTCCCCGGATCTTGGCTAAGCTATAGCTCTGGCCTGTATATGCTTTCTCTACAACCACAAGGTACACTTGTTCTGAATCCGGGTTTCGGTCCGGATACTTAAAATTTGAACTAGATTATGTCTATATATGGTCTCTTGTTTTTTCCCCCATCTAGTACATGAACCTCCTTACCAAAGGTTTTTTTTTTTTTTTGGTTCTCTCTGTAAACCGTTACGTCTTCTCCTCTAATTACCATCTTCATTCAAAGCTTTTGGACTCCCTTAATCTTTGAGATCTCTCTCTCTCTCTTTCTCGCTTTTGTCTAAGAAAATGCGTGTACTACTACTCCATTTTTCTACCCTTGTATGGAACTTACTTAATTAACATCCGTCATCCCTAAATCTCTCACCATTTTCAGGATTCGACGTACTAAACGATAGTTAGCAGAGGAAAGATGTTCCAGCCAAACATGTTCGACAGCCCGCACATATTCGAGATGACCTCCAAGGCGTTCGAGGCCGAGATGGGGAAGTCGAGGGACTTGCTGGACGAATACGACACCAAGTCCGGCACCGACACCATGGGCGGCGGAGCCGATCCCTCGGGGGACGAGGACCTAGACGGCAGCCCGTCGCAGCCGCCCAACAAGAAGAAGAAGCGCTACCACCGCCACACTCAGCGCCAGATCACAGAGATGGAAGCGTAAGCTACCACGCCCCCTAAAAAAAATTACCCTTGGATATGCACGTGCTGATATCGTTGTATATTGTTTCTGCGATTTTAGTTGCTGGATATGCATGTACACCGAACAACTAAAATTGCAGAGAGAGAGAGTAATTCAACGACGTCAACAATGTTGATGAAGTATTTTCGATGATTTTTTGAACTTATGTTCGATTTTTCCTGTTTTTGTGTTCGTTTAGTTTTTTTAAGGAGTGTCCACATCCGGACGACAAGCAGAGGAAAGAGCTGAGCCGGGAGCTAGGGTTGGAGCCGTTGCAAGTCAAGTTTTGGTTCCAAAACAAGCGCACTCAAATGAAGGTGATTAATTACTCTCGAGTTATTAGAACCTGTTGGTTTCCTGTTAATCCGAATTAAATCGGTCCTTTCTATCGAGGCCAGGCTCAGCACGAGCGCCACGAGAACTCGATCCTGAAATCGGAAAACGACAAGCTACGAGCCGAGAACAACAGGTACAAGGAAGCCCTGAGCAACGCCTCCTGCCCCAACTGTGGCGGGCCCGCCGCCCTCGGCGAGATGTCGTTCGACGAGCAGCACCTCAGGATCGAGAATGCCCGCTTAAGAGAGGAGGTAACTACTTTGCAATATCTCCTTTTTTATCATTTTTCACTACTTGTTGGATCACGTTGTGACACATTTTTTTTCTTCCCTTACGGGCAAATATTGTTGTGACACATTTTGTATGAATAAACAGATCGATAGGATCTCGGCGATTGCAGCCAAGTACGTCGGCAAGCCGATGAACTCCTTCTCGTCCTCCCATCTCTCCCCGCATTTGCCCTCTCGGTCGTCGATCGACTTCGGCGGCGGGCAGCCGGGTGGCTTCGTGGGTGAAATGTACGGGGCGGCGGCGGTGGCCTCGGACCTGTTGAGGTCGGTGGCGGGCCCGACGGAGGCCGACAAGCCGATGATCGTCGAGCTGGCGGTTGCGGCGATGGAGGAGCTTGTGAGGATGGCTCAGGCAGGGGAACCCTTGTGGGTCCCCGCGGCGGCGGCGACGGGTGGTGATCATCATCTTCTTCATCATCAGGGGAGTAGTGGTGTTGGCGAGATGCTGAACGAGGAGGAGTATTTGAGGACTTTCCCGAGAGGGATCGGGCCGAAGCCGTTGGGGCTGCGGTCGGAGGCTTCGAGGGAATCGGCGGTTGTGATTATGAATCATGTGAATCTGGTCGAGATCTTGATGGATGTGGTGAGTAGTAACGGAGGTTTCGAGCGCGCGAATAAGGGTTTGGTCTAGTAATATTATTACTTGAAGTTTTGGTTTTCGAATGAGTTTGATTATTATTCTTTGTGTGGCAGAACCAATGGTCGAGTGTGTTCTGCGGGATTGTGTCTCGAGCGATGACTTTGGAGGTGCTATCGACTGGTGTTGCTGGGAACTACAATGGCGCCTTGCAAGTGGTAAAAATTGATGCCTGACCCATTACCCTTCATTTCCTAACTGTATTAGTTGGTTGCCCTAGCTAGGGCTGTCAATTTGATTTGGTTAACCGAACCATTTAAGTATGAGAAATCAAAAATCAAAATCAGATAAAATTTCTAAAATTCAAAATCGTAATGGGCTTAGTGGGTTTTGGTTTTTAAAGCTTTGTCTGGTTTGGTTTTTGTTTTCTTTAACCGAAAATCGATTATGCTCTTAACGATTACGGTTTGGATAAACCAAAAAACCAAGCATATAATTAAGGGAAGTTCATAGATGAAATCAGAAAAGACAACAAGAAGCATGTATATATATAAAAAAAGTCTACGCCACGTATGTTAGAGATGATCTGTATTGTTGATGGGTATCGATACAGTTAGAGTCTCTTCGACTTTTTATTAGGTTTTCAATTTTAATCGACACAGACACTATTAAAAAGTTCAACGGTTTAAAATCAGAACCCAAAATCATTACCCTTCTTATCAGTTTAGTTTCGATTTAAACCGAAAAACCAGAAACCGCAAACTGCCAGCCCTAGTTTACCAGCCTTTCCAATCTTTGTTCCTAAAGTCCGAAGGATCGACCTAATGGTAATACCCTAGATAGATATTGCTTCTTCATCTAGCCTCCATGTTTGACATTTTTTTTTTCCAAACGCAGATGACAGCTGAGTTCCAAGTCCCATCGCCATTAGTCCCGACGAGGGAGAATTACTTCGTAAGATACTGTAAGCAGCAGAGCGACGGCACATGGGCTGTGGTCGACGTCTCATTGGACAGCCTGCGGCCCAGCCCACTTTCCAAGAACAGAAGAAGGCCTTCCGGTTGTCTAATCCAAGAACTACCAAACGGTTACTCCAAGGTCAACACAATATTATATTAGTCAACGTTACTGCGTCGCCTTAGTTTAAAACTGAACTAGTCTCCTAACCCATGGTTTCCTCTTGTGGTTTAATTCATTAGGTGATGTGGGTTGAGCACATTGAAGTCGACGACTCGTCGGTTCACAACATCTACAGACCGCTGGTTCACTCCGGTCTGGCCTTCGGGGCCAAAAGATGGGTCGCTACGCTGGACCGACAGTGCGAGCGGCTGGCCAGCTCCATGGCCGTGAACATTCCGGCCGGCGACCTCTGCGGTATGGATTTACCTATGTTTTTTTCATAGAAACGGAAAAAGTTAGTAGTTTGTGGTTCAGCAGTTAATCGTTATAGAAGTGTTGGTTACTCGATGATAAAAGCTTTCAGCAACAAAATTTCTTATAAATTATTCAAACAATTTCGGGAAAAAAAAAGGTATTTGTTTTCTATTAAATTCAAGTTAGTGATAAGGAAGGCAATCCATTAGTGGATCAAATATACGGTACCAATACGGAGACTAGTAAACGAAAAAAAAGAAGCAGAAATAAAGTTATTAATCGAGATTGGATGGCCTCGGATTACGTAAAGTAATAATTTTTTTTTTTTTTTTTTGTGTGTTAAAATTGCGATCCAGTGGACAAGTCAAGAGTGCTATAATCTTATTGCAAACCGTTAAAAAATTGTTCAGTCCATCTCTGACCGTCCATTCAAATGAACTTAAGTTTTATTAATGTAACTGATTTTGTGGTTTTACTAGTCTAATAGTATTTATTAAAAAACTAGGTTAAAAAGATTTAACGTACGAAATGTGGTCTATTTGTTGAGTTCTCTTTTCGGTGTTGATGTTTTTTTTTCCCCAGTAATGACCGGGCCGGAAGGGAGGAAGAGCATGCTGAAGCTGGCGGAGAGAATGGTGATGAGCTTCTGCACCGGCGTCGGCGCCTCCACCGCCCACGCATGGACGACGTTGTCCCCCTCCGGCACCGACGACGTCCGCGTCATGACGAGGAAGAGCATGGACGACCCCGGGAGACCGCCGGGGATAGTCCTCAGCGCCGCCACTTCTTTCTGGATATCTGTCCCTCCCAAGAGGGTTTTCGATTTCCTCAGGGACGAGAACCACCGCAGCGAGGTAATTAATCGAAACCGTGTTCTCTTGATTTGCTCTTAACTAAGTTACGGAAACAAGTTATGCTAAAATACGAGTGGGGGGAAAAATGGCAGTGGGATATACTCTCCAATGGCGGCCAAGTTCAAGAAATTGCTCACATCGCCAACGGACGCGATCCGGGGAACAGCGTCTCGTTGCTTCGAGTGAACGTAAGTTTCTTAAAACGCATCTTCTTGGTTATTCTTACGAATACATAGTGGTGGAATTAGGTTGAAACCAGGAAGAGTTATAGCTAATGTATAGTTAAAAGCTAATTTTAAATCTTAAAAAGCTGTCATTTTTATGCATTCTACTTCAAGAGATATAATTTTCTTTTGCATGAATACAATTTTCTGCTTGAAGCATTCGAAATGTATTAAAATCCTTTAAAAACTACTTCTTTTATGCTTATGTCCATTTTTATGGGCGGGTTGTAAGAGCATTTTCATCAATGCAATTACAAAAGAAATTGCATTTGTGTTTTTTATTGTCAACTCAAAATTTTTGCAATCCACGTCACATTCATTGCATTCACCTACATCAATGCAATTAAACTTGCAATTGCAAATGTAATTAAATATTATGTTAAATTATAGAAAATTAAGTAAAAGTGAAAAGAAAATCATATAAAATAAAAAATTCCCATTTTTTAAAGGCTTTTTTTTACTTGCATATGGAATTGCGTTTGTTACAAGCTTGCAAATATGCAATTGGTAGCCACATCAATGCAATTTGTTTGGAATTGCAAACACCTATGTCATGTCATTTTGTAATTGAGAATGCAATACCAATGTGAATGCTCTAAAGTGTGGGTGAGACGATAGGGTGAGACCAAATAGCTTCATTTTTTCAGTATCAAAATCGCTAAGATTTGTCATTTTAGACATAGTTTCATGCTCTAAGAGAAATTACTCAATACACCCCTGGAGTACCACGTAGGATTTATGACGTGGTACTTCGGATGTATTCAATCATTCCTCCCTGCTCTAATATAAGATTTAGTGAGAACACTTAATTTAATTTGTAAAACGCTTTTACATGTATAAAAATTGTAGTTTGACTATATTGGTTATAGCTCTCCTCAAATTTACAATACAAGCAAAATACATGTAAAATTCGTTGCAAAATATAATATAATAATAATAAAAAGAAAGAGTACTCGATATAAAATTTTAGACGAATGCGTAGCACTAAAAAAATTTCCTCTTCTTCTACAGAGTACGAATTCCAGCCAGAGCAACATGCTGATACTGCAAGAGAGCAGCGTCGACGCGACGGGATCCTACGTCATCTACGCCCCCGTCGACATCGCCGCCATGAACATCGTGCTCAGCGGCGGGGACCCGGATTACGTGGCGCTCCTCCCCTCGGGCTTTGCGATTCTCCCCGACGGGCCCACGGCGGCGGCGTCGGCGTTCAACCCTAATGAAGGGATCGTCGACGACGTGGGTTCCGGCGGGACGCTACTCACCGTGGCGTTTCAGATACTGGTGGATTCGGTCCCCACGGCGAAGCTCTCGCTTGGTTCCGTGGCTACGGTGAACAGTCTGATCAAGTGCACGGTGGAAAGGATCAAGGAGGCCGTCGTCGCTGGGAAAACTACTGCACAAAATTAGGTAAGACGAAATCCCTATTTATTTAAATTTTGACTTTTGCTGTGATGCTTTTGACTTGGCGTTGACATTTGTGTTGTTTTGTTCTTTGTAGAAGGGAGTTGACTTTTGTGGAATCCGAAGGAAAAGAAATTGGAGGAAGTCAAGAACGCACCTAAGGTGATCCTTTTGATGAATGTGGGAAGAAGTGAAAGGCTTATATAGGTTCGGGTATTGACTTTGCCTATTCCTTAAAAAAAGGAAAGTTCTAAATGTAAAAGTATGACACTATTAATTAATCTTTATCCATTCCTTATCTTTATATCAATGATGGATATGATTGTATTGTGTTAGAGAAGTTACCCTTTGCCAATTCAGTTTGTGATGGTGGTGAGTTGGGGACTTTGGGATTTATCCTTTAATTTTGGGAGGGTTTTTCAAGTGGTTTAATTTTAGGAGGCGGGTTGGTTTGATTAGCATTTTGGGAAATTAGTGAGTGTGCATGTTAGATGCTAATTTGTAGAACTCCCGAGTGTATTTGTCTTAGTTTTGCAACTTTTAATTTAATGGGTAATTGTCCATTTCCTTTACTCATCGTGAATTATTTCAAGCTCTAACTATTGGCTAATTTTATCTCTTGTTCTGTTGTTCATAGCATGAAAAGTATTGTCTTCGGTTTTAAACATAGTTGTCTTAATAGCTCAAATTCGATTGACAAGTATTGGAATCGTTCTATAACTCGATTTATTGTCAAACGCCTTCATAACATCTTTAAAGTTAGTGTTACTTGCATTGAATTCTAATCCGGCCGTTGATTACACGTCTGTAGAAATTGTCACTAACCGATGATTACAAGTTTGTAGATATTATCGATATGACCCGTGATCAAATGTGAATAGAATAAGGTTATCAAACCAGTAGCCGGTCGGTCAGCGGCGGATCCAGAACACAGAAGAGCACTGGGCCGCATTTCATTAGAAAATTAGAACCGTAAAAAACTATAATGATTATAGTTTTTTGCAATGTAAATTGTACACAACTGTATTTTAATTTAGGGAATGCATCAATAATGAAGTCTACATCCATACCAATAGTATACGCTGTTTCAAATAAAATACTTGAGCAATCGCGAGAAATTCATCGCTCATTTTGTTGAGCAAATCAGTTCTCACATGTTTCATTGTTAAAAAGGTTCTCTTCGTAGTAGCTGTTGAAACGAGCAGCATAAACACTAGATAAATCAATTGACTAATCAATTTACATTGTGTGTCAATCCCTGCACACCAGCTGCTTTAGTAAATTTGTAAGGGAACAAACCTCATATTTCTTTTAGTCTTTTACGTTTTTAACTTTTTAGAATTTTAGGTTTCATTGTTTTTTTAAGACGCATAATCTTTGGGGCTAAAATTTCTAGGCTAAATTTAGAATAGTGATTTGAATATGTTCAACTTGATAATTTTTCTAGTTAAACCCAATCTTATCATAGAATAACACTGGATTGAATGTCTAAAATCAAAATTTTCATAAGGACTATAGTAACTACGGATCCAGAGGAGGGCTGGGCCGGGGCCTGGTGTGGCCACCCCCTGGATCCGCCAGTGCGGTCGGTTCAACATGGTTCTATCGGAACTGGTCATCTAAAGGGATGAAATACACTCAGGTTGGGCTATTCTGCAAAAATGATAGTACTAGTTAAATCAATCAAAATCGGGTGGTCCGCCCAGTTAAAATCGGGCTAAACTAGTCAAAATCGGATTTGAAAATGAGAAATGATAGTCTGGTAATCGACATTTCTTTTGAAGAAATAATTTGACAATATATGATTGTGAATTAGTGATATTGTTTTAATATATGTGGAAATGTATGTATAACTTATGTAGTATCAGAGGGTTTCTCACATATTCTATTCAAACCGGCTTGAACAGGTTGAACATGATTCGACCATTAAATCTTAAATCATTTGTCAAACCATCTTGATGGCTTATAACAGTTTGACAACCTTGAAATTGAACAATTCATTTATTGATTTATGTTCTAGTAGGGCACAGATGGAACATATTCATTGTAATATACAAAATTATATTAATGTTTGATGTATTTATAGATTTTTTATCATACCATTATGTATATATACCACATTCTTTTTTAACTCAAATTTTTAGAAAATTTGTATAGCAAGAACGAGTTTATTATGATCTACAAATTTCTGAAAAAATAATTTCATAACCAAATATATCATCATATACCATCATGATAGACGGTGGTGAAAATTGGTATATGGTTGTTAGTACATTTTTTATATCATGTATATGAAATTTGTACATTACAATATATTCATGCTACCATGATATAATTTTATATAGTACCAATTCACTAAGGGATAGACAAATAATATATGCCTATTTTTTTGTTTCAAAATATATCAAAGTAAATGTCAATTTGAAAACCACGACTGATCTTATGGGTTTTTTTTTTAAATTTTAATTTAGAAAGAAAGAGATATAACCAGTTAGCCCGTTAAGTTAATTTTGTAGGAAAGTTACCAACAACAATAACGTATGAGTTTTTTTTTAATGAATGGCAGCAAAACCCATTTAAAGTTAAGTAGTGATGGCAATCGAGCGGGACGGGACAAGTATCTCAATACTCATATCCGCCCCACCCCGCACTAAACACTGCTTAGGTCAAGTAATACTCGCACGGCGACTATTTGGGCAAAGGCGACCAGCTCGACTCCTTGCATGTCGACAAGGCAGCGAGGAGCATACAAGGCAAACTGGAAGTCGCGACCATTGGCGACGATGGTGATTGGTGAGGCTGCGATTTGGCAGCGATGATTTACTCAGATCCAGGCGGGTCGATCTCGGTTCTTGACTATCGCACACCATGGATCCCCGCCGCTGAATATCACGGCTAAATCTCGCCGTTCGAAGAGAGTTTGAGATCCCATAAGGAATAGGACGGAGAGAATCCCGGTGGTCGACAAATGATGATGGAGGACAGGAGGAGAGAAGTATGCAAAATCGAGAAGAGGTTGGTGTTCTCTCATCTTTCGGTCAGCAAAAATTGAGATCAGGAGGTCGAGATTGGGATTTAGGAATAAGGGATTCAGGAGGACGAAGGTGGAGAATGGTGTATTGGATCAGGAATGAAGAGGAGAGGGAGAACCAATTTCATTACTTATAAAGTGATGATTGAGAACTATTTTTGTACCACGATTTGCCTTGTTTATAGTGATGGTGGTGGAGAGTTTACAAAGCTATGCTCTTGTTTTCAAATCCATTGTATTACACATCTCTTAACTCCGCCACATGCTCCCAACATAATGGTCTTGCAGAGCGTAAACATAGACATATAGTTGATGCAGGTTTGCCCTTCTTCACAATTCCAATCTTCCCGCGTTATAATTGGTTTTTTGGACCCATGCTTTCCAAACAGCCACGTATCTTACTAATCGCCTTCCGTCCACCTCCTTTCATGGTGCTACTCCTTATTTATCTTTGTGTAATGAATCTTCTAAACTATCTTAAGCTTCGTTTGTTTGGCTGTGTTGTTACTCTTGACTTCGTCCTTACTCTTCACATAAACTGGCTCCCCGTTCTCGTCGATGCCCCTTTCTTGGCTATTCCCTCACCCAAAGTGCCTACCAGTGCTACAATCCCACCATCCACCGTACGTATCTTCATTTCTCGCGATGTTCAGTTTAACGAGTCGCTCCTTCGTGGCCTCTCTGCTCCCTCCAAACCCCATTATGCCACTTTTGCTTGGGTTGCTGTTACCACTCCTCTCGTCATAATCTCCTAAGAAAGCAACAAGAAACATTATTGAATTGGGGAAAGAACCATGTGTTACGATCGAGACAAAACAAAGAGGAAAGAGACCCATCAACCGTTACCATTGGAGATGCTTTTAAGGTAATGTCACATCACTATTGGAACTCCACGTACGACTACTAGCAGCCAGCAACAGATGAAATTCCTGAGGCTGAAAATGGCCTTCTTTGCGGGGGATGATGATATTATCTGTGGAAAAAGAATGAAGAAAACGTTTGAAACCTGGGAACACACGGTTTCCTGCCAACACGCAATAGCAAAAAGACTTGACCAAAGACAACCTATATATAGTACTGTCACAAAGACGACGAAGGACTGGTTGTTATCGTTCTTTTTTCATCCAACAATTTCAAAATTTTCAGTTTTGGTCACATTGTTCCAATTTTTCAGGCGGTCTGGTTGTGGTTGTGGTTGTGGTGTGAATGGGAAGGAGTAGCTAGGGTTCGTATTCACAAATGCAAATATTGAATCAGTGGATTCCAAACTGCGAGGAACTAAAACAATTTCCCTCTCTAATACACCTCATACAATAGCTAGCATGCAATTTGAAAAATGAAATCTCATGAATTTAACATCTAGCATCTCCAGGGTCGACGGGAGCTTCCGAGTTCAATTCCAAAGAGAAAAGGCTGGGTTGGAAGCTTGTTTGTTGATGAGATCGGAATCAAGCCATATTCTCTCGTTTTATATTATCAGGGTTCCCAAGTTGTTCAATAGAAAACTCCTTTCTATCTTAATACACATTTGCGAATCTATGTAATCTTTATTGCTCTATTTCATCATGTCAAGTATCAATTAAGATCAATAACTTGAGTCGCTTTCTAAGATTTATAATAGTATCTTATATTGTTCTTTTATACACTCACACAAACAAAAATAAATCTGTGGAATTGTAGTTTGCATAACACCAGCAATACCGTACGCATAAATCAACAAGATAATATATGGGGTCTTCGGAATTCGAATACGATACCTCGATCAATGACCCGATACAATGTAAAAAAAAAAAAAACTTATACCAATGACTTGATTTAAGCACCTCTGAAAACCCTAGTGGCTCTTACTCCCTCTCATAAGTCATAACCCTTCAAGGTTTTCCCTTAGCATTTTTAGGCTTATACTTCATTATATTGTACATAGCATTTGTGTATGCCTGCCTATCATACATAACCATTCCTATTCGTGGCATAAAACAAAACTTATAGGAGCTAACTAATTCGCATTTGTAAAACACATTTCAGTTATGAGTTATATACTATACGAACACGAGATAAAATAAATGCCCCAAAATTTATAGTTATTTTATATTAATAATAAGAAAATATAAAAAAGTATAATATAATATCAAAACAAATAAATAATTTTGTCACAAAATTTAACTATATCGATCAACAAAAGTACTTCTAATCATCTGCCTTTACTACCATTTTTTTTTCTGTAGTAGGATAATATCTTATATTATTTTGTTACGCGATTACATCATATTTTTCACGCACATCGTCTTATCGTACCCGAAAACAGTAGTTTGATTTTGACATAAATTAGGGCGTGGCAACTTCAACACTCATACCCCACTTAGTGTTCCATCAACATTTTGGCAACTAGCTTATTAAACCCCCCCTATATAAAGCCATGTAAATTGCAACAACAAAATCCCAACCCACTTCACTTCGATCTCCCAAATTCCCTTCTCATCACTTCGCTCGAAGCTTACAGTTTCTTACAAAGATGAATTACGCCTGCAAAACCCACCATTCCACCATGAAAAGCCAATTCATCCATTTCAGGACAACGGCTAGTCCTCGGCGCGATTATCCACAAGCGGTACGCGCTAATTCTGTGGGTGTCGAGGGTAATTGTCGTACGCTGACGAGCAAATTCGACTCCTCCGTCTTGCGGCCAAACTACAAGCCTCCAAGTCCGACGACGGAGGTGCCTAAGGAAAGTGTCAGCGACGACGCCAAGCCTCCGTCGACGGGGAAGTTCGGTAGGTTTGGTGGCAAGTTCGTCCCCGAGACCCTCATCTCCTGTCTGGGAGAGCTTGAAGTCGTGTTCCGTCAAGCTTTGAAAGATCCTCAATTTCAGGTATTTATTTACCTTTAACGATTTAATCCACGTCGGGTCGAATCTAATTTGCTTGTTGGATTTGAAAATGAGGGTTTTGAGTTTTCAAAACCTTTGAATTTATGATAGATTTATTGCATTATGGATTTGGAAGAGTACATTGTTTGTATAGTTTATTTTTGTCATAGATTCATGATGGATTTGTTCACATTTTGCCTTCCATTATCAAATCCCAAATGAAATGTGAGATTTGCAAATCCGTGGGGTCTACAGATTTGGATCTAAAAAACCAAATCAGTGGGCCCCACGAATTTGTGTCCCTTAGCAAACAATGAACTTGTGCCAATTCCATTATGCTTGGGATTTGGGTACTAAATCCATCACCCAAATTCCACAAGCAAACGATACCTAAGTCGATAAAAAATTCGGAATATGTTGTGAAACTTGTTTGTTGCGATTCGTGAAGGAGGAGCTAACGACGGCGCTCAAGGACTACGTGGGCAGGGAAACCCCGCTCTACTACGCGGAGCGGCTCACGGCCCACTACAAGGCCCAAAATATGGGCCGAGGCCCAGACATCTACATCAAGCGCGAGGACCTGACCCACTGCGGGGCCCACAAGATGAACAACGCTCTGGCCCAGGCGATGATCGCCAAACGGATGGGCCTCACCGCCGTCGTAGCGGCCACGGGCGCGGGCCAGCACGGCGTAGCGACGGCCGCCGCCTGCGCGAAGCTCGGGCTCAGCTGCACGATCTTCATGAGCACCGCCGACATGGAGAAGCAGCCGTCGAACGTGGATCTCATGGACCTCCTCGGCACAAAGGTCGAGCCGACGGCGGGGAGTTTCAAGGACGCCAGCTCGGAGTCGATTAGGGTTTGGGCGGGACAGCTGGGGGAGGTCTATTACCTGGCCGGCACGGCGGTCGGACCCCACCCGTGCCCGACGATGGTTCGGGAGTTCCAATCGGTGATCGGGAGGGAGACGCGACGGCAGGCGGCGGAGAAGTGGGGCGGAGCTCCAGACGCGGTGGTGGCCTGCGTCGGGAGCGGATCGAATGCTCTGGGTGTTTTCCACGAATTTGTGGGAGATCCGACGGTGAGGTTGATCGGAGTGGAGGCGGCCGGGTTTGGACTGGACAGCGGGAAGCACGCTGCGACGCTGGCCGCCGGTGACGTCGGCGTTTATCACGGCGCGATGAGCTACTTGTTGCAGGATGAGGAAGGGCACATTGTACGCCCGCATTCCGTCGGCGTTGGGTTAGTAATAATTAATTATTAGCTGGTTCCTAGTTTAATTATAGTGTTAATTAAACTGATTTAACAATTTTATTATACTGATGGTTCTGCAGGTTAGAGTATCCTGGGGTAGCACCAGAGTTGAGCTTTCTCAAGGAGTCGGGACGAATGGAGCTCTGCTCAGCTACAGACAATGAGGCTGTCGATGGTAAGATACAATCTTCGTCTCGCCCTAAACCATAAATCCTAAACCGAAACCGATTTTAAAGTTTCGGCAGCAATATTGATATTGGGGGCACTTGAATTGCAGCGTACAGAAGGGTGGCGAGATTAGAAGGCATAATCCCAGCTCTAGAGGCTTCTCATGCATTTGCTTACCTGGAGAAACTCTGCCCTACTTTACCCGACGGCGCCAAAATCGTCGTTAGTTGCAGCGGGCGAGGTGATAAAGATGCAGCAATGGTTTCTACCTACATGAGCCGTTGAGGAAAAGCCAGACAGGGAACGATGCAAAAACAAACATAGTTGTTGTCTGTGTAGATAAGCAAATGCAACAACCAATCTATCATTGTGTAAAACTAGATATACAAATGAGAAGGTAGCATAAAATTCGCTCCGATTGTGACAGTTCGATTTGAACAAGGATCGCATAGCAAAAGCAAATCTATCATGATAGGTCAAAAGAACCAAGATTCCAAACAATAACTATCTAATCTCATTCATCAAATTACCAGAGACATGATTCCACTGAGCTACAGAGTTCACCAAGAGGAACATAGATAGATTCAATTGAACTGCAAAGCTCTTCTAAGTCGATATTAGAATCCGAGTGCAAACTGCATGAAACAAATCTCCAAAAGGACTGGCAGGCCACCAACAGGCTTATGTGAGAGAATCATGTTCTAGTAATACACAACAGCAACTGAAGAAAAGTGAAACCTGATAAGTACAGCGATGACGCTGGTTTCTATCATGCTTTAGTTCACTGAGATCCAGAGCTTGATTGGTAAGACTTACATTTCATAGATGAGCGGAAATGCCTGCCCTGCACAATGAAAAACAATGGAGTAGATTCTGAAGGACCTTTGCCTTCTTACAATGTTGGTTTCCAGGCGGTTTCAATCTCAACGGCAATGTATGTAAAAGCAAGCATATATGCTAATGGAATCCCCTACCTAGATGTTCTGATAACAAGAGGCAGAAGAATACAAGAGCGATGGAGCAAATATAACTTTTCCCCCAGGAAAATTAGCATGCATGATACAGCTCCAACTATATATGTACAAAGATTTTCAAGCAAACTCCTGTAAAATTAAGCAAAGAGCATACCACTAACATCATGAAATTAAAAGTTAGACAAGGACTGTGAAGCTTGGCCTAGCACAACTTTTAACTCCGCAGTCGTTTCCTTTGACTACCCTCTTCTACATTGACCTGCACGTTCAGAAACAGTCGCACATATTTCAGATAATAGCAACAAGGAGAAGGAAAGAGGCCACATATGCCAGATGTCCTACCATTACTCTACTTTATAGAATGATTACCTAAAATGTAAATAATCTATCATAACACCAAAGATATTAAAAATTCTAACAGATTCTTACCTCATCATCTTGCCTTAGGTCACCAGTGGGCACTCCACTCGATTCTGGTCTGCATTTGGCATGTACTATAGGACCAAACGGTGATCTATCCATGCCCGGTGTCCACCCCTGGGGAGTCGCATTTAAATACACAGCACCCTTATACATCCATTCCTCGGTTTCATCACTATAGAAATCATCAAATGGCTCTCCACATAATGCACATGCAGTCTGATCCTCATCAGCAGGGACAGAAAATTCTTCCTCATCTTTCTTTTCAACGACATTTTCGGGAGGCAAAAAAACAGGCACAACATCAGTTCCTAATGCCTCGGCACCAGTGAGCCACATGCTCGCACTGACAAACCATTTGCGAGAAGGGTTCTGCTTTCGGTTTTTAGACATGCGGTTCCTAGTAACATGCCAATCCATGTGAGTGCTGTGCTCTTCTTGGGACTTGAAGCGATGCCCACAAGTCATGCACTGTCTTGGGAGATCAGCATACAAGGCACTTAATGCCGACTCATGACGTACCTTGAGAAGATCAGCATCAAACTCAAGTCCAAGTGACTCCTACAGATGAAGGAAAAACATTAAGGTAAGGGCTCTATGGCTCCGTTTTCATTCGACACATTGGAGGTCTACTGGAGATGTTAGTTCTACCCTGTCTCTTCTACAAAAACAAGTTTGAAATGTTGAAAACATAAAGTAAAATGGTGTCCAAATTAAAATTATATCTTGGAAGTTGAAGTTAACAGTATGTAATGTTTGAGAAGTGGAATAATAGAGGTACCACCAAGTGCCAAATGTTGAATCTAATGGATCCAGTGAGAATCTCCATCATATCCTAGAATGGTAAAATGGATAGTTGAATACCTGCATAGTATTCGGGTTCGTCAATGAGATCACACCTTGAGTCATGAGAGTATTGATCAAACCAGAAAATGGACGACCTGGCGGTTGGTTCGGAGTAAATGAACCACCATGCTGGTGGTTGAGCATCATGTGAGAGGCAGGAGGAGGACCTGGAGGCAGAGGTGGTCTTACACCCATCTGTGAATGCAAGTTATTCAAAATATTGTTGACCGGATGCATCGAATTAGATGGACCCATGTTAATCCCACCTCCATGTCGGTGCATGGGGTACCCATGGTTGGATGGATGTATATGCCGTGGCATTGAACCCATTGAAGAATGGGCGAAATTCTCACGGGCATCACGAGGTGGCAGAAACTGAGGTGCAAAAGGATTCAACTTCCGCTCATTCTGCTGATACAAAGCATTGCTTTGATTCGGTAGCAGAGGTTGATTCGGTAAACTGAGCCCTCTGTTCTCTAAACTGTTGTACTGTATCTCTGAGTTGGTAGCATTGTTGCTCACATTTATCCGATCAAATTGATTGCTACTCTGCCTCTGTGATGGAAAACTTGGCAGCACAGATGAATGTAAAGAAGGTAAATTGTCCGACCAAGTTCCAGAAGCATTGGCATCAAAAGCAGATCCCATCATTGAAGAGGCATTTGGAGGACGGATAAGCTGGGATCCAGTATCTGGGTGTTTATCAGTTGGAAGATGAGTTGACCGAGGTAAGTGATGAGGAAAATTCAATGCTTCTCTAGGATCCCTGGAGCCAATATTCTGATTTATCTGCATCCGGAAGCCAGGGTTCTTATTAGATTGCAGAAGCACAATAAAGAGTTTCAAAGTTAAATAATGAGAAACCTCGCTCAAGTCTGTAAATAAACTCAAATATGAAAGATGTTGAGATCTAAAAGTACAGAACAAACAAATAGATTTGTGCTACACGGCTAATATAGGAAAACAGTAGCGATCGGACTCCAACTTCATAAACGTCATTGGAAAACAAGATACTGTAAACAAGTCGAGGAAGCATACATTAATAGTAGGGTATAGATCTTCTGCAATGCTAGAAGAGTCAATTTTTCCAACTGGCTGGACTTGATTAATATGCTTGCCCCTAAAATTTGACCCTGATGAGGCAGAACTTGAAGTTTTCCCAATCACAGGCATACCAGATGATGACAACAAGTTATTACTTAAGTTCTGATTGGTTAATGTAGGGCTCATATCTTCCCAGTCGAATTCCTCCTCTTCAGTATTCTGCCATGATCCCGTCGCCAGCTTATTGCCCACACCATTCACATTCAGACGATCAAGCTGCAAGGGTTTACTATTTGTATTCCTATGACCCCTATCATCCCCGTACGCATCTATCAGAGCTCTGGGGCCTAAAGGCTCGTGTACATTGTTGATTCTGTGCACAACAGAAGTTCCGAATCTACTGTCCCTTTCATCAGAATAGTGTTTTCTTCTCCATTCATCTGCCTCTTCATTTCTGTCGCCAATTTTCCCAAGTCCATAATCAAGTACATGATGAGATGGAGATGCCCCATGCACAAGTCTTCTAGGAGACCTCGATGACCCAAAGTTATCAAGCTCTGAAGATAATGACATCTCAGCTGAAGGTGACAAAGGTCTTGGAAGCCTGGAATTTGAAGAGTGGAGTAACTTATTAGCTCCAAGCGTAAAAGATGAAGAAGCTGAACCTCCAGCTGTCTTGATTCTTTGGTTTCCTACCTGCAGGGATATGGCCATGACATGAACCTCCAAGAATTGCATCTAACAAAGAAAAGCATTCTATGCTGGAAAATTAATTTAGCTCTCTGTCTAAATGATTTTATAGCCACAACTAGATGAATCCTTTTCCTTGTATTTAGCTCTAAATGAAATTCATTTTTATTGGATGTCCCTGAAGGGGGGCCCTTAATGTAATCCATTAAAAGCTTACAATATGTCATTATGACTAAGGTAAGCATCACAATCAGCATAATCAACAGGGATAGCAAGTTCCTAATTTAACTAACCAAAGTTATAAAAAAATTTCAGCAAAAATCTTACACTCTCTGAAGTTGAGTGATCCAATTGACGCAAGTACTTTGGATTCACATGAATGCCATGAGCTGGTCTGGGCGATTCAGAATCCCTCAACGATGTCAACCCAGAAGATTGATTGTTAACTTGAGCAGAAAGTTGTAGCTGGGTGTCGATCTTGCGAAGAACAGCAGGAGGAAACACAGTGGACCATGTCCCAAAAAGATGCCGCATGGAAGGATAGAGACTAGGATGTATTTGTCTGTATGCTTCACAGAAAACCTGTCACATTACATGAAAAGTTTCATATGTCAGAGCAGCACAAGAAATCCTGAGAAAGCAAGCAATGTACTTTGCACTCAACTGACCTCTGGCAATCGGGAAGAGAAGTGCCTAACATAATCACGTCCAATGTTCTTCACAATGCTGTCTAACAGGTATAAGGAAGGCAGTTTTTGCTCAACTGGAGCCTGCAATAGATAAGTAAGAAATATAGCCATTTCTCCAAAATGAAACTCTTAATAGTCCTAACACTGTAAAGCCATACATCTTCATAGCTAAATACGTCGTGTCATCTGTGAGGTGTGGTGCATTTTCATTGTCTCGTGATCTCAAATGTTAAGAACTGAATTAGTTGCACAATTGGCGAACCCACATTATGTGTACTGGTTTTTTATTCATGTAGACTGCAGAATTTTGTATTATTTCATTCATAATTAGGGGATTCACATTTCAATGAGCTTAAAACATAAATCAAAACGGTTGTGACAACCGTAACCCCGGAATTGCAAGAGCCCTTTGAGTGCCCGAGACCATGTCAAAAGCTCAGGAGGCAGCGCAAATTATTAGCTGAACCCGGCATTCGTGAAACCCTCAGCTATATATTAGAAAAGCGAGTGAATTCTTCTGGAACCCAGTTTAAACGCGAGCAATCCTACTTTTCTACGGTTTCGCATAATAGAGAAGAGCAAGAGCCCGAGTGTACACTGAATTCACTAACGCAGAAGAAAAATGCCAATCAAAAGCTTTACATTGCAGCAATCGAAACCCAAACTTCCAACTCCAATGGCATTCCCCCCAGAATCCCTAAACCTGCTCTACTACAATTAGTACAAGAAACGAAACTCGGAAGCGTCTCCATAGCACGAACTGACCTCAATAATTCGAGCACAGATAGCGTCGGCGATTCCCGCGCCATACTCCCGCTGCTCCCCGGCGACGATTGTCAAATCAGTGATGATAGGCTTGGAGTTGAAAGTTAATTCGGAGAGCATCAACTCGTAAAGCTGCACCACTTCATCTCCGGCCAAGGACGACGGACTGGCTCCACCGTCAACGTCTCTCCCGGTAAGCTCGGCGCGCTGCTTCATCAAGGCCCTGAACCTATCGAGTATCGTCGGCGGTGGCGGCTGCTGCGACTTCTGCGGCGGCAGGTGGTCATTGGGCATAGCCTTGGTCGAGAACGAGAGGCCCCTAGGGTTATCGCGACGGACTAGAATCTCATCCGTGTCCATCCGAGCTCGGAGGGAAGCGGAGAAATGGAATTAGGGTTTTCAAACACCATGCGAAGATGAAGAAGATTCGATTCCGGTTTGGGGTTTTTTTTTCACAATACAAAATTTGATGGATAGGAAGTTTTTTTTTTTTTATGGAATGGATAGGAAGTTTTAAACAGAATGGTCGCAATGGTTCGGACTTCTGAATTCTGATTCAATTCTTGCGTTTCTTTTCTTCTCTTTTTTAATTTATTTATTTTCCTTTCTTTTTTTTGTGGTGTAGCACTTATTTTTACAGGCCACTTTCGTCCAATGGGCCTATACAACATGTGGACCGTAGGCCCAAATAGACCAAGTGGAGGCCCATATTACAAATAAGCAAATTTAGAGTTGAGGGTCCATAAAAGAAAATCTTCCCTTACGTCTTCATCTTTCAGAATCCTCACTCCGCACTTCCCAGTTCCCAGTCAGGCAGAGCAGCCGTGTTTCGACTCTCTTTAACTTCACCGGAATCCGGCGATCAAACGGCGGAGGACACCATCGACCGATGGTGCGCAATCAACGGTGAGCTTCTTCTTCCTACTCCCCAGATAATATCTTTTCTCCTTTTCCATATCCAAATTTTCCGTTTCGTACGACGAATATCTGACGCCAATCCGCCACTAACATCCAAAAGGCGGTGGTCGCCGGTAAAATCCGATCGGAACAATCAACCTTCCATTTTTCCATCTGAATTCTTTATTTCAGCTTCAACGCAGGCTCTACTTTTGACCATCGCTGTTCTGGATGAGAAAATTAGGTTTCTTTTTATTGCTCTGAACAGCAATATTTCCCCCGCTCCGAAACGCCGCTCAAATTGATTCAGTCTCTTTCATCAGGAATGGAGAAGCTCAGGAGCTGCTACCGCGATGTTGCCGAAATCTTGCTATCGAAATTGGAAACGAGGGATTTGCTTCAAATGAAATGCGTCTCCAAGGGCTGGCGAGAACTCATCTCTGACCGCTCCTTTGTGCTGAATTACTCACGGCAGTGGCAGCATCCGCCTCTATCCGGATTCTTCTTCCTTAAGAAATCTTGGCGGGCGGTGAACTACTACTACGATGCAAGCTACATTTCGGGTGCACGGGAAGAAGCAGCAAAGCTTCTTAAAAGCCCTCTCGATTTCATTCCAGAGGATTTCATGGTTACCTCTTCCTGCAATGGCTTGGTTTGTTGCACAAACTTCTCCCTTAGCAATAGTACCCTTACTCTCCATGTTGGAAACCCATTAACCAGAGAATGGATTGAGCTAGATTGGGATGGGCGGCGTGGGAGACCGATCGTCATGACATTGAGCTCCAATCCTTCTCGTGATATCGCCGAGGATTCCACAGACTTCAAGGTGGCGACGGTGTGTGTTAGAATCGACAAGGAGAGTCTTGCGTTTCATATATATTCGTCCAAGACGAGATGTTGGAAGGTTTCAGATTCAGGTGAAGTGTGCATTATGAAGAAGAAGTACAATATGTTTCATACAGAATATGTGTCTGTCAAAGGGGTGATGTATTGGCTCATTGATGCTGATGAAATCCTCGTGTTCGATGTGGAAAACGAGTTAGCTCATAGAGTCTCCACCCCTGAATGCCAATTCCAGTGTGGCGAGCCAGATGCGTGTATTGGGGAATCTGGTGGGGAGTTACATTATGTACTGCTGTCAGAGGGAAGACTGCAGATATGGGTTCTTGAGGATCCCAGTGAAGGCAAATGGTCGTCACTGAGGTATGAAAAGTCCTTGGCTGATATTGACAATGTGCATCCTGAGTTGTCACTCAATCTGCAGTTTGAGATGACGATTCCTTTGGCATTCAAAGATGGGGTCTTCTTACTGAGGGTGTCGGACGATGTGTACTTGTACGACACGAGGAACGATGGGATGAAACATGTTGCTCATGCTGCGGAGTTTGGTACCGGGAGCATGCTTGATCCTATGGTAGTTCCATACTCCATGAGTTTGGTTCCCCTGAATCGACCATGAGTGAAAAGGTACCCTAACTCTGGTCTCCGAGCTACTAACCTTTGTTTTCATTGTTGTGTAAAGAGCTAGATTTGATCGTATTGTCTGATATATGTCTCTTTTCTTTCCCCTCTTCATTTTGGCCTTCTGCAGGTATGGTTATGCAATTGCAATGTGAGGTACAAGGAGCAACATTTCGGCAGGATTAAGAGAGCAAAGGGTTTCTGAATCTTTACATTCGGAATTTATTGGACAGGAATTATGAAGCAGTAGCTTATTTTCAAAATTGAACTCGTCAAATTTTGACGAAAAAGCAGATGGAGATCGGCCAAACCATTCTTTTATTACAAATTTACATAAGTGGTCATTTTATTAGTACCCAAATTCGAGTGACTGTTTATATAATATCCTAGTTTGATATGAAGTTTAATGACTATTTTGATTTGAACTTTTTGAAATCTCTAAATTAATCACATTTTGAATAATAATTGCTTATTTTCGTTAGTGATTCATCGATTATGGCTGATGGGATGCCATGACATGAACAGGGGAAAAAAGGAAATACATATACCTCTTAATTACAAAATTATAAATTTGAGTATATAAGGCGAATATGATACTAAATTCCTATCTACAAAATCATACAAATCAAGATTTCTTATAGCTCGATAGTTTTGATTTGGACAAAAGGGAACAAAGAGGCGGTCATGAAATTTTCTATTGTTATAAACTGATTGGTCTCAATTAGGTATGATAAATAGATAATTATCCACTTATGGATAATTTTACCGAAATCCAAGTAGACCTATGATGACACCCTGAATGAGTGTTGGATCAGAACTGCACAGCTCAATCAAAGGAATCAAATTCCTTGTTCGAGAACTCAAGAACAGGGCCTTCAAACGTGCTCGGGTAAGCTTTTTGAATGGGGTTTTCGATGGAAACGAAAGGGAACTCTTACACCAGGAAGAGTGCTCGATCGTTATGAGGTCGCATTCGATGTAATCGAGTGGGTTTGCTCGATTAATAGGCCAAGATTCTGCAAGCTTCGAATCTGGCAGATCTTGAAAGAGTTCGAGGATTTGTACTTCTCCACCCATTTCGTCAAGCCTTCTCCTTCTTCGTCAGCTATTGTTGCAATCATCGGTGGGGTCACCGAGGGACCGTTGTCGTCCTGCTCTTTCGTCGCCGAGGGACAGTCGCCAACCTTCACCCCTCCCCTGTTGATTGTTGTGAGGTTTGGGGCGGCATTGGTTTCACTAGAGAAATGGGTAAATAGATATAGCGGGCTTGGGCTTGTGTGGGTTTGGAGTTGTGGGCTTAGGATTTGGGTAAGTTCAGTTGGTCGGCTCGAAATTCGGAATTTGGTTTCGATTGAGCAGACCCTGACTTCCAAAGTAATGGGTTTTTTTTCCAAATTTCGGATCGAACAATGATACTTCAGTTTCAATTTGGTTTAATTCGATTTCGATCCGATTTGGTTTGGATTTATCGGGTTGCCCATTAATACCCGTTTGGATATTAAATGTGCACGTACTACCCGAGGGAAGTGGGCCTTATATTGTTTGCCGAATGGGCTCCCTTAAACAAGTTTTCTACTAAGTATAAATACATATGCTCTAGATAAAATGGAAGATTAAGGAATAAATACATCAAAATATAAATGAAAGATAACATATTGCCGCCAACAAATACAAAAGTTTATTCCAAGGATTGAAATATCGTATTGTACCGGCAGTTCGACCAGAAAAATCTACTACTGGAAGCGAAACCGGTAGGCGGCATTTAGTGGTATGATATGGCTGAATCAAGGTTACACCAAGATTTCAGAATAAAAAACCCTTCCACTGACTTTTCCGGTACGACATCCGATACAATGTTTGAATCCTTAGTTTATTATGATGTTCTACCCAGTTTTTGCATTTGAGTGAAAAAGTTTGGGATCTAAAATAGGTTAGTGCGAGTACTCGTTATTTGTCTTGTATAAGTAATGGATACTCGTTAAATCATATGCGTTTGGGATATGAGATGGAGTTTTTTCTCCAAATGGTCAAATGAGACTGGGTACCCGCTTCAAACGGGACGAGTACCTAGTCCTGTCCCGTTGCCTACCCCTAATTCATGGTTGTGACGGTGCTGGGAACGAATAGGGTTAGGGTGTTTAGGTGTAGTAAGTTGGAACTCATTAGAAACTAAGTTTTTTATTTTTATTTTCTAATAGTTGAAAAATGGGATGGAAATTTTAAATTCTATTATTTTTTAATTGTAACATCATTTATTTAACGACATAAAAAAACGTTAACAGAATTGGACGATGAGTAACCAAAGTTGTATCGTTAAACTAATTTCATTGACCATAAAGAAAATAAAATATTTTTAATAGTAAAGCTCAAATATTTTAATAAATCTAATGATCAAAGTTGCAATTTATCCTCAGAGCGCACGTAACGTATGTGAAAAGAAAAGAAAAGTAAATTAACTCTGCAGCGGCAGTTTCACTCTCATTCTCTGCCAAATTCCAGTGATCAGTCGGCAGAGATCGGGTTTTCAGCGGAAGGCGGCACACGACTGGTGAGTTTCTTCGTCCTCTTTCCCTTCCCCTGCCATTCTAACACGTTCCTGTTTCTCCTAAGCCCTCATCAATTGTAGCCGCCGTCGATAGTAGGGTTCTAGTTTCCGGTCATCTGAATCAACTCCGTTCCCCCTCTTTCCAGCCAGATTCCTTTCCCTGTTACTGCTCTCTACTACCGGAAATCTCTATTCGTCCATAACCCTTTGAAAAGAATGCTCCGATTATGATTTCTCTGGGGGCTAAATCTCCTAATTTTGCTTTTACAGTCATTTGAACCGGCGACGGGGGCAATGGAGAAACTCGGGCGGTTCAACCGCGACATTCCCGATTTGGTGCTATCGAAGTTTCGAATTAGGGATTTGATGCAGATGAAATGTGTCTCCAAGCTTTGGCGCGACCTCATCTCCGACCTCATCTCCAACCGTTCCTTCGCACTGAATCATTCGCAGAAGCAGTTGCTATCCGGATTCTTCTTCCGGCAGAAATCTCTACTGTACGATTTCCCACACCCAAGTTACGTTTCGGCTGGAAGGGAAGACGAAGTAGCTCCAACGCTTCTTAGAAACCCTCTCGATTTCCTCCCACCGAATTCCGTGTTGGTCTCTTCCTGCAATGGTTTGGTTTGTTGCAGGAGTTACTCCTTTTGGGATATCTTGACTATCCATGTAGGCAACCCGTTAACCAGAGAATGGGTTGAGTTCAATTGGTATCGCATCAATGGGAGAGCGGATGCCATCATGCTGAGTTTCGATCCTGCTCGTGATATCACCGATGATTCGACGGACTTCAAGGTGTTGATGGTATGGGAATCACCAGAAGAACAGTACCCATCGTTTCATCTGTACTCCTCGAAAACGAAACGTTGGAAGTTCTTATATTCAGATGAAACGTACATTCTGTCCGAGTACTACGACTTGTATCATACCGAATGTGTGTGTGTGAAAGGGGCGATGTATTGGTGCACACATTACAGTGGAATGCTCGCTTTCGATGCAGAAAACGAGTTAGCTTATACAGTCTCCACGCCTGTTCAAGCTTACGAATTCGGTCGTGGGGAGCCTGTTGCCTGCATTGGGGAATCTGATGGGGAGTTGCAGTTTGTAATGCTGTCGAAAGAAGGACTCCGTATGTGGGTACTAGAGGATCTCCACGGAGAGAAATGGTCGTCGCTGAGGTACGAAAGGTCCTTGGCTGATATCAAGTATGAGCATGCTGAGTTTTCTCTCGATCTGCAAGAAGCGATGCGGCTGCATCAGCTCAAGGAGCTAAAGGTGGATGCTTTGGCGTTGAAAGATGGGGTTCTCGTATTGAGGGTGGCTGACAATGTTTTCTTGTACGATATGGGGACTGATCGTATCAACCGAATTGCTCATGTGACAGAGTTGGGTAATGGGAGAATGTTTGATCCTAAGGTGCCTCCATATATGGAGGTACCAAAGGTGATTCCATACTCCATGAGTTTGGTTCCTCTGAATCGACCATGAACGAATAGGTGTTCCCCCTAATCTTTGCCTCCTTGCTACTAATCTTTGTTTATGCATTGTTGAATCGCATCTCTCGGCCAGATTAAGGGCAGAAGCTAAAGCTTTGTTTATATATCTACATTTACATGCATTTTCTTCTTGCTTTTCATATTCTGCTGTTTTGTTTAGACTTTGAGATTGTTTCCTCTAAATAGTACTCACTGCTCAGTCTAGAGAGAACAGAGAATGGTGAAAGTTAATTTTGCTAATCCCTGAGCAAAAGTAGTGACGTACAGTAAAAGTTGGGATTATATTTGTGCGATTGTCTTGTTTTGTTTAGAGTGAAAGTTTAATTTTCCTCTAAATAGTACCAGCAGACCTAATAATGCAAAGAAAAAACAGAGTCATAATCAAAACACTACAAACTTGAACACAAAACCGTACATCCTACTAGTACAATAAGTTGGCAGTTCTTAGCAACTTACGCAACAAAACAAACAATGGGTCTCGCCTTCAGAACTCAATTCCACCGTCCAAAACTGACGAGCAACATTGAGCAGAGGCAAATATGGAAACTATCTCTCTGTATCTCTGACAAAAGCTGCCAAAGGTTCCAGGTCGGTATGTCTTTCTTATGGGGGATATTGTGGCTTCTCCCCTTCTCTTCCATGCGGTTGTTGAGATTTGTGAACTGAGACTCAATTTGCCGGACGGAGATTGGCCCTCGAGTGCAAAGGCAGAAGGGAGCTTGACTGCAAGACCCACCCGTCGAGCAGGGACGAAAGTCGGCCTTAGTGATCTGACGGTGCCGAGTGGAAGGGCCGTCGCTCAACGGATAAAAGTTACTTTAGGGATAACAGGCTGATCTTCCACAAAAGCTCACATCGACGGGAAGGTTTGGCACCTCGATGTCGGCTCTTCGCCACCTGGGGCTGTAGTATGTTCCAAGGGTTGGGCTGTTTGCCCATTAAAGCGGTACGTGAGCTGGGTTCAGAACGTCGTGAGACAGTTCGGTCCATATCCGGTGTGGGCGTTAGAGCATTGAGAGGTTCAGAAATTTGCGGTTCGAAAAATTATGCGGAATCAAAAAAAAATTTCGCTACGATCGGATAACCGAGCACAAAGTTACGTTTGTTTAAAGTTTTGACGCAGGTCAGGCCTTCACCGCCTTTCTCTAGAGCGGTGATGCAATCACCGTGCTTCTCTCATGCGGATATGCAATCACCGCCTTGCTCTGACGCGGTGAAGGCCCAACATGCGTAGATTGGGAATTATTTTCATAATATGTGTATTTTGAGAATTTTTTTTAAAAACATGTGTAACTTGAGATTTTTTTTTCCGCTAAAATATGCTAGGAATGACATGCTTTTGAGACGATGGGCCGGGTAAGGACTTCCATATAAATAAATGAGCCACGGCCCTGTACAGAACTACAACCATGTACTTAACAAGCCTACAATTCATTGTTGTTATAGGCAGTCTACTCAAGTTAAATAAGATTTTGGGTTATTAGGTTTTAGGTTTCATATTTAGATCCTGGGCCCAGTTAGTTAAGATTTGATTGGGTGGGTCTTCTTGTTTCTTTGGATTGTTTGCATTGGAGCTTCTTGTGTTACCATGGGAGTGTTCATGATTTGGAACCTTCTATTCCAATAATGCATACATAAGTATATTAAGAATATATGCATTTTATTAAGAATACATTATTTAGAAAATTATATAGAATGTCTATGCTATGCCACTTCCTCTGGATTTAAAAAAAAAAAGAATATATGGATACTCAATCTCACCAAAAAATGAGATGCATAATGTATCATTTTTTATGTATTAAGAATGGCATGATATACATCATCAATGCATGTATTATGGATTAAAGTTTCGCCAGAAAGACACTGTATTACATAATACATCATCCAAAAATCGTAGGTTTCAAACGACCACTTGCTTATAAACCTCTCTACAAAGTTCAAAATTAGGAACAACTAAGGGAACGCCACAACTCATCTTATACAAAAATAACACGAGTTATTCGGATGAGCAGATTCTCAATCATGTATAGTACTAGTACCATTTCTCAATCATCAATCTAGAATTCGAGAATCGTAGAAAAACAACAGGGGTGGACATCTGGTGCAGTAAAACCGTTATGAAACAGACCGAATTGAATTGGAACCGAATCGAAATTACATTATTCAGTTCGAAATTCGGTACCAGAATCCTCTCGACCGGACCGAGTTTCCAAATTCCAAACCGACCAACCGATATGTGTTGTCTGGCCCAATATACTCCCTATCCCAGTCCCCCACAACCCAATGAACTCTCCTCCCCTGAAGCCCAATCCCCACACACATGTTCTCTCCTATCCCTATCCCAACTCGCACATTTGCAACTCAATCCCCCTATCCTTATCCCAACTCCCATAGCAGCCAGCGGTTAGCCGCTGCTCCGGCAGTCACTAACACTCCACCTCCATTCTTGCAAATCTCATCTCTAGTCCGACCTGCCGACCATTGGAGTTCAATGCTCTTTCTTCTCTTTACGCTCTCTTCTACTCCCTGAGACCATAAATCCAAATCCATACATAAAAACCCACATGCATCAAAATCAATATTGAAAATCAAACGAGGAACCTACATGCATGTCGAAAAGTCAGCGGGATTGGAGCATTGTCGCCCCTCTTGCCGCCGCCCATCTCCTATCCCCACACATCGAGATCTTATCATCGTTCCTCCACCAATTCCTCCACAGCTGGCGTCGACCCTCCCAAACAAAAAGTACTAATATGCAAATTCTGCATGCAGGGGCGGATACATGAGGGTTTAGGGGTGTCCTGGACACCCCTAAAATTTGAGAATACGATTATTCAGCCTCCGATAGTAGTTTTATATGGATAAAAAAATTATAATTAGTGATACGGGACACCCCTACAACGATAATCTTATCCTCAGTAGTAGTATGCGTATACTTTAAAAAAATAAGCGATAGTCTGTGTTATTCAAACTTAGGATATACTATATTTTTTAAACATTGTCCTCCATTAAATTGCAACTCATTTGTTGTTCTATTTTAAACACTACATAATAGTAAAAAGTTATTCCTTATCCCCGACTATTTCCAAAACCTAACAATTAACTACCCTTAATTTGAATTGATTTTATGATTACACAACAAGTGTTGAAAGAGTCTTTTCAACTTTGAGTTATATAAAAAAACAAGGTTAGAAATCCATATGCGATCAAAACCCACCCAATCTTCCCCAAGCAGCCAAGCTAGTACTCTCCAAACAGCGACCTGCTGCATCTGTAGTTCTGTACCACCAACCCACATGTTGGCATGTCTTTGGTTAGGCGCAAAAAAAGAAAGAGCATATTCTCTCTCTCGTGTGTCTTTCCAAAATCTTTTTGGCTCTTTTATCAGCAAAGAAAGAACTAGAGTCGTGAAACATGTTTTACTTACGTAGGTCGTGGAGGGCGACTGGAATGGAATACAACAAGAAAAGAAGCATAATTAATCAACCAATCATAATACTAATCGACAAAATTACTGACCAAGCAACAATTAATATCAAGTGATGAGACATGCATTATATTTATATGTCGCCCGGCCCTTGTCAATGGTAGGGTTAAAACAAAAGATTTGATATCTTCTTGATGTGTAAGGCAAATGGGGGAAACAAACATGGGTTCTAATATTTACCATGAGTGAATTTTCTTCGTGATTTGATAACAACAATATCTTCAATATATTTTAGTTTTCATCTATGTCTCTTTTATTATGAAGTATGCTTAATTCTAATCGACACCTGAAAATCAATAACGATTTTGTCGACACTTAGTTACTCTCAATAACGTACTTGAGTTGTCTGAAGATGTTCAAGAACGAATCTCAATCATCATCATTCGTTCTCTTACGTGCTCCCTTAAACGAAAACAAACCCATGAGATCCACGTACTATACCCACGCGGTTAAATCAAAATTAGTATTTGAAGGTCATCAAAACTTGAACATGATACCTCTCAATTAAAGTCTGTAATACTAATACCATATAGAGAACCCGTTGATAAAAATAACTCAAGTTACTAAAAAAAACTATTTTAAATGAATCTTATATCACTCAATCTTGTGCACATTTTCCAAATATAAATTTCCCTATCCACATTTTCCCTCTTTGACATGTAAATTACACTTCTAACCCGATGGTTACTATGGTAAGGCTCCGGATAGCATAACAACACTTATAGTGTTGTTAGAGTAACAACAGGGGTAAAAACGGAAACTCAAAAAAGTAATAAATTAAAAATTAAATGAGTCATTACCCCACCCGTACCCTTCTCTCTCCCCACTCGATTCTTCTCCCCTCCGGCGCATCTCCCAGATTTTCGGCCGACGACGAGCACAGAGACTTCCACTACGCTGACTCCGCCGCGCTGCTAGACCCGCCGCCGGCGACGCCAAATGGCATACTACTATCAGGATCCCGCCATCAGAGTCGTTATAATATTTATTCAGATCTCACCTTCTTCCGCACAGGCTCGTCAGATGCAGATTGACAGCCACCGGCGCCTCCTTTTCGTCCTCCGCCGCAACTCGTCGGATCTCATCGTACGACCGTTGAGGAGTCCTGGTGGCAGTCATACTGATGCACAACCACCAGCAAAGCGGATCCAGAAATCCGGATCTGGATTTCATATATGGTGGTCGGGATATTGAAGAGGATCTCGAATTCAGAATCCGACGACCCTGACTGCCGAGCTGAAGGAGATGGCGAGGGCTTTTTCTCTACATGAACATTAATCAAGCGCACATGAAGCTAAAGATCGCTAGAGCTTCTCAGTGAGGAAGATCCGACAAGTGAAGGCTCGAGTTTTGCCAGAATCGCCGCGGGAATGTTTCTCTTGACTTCTCCTTTCCCATCCAATTCTCTTGTGAAAATTTTGCCATCGAAAGCTCTAGCGATCCATACTACAAATCGTTGTTTGCTGTTTGCTCTCTGGAGAAGTGATTGGTTGGCTGCCTTGTTCCTTATCTTTGTTGCTTATGGCCAACGTTTCAAGTGCATTAGTGGATAGTGTGATTACAGTAGCTTTTTTCCTGATATGATTTCACATTTACTTTTAAGTGATACGAAATCATGAGCTGCTTAGCTCGCTTTGGTCACTTGACATTTGACACTCAAGTATTGAACATCTCATATGAAATGCCTCTTGGTACAGTCTGCATCATTTCTTTTGAACCTAACCAATTTGCATGGACTTCCTTTCAGGCTCGGGTGCACGATGAGAGCTTAAGATATGCATTACCAGACCAAGCTGTTGTGTCTCTGGCAGCAAATGTTCCTACGAATCTGACCAAACTCTCTCAGCTTATTGCTCAAGTTGATCATGATGCTGATCCTGTGAATCCCAATTGTTTTCTTCCTCCTCTGTCACTTGTGGTCACGAGTCATTTGGATGATTTATTTTGCTTAATTCAAGAGAAAGAAAGCAATGGTCACGAGTCATTTGGATGAGAGATCTAACAAAAATTCACTGTTTCTACCTTTTCAGATTTCGGGTTTTAGTGCTGGTGTAAATGTATTACCATTTCATAATGGCAGACTGGCAGTGATTGAGTTGATGATGTTGATGAAGGAGATGGAAACCATGTGTTATGTTTCACTAATTTGTGGGGGAAATAAAATTAACTCAACGAGACTGCTTCTGTATCACTGAAAGAGAGACCGAGGCATTTTGATAAATCCAATAAAAATACTATAAAACACACCAAAAACCTTGTAATGTAAACCATAAATCTCCTGAAACATATCAGAAACACCATAAAACACACCACAAATGTTTCTAAAGCACACCAGAAACCTCATAATCCAGACTACAAATCGCCTAAAACATACTAGAAACACCACAAAGCAAACCACAACTATTTCTAAAACACACCAAAAACCTCCTAATGCAAACCACAAATGCGATATAACTAACCACAAAAAAAAGCATACTAGAAACCTCCTAAAACAAACCACAAGTCTCCTAAAACAAACTAGAAATTTCACAAAGCAAACCATAAATATTTTGAAAAGCACACCAGAAACACCCTAATGCAAACCACAAACACGGAAAAGCAAACCACAAAAAAAAAAAAACCAGAAACCTTCTAATGCAAACCACAAATACACAAATATATTAAAATAAACCAGAAACCTCACAATGCAAACCACAAAATTTTCGAAAGAAAATCATAAACGTCCTAATGCAGACCACAAATATATTAAAACAAACCAGAAACCCTTCAATGCAAACCACAAAATTTTTGAAAGCAAACCAGAAACTTCTCAATGCAAACCACAAACACGATAAAGCAAACCAGAAACTTCTCAATGCAAACCACAAACACGATAAAGCAAACCACAAAAGGCATACAAAAATATGAGAAACCAAACCATAAATCTCACAATGCAGACCATAACATCCGGTGGTCGTTGGTCGTTGACCGGTCAACGAAGTTCGTTGACCAAACTCCGATGACCGTCAGTGACCGGATTCCGGCGCCGATAAGCATATTCCGGCCCCGATGACTAGATTCCGATGCCGGTAAGCATATTCCGACGCCGGTAAGCATATTCCGGCGACGGTGAGCATATTCCGATGACAAAATAGCATATTCCGACGACAAAATAGCATATTCCGGTGACCGGCGACTGGTGGCCGCATTCCGGCGACCAAAAATTTGGGCAGAAAATAAAAAAAATATTTTTTATTTTTTTTATTTATTTTTTATTTTTTTATTATTATTTAAACATATTTTTCATAATGACAATTATACCCCTGCTTTGATTTTACACTAGGTCAACTCATCTAATAAAAAGTCATCACAATTCTAGATTCCTATTGGTTGAAGGCTAGTGTTGTTACAATAACAACACAAGGGGTGTTGTCACACTATCTAGTCCCCTATGGTAACTACTGTCCACCTCCGACGAGAAGCTACAGGAAGCATACCCTACCCCGTTACCACATCACCATCGCTGCCCTTTCTGGTGGAAAGAAGAAAACTTTGGAGTGGTGGTTCCACCTTCGAATCTCCTTCAAGATCAATTTTCAGTAAACATCACAATCGTCAAATATCAAAGAATTTGAGGCTCGAGCGATAGGGTATGAGACTTGATATAATTTTATTTTAAGGTCCGATTCTCATAGCCTATCATTTTGAAAAAGAATTATTTAATAGATATTGACAGAGCTATCAATCTGAATCGTCTACTCGGCATGAATTTGACGTATATTCCAAGACCAAAATGTTAGGATGGATTGAACAGAAACACTAGAATCGTTTAACATGGTGATTGTTATATGTTAGTGAAAGGCACAAGATCTATAATCGAATCTCTCTCAACAATTTAACTACCTTTCACAACTATTTCTCAAACTAGTCACCTAAAGGGTTTTTTGGACGACCACATTAGAATCTAGGCTCATTTGAGCCGTTCAAATTTCAAAACAGTCATGTAACTTTTTCTTTTCACAAAACACTTCTCAAAGTCCAACAAAACATGCCTTTCTCATGGCATAACATATTGATTGTATTCTTCCTTCTAATCCATCAACAATTTGATTATCGTTGAGGACGAAATAAAAGTTGTTTTGCTACTTCTGGCCATGGATTGGGTAGCTTAGAAAAGGACAACTGGTTCATGTATTCTTGTGACACTAAGTTTAGATAGTAATGGTATTTTGAAGTTCACAAACGTAGTTCGCAAAATAACATATGTCGCAAATTTGAAGTTTCATGAGGGTCATTACAGATTAATCCAATTCTAAAGTTTTAGTTGATAGGTAAATCCGCAAAATTCTCTTTTCAAGCCATCATCAACTATTGCCAAAACACCTTCTGGTAAAACTTCTTTAGCTATTTCATCATTAACTGCGGTATCAGATGCAGTATATTCCAAATTTTGGGCATTTCCTACCATGGTGGATTTGCAGAACTCATAGATTTTATTCGTCCTAAAGCTGCATGCTTTAGTCATCCTAAGGATTGTAATCCACTCATCTATCCTTTTGGATACATGCTTTTCACAATCAATATTGAGAAAAGCACGTGAACTTTTATGACCAAGTCTTAAAGGATTATCCTTGGGAAGGAAATCCTCCTGAGTCCTATGAGGATAATTTAGTTTAAACACATTCCCTCTTAGTGGTAACAAGTTCATTAATTGTTCAATCATCTATTCCAATAGAAACTTCTTCCATTAAACGCATAGATTTTCGGAGATCATTCGCTAAATGGTTAGTACTAGCATTAGCCATTCTCTTAGCCGGATCAGATATGTATTAGACCATTTTTTCTAGCATAAGCTTAAAAACATCTGATTCGAAAATTTTGTTTTAATTTTCAATTGCATGTAGCCGTTGATTTAAGATGGTTTGAACTCCATCTCCTTTCCTCCGTCTCTCAAATTCAGACATTTTTGTGGCAGTTTTATCAAATCTTTTGATCAAGACTTGAACCTCAGCACGTAGATGGACAAGACCAGTCAAATAATACTTAACATTTGAGTTGGAAGATTCATCTTTCGATACCATCCTTCGATAAAAATTGGTACTTATAAAACTTCTAAGGACCAAACTTTAAATGGGTAGTTGAGAAGTGGTGGATTGAGCCAGAGATTTGGCTATGTCGCTGAAATTTTTGCTATGTCACTCAAAAATTCATGTACGTGACTAAATTTAAAAATTTGATGGAAAGGTGGCTAGATTTATAAATATTTTAATTTTGGTGATTTTTTTTTTCAAATGCTAACGGAAAACCCTGCGCCAAGAAACAAAAACAAAAAAGCAATCGAAAAGGACTTCAACGAAAGCTCTCTAGTTTCGGGGCCACAAATGATAGTGCTGCATATTCGTGACAAATGATTTAAATGATTTAATAATGGCCCACTTTCTGTGTATAAAAATGATTAACAATACTCTCTGCTCGTTTCAATAGTATGCTCAGAAGGGCTTTTTTCCCCACTTTCACTAGTTATGGTCCGATGCTCTGTTCTTCGCGCAGCAGCCATGGAAGTGAGGTTTCCTGTTCTGGCGCTGATGCTCTGTTTTTTGCTGGGTGTGGGTTCGGGTAATCCTGTTTCCTTGCGGAGTGCGGATTCAGGGGTTTCTTCTTCGTTTCCTAGCAATTTCCTGTTCGGGACGGCTTCTTCTTCGTATCAGTTCGAAGGGGCTTACTTGTCCGATGGCAAAGGTCTCAACAACTGGGACGTTTTCACCCATACTCCAGGTACATGAAACGATCAAAGTCTACTCCTCTGTTTTTCTTTTTTACTGCTTAGTTTATACATGAATGTTAGTTTGGTGGTGGGCTTGAAACTAATTTGAATTATTGAGAGTTTGATAATCATGAATGATTTGATCATTATTGACACTGTATAAAATTCAATAATTGCATCAGACTAATCAATCAAATCAGCGTGTCACGTCTCAAAATGTGTAGTCTTAAAAGGGTCATGATCATAAGCTCATTTTGGACATGGTTCACTTTGAAGTTGAACGAATTCGTGTTCCATTGAGATGGCAGTTTAGAGAATTCAGCCTTGCTATAATCGATAACTTGAACACCTCAAATTTATTCTGGGTTTGGACCTTGAGGTTAATTTTACTTTAAAAAAATAAGGTTTAGAGTTGTGTAATTGTTGCAGGCAACATTGTGGATGGAACCACCGGAGACATTGCGGTTGACCACTACAATAGATATCAAGTACGGTAACATTTATGATAGTGTGATTGTTGACATCGATGTTCGAACTAACTTTATGTGTATTTGATGTTATTATCTCCGCTTCCCATTAGAACAACTCCTTAGAGTTATACTCGTATAATTGATGTTGAATGAGTTTTCTCTCTCTCTTACATATGAAAAACAGGAAGACTTGGACCTGATGAGTCATCTTGGCGTCAATAGTTACCGTTTCTCAATATCATGGTCAAGAATCCTACCTAGTGAGTTTCATTTCTTAAGCATATTTTATATAATTTGCAGTTTTATGGTAAGTAAATTTGTTTCAGTTTGATCACCTCATTCATAACCTTCTTTGTAGAGGGAAGGTTTGGAGGAGTAAATCAAGCTGGGATTGTTCATTACAACAACCTCATCAATGAACTTCTACAAAGAGGTCAATTTTCATACCCTAAAATCCCTGTGAAATTCAATCCATAAATTGTACCCTGAAATACCCTGTTCTGCTTTTCAATTCCAGGAATCCAACCCTTTGTCACATTAACTCACTATGACATCCCTCAGGAACTTGAAGAAAGATACAGAGCATGGCTAAGCCCCCAAATACAGTTAACTACTCTGTCTTTTCTTTTCTTTTCTTTGCTCTGCCTACCAGTGACCATATTTAAACTCGATGCTTTCCCAGAGAAGACTTCAGATACTATGCAGAAGTGTGTTTCAGCTCCTTTGGAGACAGAGTGAAGCACTGGGTCACATTCAACGAGCCCAACGTCGCAGCAATCAGGAGTTACAGATCAGGAATCTTCCCGCCATCGCGATGTTCTGGCTCGTTTGGGAACTGCAGCCATGGAGATTCAGGGACAGAGCCCTACATCGCAGGACATAACATGATCCTGTCGCATGCCGCCGCTGTCAACCTTTACCGTACCAAATTCCAGGTAACCACAGCCCAAATTTTCACCAAGGATGTCTCAAAGCATAACTCGTCGTGGGTACCCAATCGAATTCGAAAGCTTAGCTCTTTAATTAACCTTCTGCTGAAATTTAATGTACAGAAAGAACAAGGAGGCAGCATTGGACTGGTTCTGAATGCTTTATGGTATGAACCCATCAGCGATTCCACAGAAGATCAGTTGGCAGTGGAAAGAGCCCTGGCTTTCTTCATGAACTGGTAGGCAACTAAACAATAAATATGAACATTTTGTAGTGGGATGTACCTTAATTAGAAGAACCCTTGAACAATGTGATCATATGATGATTCCAGGTTCCTAGACCCTGCCATATTTGGAAGATACCCTGAAGAAATGCGACAGGTTCTCGGGTCGACATTGCCCGAATTTTCGAGCTACGAATCGAGGCTTCTGAAGAGGATAGGTCTGGACTTCATCGGGATCAATCACTACACAAGTTTCTACATAAAGGACTGCATGTTTTCGTCGTGTGAACAAGGTCCAGGAGCTTCGAAGACAGAGGGGCTGGCTTTAAGGCTTGAGCAGAAGAATGGTTCCTACATTGGAGAACCGGTATGAGAATGAGACTACATATAAACCGGTTCTTACGTTGAGGCGAAAATGTTGTTATTGTTCATACTTGTGCTTATCAAGTCGTTTTCTATTTTGTAGACCGCAGTTGATTGGTTATTCGTTTATCCTCGAGGGATGGAAAAGATTGTGACATATATAAAAGAGAGGTACAACAATGTACCCATGTACATTACTGAAAATGGTAAGTACCCATCAACAACTTGAACAAGTTTGTTTTTGTTAAATAAGGTTCCCTGTTAGGTCATGATTTTTTTCACAAATTGACTTGGAATTGCCATCTTTGCATATTGATCATGGAGCTAGGGTTTGGCCAGACTCGGGATATACTCAATGATGTCAGGAGAGTGGATTACATGACCAGCTACCTGGATGCACTGGAAACTGCAATCAGGTATCAAAAAAACATGAAACCTTGAAATAGGGATATGCATTTTTTCTTCTTCTTCGTATGATATGAAAATTTAATCCTGTGATAAACTTTAAATATGGGAAACATGCCAAGTTAGACAAAAGTGAGTAGTAGTTTGTTAATCATTTTGAGTTGACATATATAAAAATAAGGATCTACATAGGTTGGTCAAATTAGGAGTCTCTGATCTTCAGTGAGTGGCCAAACAAGATTATAAGTCTAATTACTTAGTTAAATGAACGTGGGGTGGGTCATAATAATTACAAGTCATTATGAACGAGGGTACGAGAGCCTGACCAACGATTAGGTCATTGGTTAATGGTGATTACAAGTAAGATCATCACGAGTCGTAAATCAGGGCAAGTCAATTTGAAATTATTCCCTCTATTCGAAGTTCTTAGCTTCAAATGAATGTCCAAATACACTACAAGTTTGACAACCACAAGTTTGCATGGTTAAGTTCACCACGTATTCTCGAATCAAACACAAATCAAACTATGTCGGATTGCAGGAAAGGAGCAGATGTGAGAGGGTATTTTGCATGGTCGTTGCTGGACAACTTCGAGTGGACGTCAGGGTACACGACGAGGTTTGGGCTGTACCAGGTTGATTTCCCCAGTTTGAAAAGAATCCCAAGACTCTCAGCAACTTGGTACAAGAACTATATTGAGAACTTCAAGGTTGTGACAAGAGGAGCTTCCTTCCTTTGACCTGGGCCTAACATTTTTGGGCTTGGCCTAGACCACATTTTGTTGGGCTTTTCTCTAAATCATGCTAAAATTGTATAAATAATTGATGTGGTTTGGCTTTGAACTTATAAGGCATCGAGTATAGGGGTGGCAAATAGGGTGAGGGTAATTAGAACTTCTCCCTCCTTCTACCTTAGTGATAGTAGAGTTTCATATACAAAGTACAGTTTTAGTATTCAAATTTATTTAGTGTCTAAAATTAATTTTGTTTACATAAGTCCTAACAATATTGATGAAAAATTATGTTTTAGAACCTAAACTTTTTCTCTTGCATTTTAATACCTAAATTTTTTAAAATTTACAAATAGCTCAACGGTTAAAGAAACTTCTGTTCTGGACTATTTTAAGAAACTTGTGGTCTGGAGTTTGTGGTGTAGATTTTGTTGTGTGGGTTTTGTGGCTTGTGGTCTGGATTTTTTGGAGTGGATTTTGTGGTGTGGATTTTCGCTTCTCCATATTCATTGCACAAGACACACGTGATCTCCCTTCCCCCAATTTTTATTAATGACCAGTAGGCCCTTCCGCCCCTGCCCCTTCATTAATTGTGGTCAACTCATTTAAATGGAAAAGTCATCCAAACGAAATGTTCATATTAGTTGGAGCTAGTGTTAGCACCATGGACCGTGCTAACAAAAAAAAAATTGTTAGCACACTAGTTCCTAACCGAATAGGATAGGGCGGATATGCATGTCCACTATTCAACCCAAAATGGTTCGGGTTTCACTCATATTTATACAAGAATTAGATATAGATTATTAAAATCATACTCATATTCAACCGTGGTTTGGGTATCCACGGATAACAATTTCTTCTTATAACTTCAACCAACATGTTAGCAACTATACGTATATACCGACAGTACATAAGTTAAAAATAACGACAATAAATTATAAGAACGAAGAACATTGGTTAAAACAATACAATCCATGAAACTATTATATATGTATGGAAAAAATCAAAGAAAAATATATATACATGTGTGTAATGGATAACTTCGAGTTGAATAGTGATAAAAACATACTCACTCATCACCCGCTATAGCTGAATACAGATTCTACCTGCTTATATTAGATTAGGCGGATATCCATGAATATGGTTATTTTTGTCATCCCTAACTAGTCAAATCCAGACAAATCCCTATGTCCGCGTTATCATTACCTAGAACCCTAGGATTTATATTTGTTTATATGAATGCATAATAGTATATTTTTTTAATACCAACTTGCTAAATTTACGTGTTAAAAAATGTATACCAACTAGCTAAACGTGTTTTGAGTTTGGTGATTTAATACTTACCACAAAATGGGCCGATTAGCCTTGGTCCATAGTCAAAGGTTTGAAGCCCTATTATCAAATAACAAATATTAATGAGGAAATTTCTCAATCATTTCAGTTCAGATAAGGTCATTTTATTAATCAAACTGAAGCTCTAATTGTGTTGTTTATCACTACTGATTTGAGTCGGTCTGAGATGGGTAAGAAAAAGATAATGTAGGATTGTACAAACCTTTCTCTAAATCAAGTGTATTTGCAAGACATGAACTCAAAACTTGATTAAAATTAGGGAAGTCGGTTAACTTAGCATGCATGTAAATAAAATATAATAACCCCAATTTTTTGGAGCAACTTTTTATACGATTTTACAAGTCGTAGTTATGAATTTTTTTTTTTTTTAGAAATCCCAATAATGCAAATCAATATTTAAACAGATTACTCTGTTATCATGTATGTATATGGAATTCACCAAAACTAGAAACCGTAAAAAGAATGATTACGGCAGCCTTTCCTATCCTTCCTACCTAACAAGGAGGAATATATGTTGTTTCTGAACCTATTTAAATTTGGTGGGATTTTAATTGATTTTATTATTATTTCTACCAACCTACAACCTCTCAAATTAATTAATTAATTAATTAAGACAATTGGGTTATGGATTTGGCTTCCTCCATATCAAATTGATCATATTGTCAAACTATTTTACCTGTATATTTAATTAATTCGTCGGACGGCGATCGAGTATCTTTAATTTGACCATTTAATCTCATTGTGGAAAGGTTATGATGATTAAAGACCGCGTGGAATTCATATCATAATCTTGACCTGACCTGAGTTCATGTTAACTTGTCTTTGTTTCTTGTCTTATTTTCAACGCCTAAACTTTCCTTCGATTAAGGTTTCCACCTTGTAGAAAAAAACTCAAAAAGGGATATGGTCGAGGATCTAGTTGGAGCTTTGCTGGCAGTTATTTAGGTATCTGCATGGACTGCATGCCTGCCTTTAGGGTTTTAGTCGGAGAAAGCTCAAACTTAACCGAAAATGAGCTTCTCAATTTTAATATTTTTTTTAAATAATAGATTAAATGAGTACCTAACTACCTATATATCCTTCGTTCGTAACCAATCGGGATTCAGAGAGCTCATGAGGATCATATACACTTCAGGTATAAAGGCGAGGATCTGCTCCGCAATCGAAAACCAAACGCGATAAAGAATGCTCTCGACTAGCCAAATGGTATATGACTCACTTATTACCCTCGCAAACGAATATCATGTGCTTAACAAATGCGGATTATTGGGATTCAAACAAAAAACCTCACGATGACAAAAGACTATGATACCACATGTCAAGGAAAAAAAAATTAGTTTATCTCAATAATTCGAATCATTAAGAGAGATTCAATTCTAAATATTATACCATTTACTAATAGTTTGCACTATGCACATAATATCGAAAGTTTAAGTTTGCACTATTATACCATTTACTTAGGTAGTTAATAAAATATAGTAACATTTGAGTTTTGGAGTTTCCATAAGAAGAATCTCACCACCATGGATTCCAAATAATTAACGCCGGTATCATTATAATAAAAAAATAAAAAAAAACTCGCAAATTCCATCAAAGCTCTCTGCTCACATCGCCACAATAGAACAGTTTGTGCCGGCCGGCCGGCCGGCCAACCTATTAATTAATTTACAGAGCTTAATCTTTGCTTTAATGATCTAAATACGTATAGTAGTTTCTGTTGGAGATGTGACTCGACAACGATTCATGACATGTCCACCTAAACCTAATTACGAAACTTATCCAAAACGATAAGTGATTATCATCAACAACCACCGATTACAACACTAATTAGCAGGTGGGGGCATTAAGTCCTAGCTATAGCTCGATGTGTTGTAATGGAGCGGAATGGCTTCATTAGAAAAAGCGAAAAATCGACAATGTAAGATAGTAAATAACACACATATTTATGAAAGTTCACTAATTTGATTGTGTGTTAACAGCATTCACGAGCAGGAGAGACCGGTTTCAACTATATATACTTGAGCAAATACAAATTACAAAGAGATAAGAAGCTATATATATATCGTACTTTATATGTTCCAACTCGAATCTAAACTGGAAAGGAAAAAAATGATGTTACATACCAGACCCAAAACAGTGAAACAAAATGTGTAATTAAATAAGCCCATACAACCAGACCTTCGCGTGACTTGCAGTCGACAACGGCAGATAAATAATGCCTTCAAGTAATAGCAACACGATACGATTCACGCGATATACCGATTGTCGAGGCATTATTGTGAGCACCACCCAATGTGGAATAAATGTGTCAAGGAGAAAATTTGCAAGGTCGACGACGAGGATGAACTTCCTCCCACATGAAATTTACATCGAACTTACAAGAAAATAAGGAACACACTTGCAGAAACGAAGAGAGAATTATAATTTCTCAAGTTCAATTTGGTCAAACGTAGGGCTTTTTTCCCACTTATAACACACTGTTTTTGTGGTACTACTTTTCTTCTCTCAATATATAATTAAAACCAATAAGCTTTGGAATCTGTCTTGACCCAGTCAGAGCCTTATCTAATTAATAAAATAAAAAAACCTAATCCTAACTGGGTCAGGACTAGCTAGCTACTATTACCTCGCAGTTTCATAGAACTGCGCTACCAACCACACAGCCGTGTTTTCTTTTGGCTGCCGCCCCTCTATATATATACCTGTAAAGTTGGTCGATCAGGAGAAGAAAAAAAAAAGCCATCAACCCACCAAAACAGAACAAACAAACAAAGGAGGCAAAAACCAAACCTTTTTTCTTCCCAAAAAAAAAAAAATCGAAACGCATCCACCATCGACAACAGTGACTAAGTCGAAGCGACGACGTACAATGAGAGCTTCTTCACCGTTTCTTCTTGTGATGATGGTTGTCTCCTGCCTGTTGCTTCCTTCCCCGTCCGTCTCCTTCAGCCTGAAGTCGGCCAAATCCTTCCTTCGTCGTCGCACCAGCGATTCTCCATTTCGCGACGACTTCTTGTTTGGAACTGCAGCCTCGTCGTATCAGGTATTGTTGATTCGTTGCTCTCTTTTTTTTTTTTCTCTCTCTCTTTGAAAAGATAAAAATGATGTTGGCTAGCTTGTTAGTTGTAATTTGTGACCTCTCTTCCCTGAATTCCCTTGTTGGGATTTGCAGTTTGAAGGAGCTTATTTGAGCGATGGGAAAGGGATCAGCAATTGGGACGTTCACAGCCATATCCCAGGTACGACCAAAAAAAAAAAAAAAGCTTTGTTGACTGATGATCATGATAATAATATTAAGGCAATGCAAAGAGCCGCCATGGACGGTTTTCTTCTTTGTTTCTGATTCGTTTTGGTTCCTCCGGCGCAGGCAAGATCGTCGATGGAAGCAATGGAGATGTTGCCGTCGACTCTTATCACCTCTATCAGGTAACTAAATTGATACGGCCAAAAGTTGCCTCCTCCTTTACGATTTGTTTTGTATTTGGTGTCGTGACTTTGAAAAAAAAAAAATTTGCATATATGACAAACATAAATCCACAAATACAACATATTTCTTTATTCCGTGCGCATGATAATAATTCGAGGGTTACTTGGAATTCATTAATATCTGACAGCAGGGTTTTACGAGTGATGGATCACAATAAAATCGTCTGGTTGAATTGACGATTACAAATTCATACATATAAAAAAAAAACTTAAGCGAACAAAGGAACGATCTAGTGCTGTATCGCCGCTGATCCTAAAACATGTGGAGGATCTCAGGTTTCAAATCGATAAATAACACCTGACAACAAACAAACAAAAAATCAACATATGTAAGAATTTTTTTATATATATAATCAACTTAATTATTTTGGAGGTGTAGCAATTAGCAACCCAACTTATCTTTTAAATCAACTAGCTAGACAAACCATCAACTTGTACCATATACTAATTAAGAAATGTTTTCATAAAATATTATGTGTTTCTCCTTATGTTTTATGAAACATTATTAACATGAGAATATAGTAGAGGGTCCTTGATGACTAGGATTCACCTACCCTTTTTCCCAATGGTGTCAAAATGGGTCTAATCCCAAACCCTACCAACTTTTGGGAGTGGTTGAGATTCTTTGTAGATTTGTGTTCTATTTTCTTTCTATTTGGTAGGGTAGGGACGTTGGTGATGGAACTCATTGGTCATTATCCATTCTACAAGTACAACCAAAAACAAAGAGAATAAATTAGCCAAATCTTATCCCTAATTAGGTGGCATATTAGATCGTTTTTTTTTTCTTCCTTCTTTCAAACCCATTATTTGGTTAATTGTAATCCCTTTTCCTAAATTCCACAAAGTATGTAATTGGCTGAGAATAATTTCTTTGGTATGTTATGTTAACAGGAGGACATTAAGCTAATGAAATCCCTTGGAGTCAATAGCTACCGGTTCTCCATTTCATGGGCACGGATCCTACCTAGTAAGTGTTATTTTTCTCTCTCTCAAAATGGGAATGTTGTAATATTCATTAGGGTAAATTCGTTCCCAATACATGGACGGTGTTTAAAATAATAAGGTGACTGATTTATCATGGTGAATCATGCAGAAGGGAGATTCGGAGAAATAAATCAAGCTGGAATCGCATACTACAACGAGCTCATCGATGCTCTCGTGCTTAAAGGAGTCCAACCATTTGTGACTCTCTGTCATTTTGATATGCCCCAAGAACTGGAAGAGCGATACGGGAGTTGGCTGAGCCCCGAAATTCAGTAAGTCAACCAATATTATATATTCATATACCATCTAACGGACTCAATTCGTTCCAATAACGACACTACTAAAATATAAGTGAAATCAAACTATTATGTGTTCATTATTGATGAGGCTTATGTTTCTCTATGCAGGGAGGATTTCGGATACTACGCTGACGTATGCTTCAAGTACTTTGGCGACAGAGTGACGTATTGGTCAACTTTCAACGAACCAAACTTCCAAGTTACATTCGGTTACCGTGATGGCACTTTCCCGCCATCCCGCTGCTCGGGGCACTTCGGTAATTGCACGGCCGGAGACTCCGAAACGGAGCCGTTTATAGCCGCCCACAACATAATCCTTTCTCACGCCGCTGCCGTCGATGTCTACCGCACAAAATACCAAAAGGAACAGAAGGGCATGATCGGGATTGTACTCCACTGCGCCTGGTTCGAACCGTTCAGCGACTCGGAAGCCGACAAGTTGGCCACGGACCGGGCCAACGCCTTCTTCGCGAACTGGTTCTTCGACCCGCTCGTATTCGGTCGGTACCCAGAGGAGATGGCCCGGATTCTCGGTTCGACCCTGCCCGAGTTCTCGAGCAAGGATATGGAGAGGTTGAAGCAAGGGCTGGATTTCTTGGGGATCAACCATTACACGAGCTACTACGTCAAGGATTGCATGTACTCTGCTTGTGAGCCTGGGCTCGGAACAACAAGGAGTGAAGGTTTCTTCCAGCAAATCCAGGAGAGGAATGGATTCCCAATGGGGAAACGAGTAAGCTTTTTTCTTCTCCCTTCAAGTTAACATTTTCGACGAATCGTACTACTGGTTCAATCGCGTATCAGAAACTGTTCGATACGAATTTTTTTCGTACTGATATGGCAATGGGATTTTGCAGGGTGATTTGGGTTGGCAATACGTTTACCCACAAGGAATGGAGAAAATGGTGACATACTTCAAAGACAGATACAACAATGTACCCATGATTATCTCCGAAAACGGTAAGAACAATCGTCGTTAGAGTCCGATTAATAGCATCTAGGGTTAATCATTTTGGTCATGGAACTAATTTGGGGCAACTAAAAAAACAGGGTATGGTGAGATGAACAGCCCAATGCTCACTACTGGAGACTTTCTCAACGACGTGAGAAGAGTAGAGTATATGTCCGGGTATTTGGAATCACTCATGGCTGCAATCAGGAAAGGTGCGGACGTGAGAGGGTACTACGCGTGGTCGTTGCTCGACAACTTCGAGTGGACCAACGGATATACTCAGAGGTTCGGGATCTGCCACGTGGATTACGTCACTCTGAAGAGAACCCCGAAGCTATCTGCGAAATGGTTCAAAGGATTCATCGACAAGTATGGCAATGCACCCAAAGCCCTAATGTGAGCAAACGGGGATCAACCAATGTCACACAATCAGAAGAAAAAATTATGTTTATTTTTTCATTTATTGATAGGGCATAGGTGATGTTGACCCCAATGTTTAAAATCGGGGTCGCTTAGAAGTTCTTCACTGTACGTTATCACTAGACCAACCTTGTAATTATCACTAGAGGAAGATGGCAAAAGATTTAGTGCATTGATTGTAAAATATGATAATGATATGGAATCGATTGATTGGTTCATTGTTGAAAGCAAGCAAGCACATTGACTGCGACAAACAATAATCAACAACATAGCAGAAAATACTATTGTTGGCTCTAAAGTTTGAACTCGGCATTAGTACGACCATCATTATCACTAAACCTATTTAGGGTGAAGATAAAAGAATACATTATCACGGGAGAAAGAAAGACAGGAAAAATATGTAATTCTATATGGATTCATTGTGAGCCATGATAATGATATGAAACTGGCTGATTGATAACCGCAAGAAAGATTCTCTTCAAGAAACTTCATGACAAGAGTATAAGCTTTTGTACCTTTTCTTGGTAAGAATTTCCCGACTTAAGATTCCTGCGACAAGCAATTGGTCCCTTTACGAAAAGGTCTATTCTGCTCTGTCCATTTCGCTTGGTTGGTGAATTTGGATGCAAGCTGCTGTGTTTTTTCCCCCGTCATCTCCACCAGGGGGATCCGGCCTCATAGCTATATTCGCCTTCTTCCCAAGAGATTTGACAAGCCTGGAGACCAATGGCGGCAGTTGGTTCTTTGCCGTGAAGTGCAATCCATTCTTCCACGGCTATTTGGTAATCGTCTTCATCGTTGCTGGTGTAGTGGTGTCTGTGCTTCCCGAATGGGTTTAGCCCCGGACTGGCTAGCTCAGCAACTGCAGCAGGCATGTACATCGAATCGCCAACCAAGGGGGCGCCACAGGCAGCTAGCTGAGCTCGAATCTGCACCACATTAGCAACAAGTAAAGATGGTAAATGTATGGGTCAATTTAAACAGACCAAAATTTTTAATGTTACAACTACGCACATACATATTCGAGTCTTAAACTGTTACCGCCTAACCTTTACGACTTATAGAAAGAACTGGTTCAACACTAACACTGAGTAGCTAAACGTTTTGGGTCTTACACTAGCACATAACTTCCACAACTTTATCAAATTTGTCCAAAAATTAAATCCAGCTTTTGTTCTGCCATGTGCCAAGTGAGTCCCGACGATGGAAACTACATTCACATATCCATCTTCTCGCTATTAACAAACTAATAAATGTCAGCCATCCTACTTTAGCATGCAAGTCTTCAGAAGAACCTTACCCAACAGTCCTTACGCCTGACAAATTACCAAGAGGATATCATTGATTCTCAACGATCTAAGAACAAAAAAACTACAACAGCCCAAGGAGTGAATGCATGAGCCCATTTTAACCTTACTTCAAACCCAGTAACCCAACTAATTTGGGACTCCAGCACTAGCAATAAGAGAGCAACAGGGGGCAACAATTTATTGAGTGATCTGCGGGTAATGTTGAAGTACTGAACGGAGAAAGAACAGAGATTTATGCAGAGCTAACCTGATGAGTGCGACCAGTCAAAAGATTAATCCTGCATTCGTACGCTTTGTCTCTCGTGGGCCACCCACAGTCTTCAACACAATTCCTTTCTTCGATCGATGTGCTCGGCCAAGGGACCTCCTTGCATTCGATAACTTCAAGTTGACACAATTGCCACCTATCTACATGCTCTGCAAGCATTATTAATTACGGGGTCAAGTTTGAACTGCTAACGTGGAAATTGTTTTTTGTTAAAGTACATATAGAATGCTGCTAACATGTGTGATCTGATATATATTCAGATGAACGTCAAGAGCTATGAAACGTTGGTTGTTCTTAAGTACCTTCTGAAACAAGACGTGGAGCCTTGTTAATTGGACGCATGTAGTGGGTAATTACACCAGTTGGCAGTGGAGATGAGGTGAGAGCAAGATAAAGTTTCTTCACCTGTTTCTCCTGACAATAAGATTGGATGCATATATCAATCACTCTCCGAGTTTCTATCAAAACCAAACTTGCATCATTGGTCATCAACGTTGCATTCTGGAAATCAGAATCCCCATAATCAAGTTGCAGTGTCGATTTATGAATGATTTCCACTCCCAAATTCAGTACCAATCCCAGCTAAGGCAGCTTGGTTGAGGGACTTACTCTAATTTTCTGATGAAAAATTGAGCAGTATTCCTTAGTCCTAGCTAACACCACACTGTACATGAAGCAAGAGGTCTTTATCCAATCACTTACACACAAACTACAACAACAGCATCGAAAAATCAAGTGAGAATAATTACCAGCCTTCCGTGCAATTATCTATCTGATGAGTCGTCTTCAATGGTTCTGTTAACCCCAATGCACGAGTAGCAAATGTTGCACAGCTTTCTTCAATGTTGTCAGTTGTTCCTCCTACCTGAATAGCATTGAAAATGATGAGCAAGTGCCATTTATATGGATAACTGTTTTCAAAATTTTCAAGTACACAATCATATACTAGGTACTTAGGTACGTGTATCCATGCTCAAAACAAGATTCTGCATGGATTCTGTTGTTTATATCTTGTTTAAAATGCCTTATTTTGAGCAAACAACATTGACCTAAACAGGCATTAACAATACTGAAAGAAAGCATCATCACACATCTAAAATCATAAGAGAGCATCTATGCAAACCATTTGGTCATCAAAATCTGGAATTCCTCCATCCAAATGAATGTAACTGCAACCAAATGATTAAACTACGTACCGACGTGCCAGCAGGTTTATCCAAAACAACATAGGAGTCAGCTACAGCTATAATTCTCAATCTCCAATCAATTTCATAGCACCTGCAAGAAAACCAAACTGTCAATAACCATCACGACACTCAGAAAAGTACAGTCACCCCCTACACCAAATCGAGACTGTTCCTCACCTAGGGAAGCGCTTGGGATGCACATGAACACGTAAATACGTTCCAGCCTCAACGAACTCATCGGGACGAGTTATCCTGAAAGTCTTCTGTGCTTCTCGGACCGTCTTCCCTTTAATGCAACCTCTTTTCTTCAGAACAGAAGGTGCTGTGACCTCTTTGAATATCCTAATCTGCTCCGGAGTTGCTGTTGGTGGCGGCTGTGGGCATACAAGGGCATAATGTACAGCTCCGAATTGAATGAGATCTGTAACAAACCTTCAAAGCATTTTATATCGAAAAAAATTGAAGATCTTAAAATCAATTTGAAAAAAACAAACAAAATTTGGGATGACCTAAGAACAAGAACTTACAGTGGAGGAAGTTCAAGAGCCTTGCAGATAAAGTCTAGAACTTTAGCATCTTCTGAAACTACAAGGTGCTCGACTCTGGGAGGGAAATTGTAAATCGGGCATGGTAACAGCCGATTGTACTCTGGATAACTGGTGGAAACATAAAAGGGAACTGAAATCAGCAAGTTTGCAGAATTCAATTTAGCAGTAGTCTAACAATGGCGCTAACTATCAAAGAGAGAAAGATGAATACGCGGGGAATTCGGAAATGGCGGTGGATTGAGCGACGTCCGCTTTCGAAGATGCGCAGCTGATATGCCTGTGGTTTGAGTTTGATTTCGAACGAGCTGGAGCGAACTTGTTGCGGTGCCTGTGTAGTAGAGAACGGCCGCGAGTGGAAGCTAGTGTGCGCCGGAGGGTTGACGGCGCGCTAATTAAGCTTCGGTGACTGACGACGAATATTGAAGATAGGTACAGGGAAGCCATTTTCGCCGGTGAGGAGGTACAGCAAAAGAAAATACCGGCGCAAAAAAAAAAAAACTCGCGGATAGGTTTTGAAAAAGATGACGGGTTTGGCGGGTCGGGTTGCGACGGTTCCTGGAAACGGCCATTCATTTAAGGGCTTTTGAAAGGCCCACGAGGTCCAGAGTCAAGGTTGTTATGGGGCGGAATTGGGCCTTCTGTGATCCATTCCTTGGCTTTAAAAATCTTTAGCAAACTGACGCAAGAGATGAATAATAACATGATCGAAAGAAGCCATAACATTTTGTGGTGCTTAAATGTTTTATTTTTAATTGGATCTAGACCAAACATAGGCAATGAACATTTATTATTTTTAAGTTAATTTTAATAAGCATGGTCTTAACTCGTAAATATGGACATAGTTTTGATGTCAATCTGATCGCTTCAACCGAGAATTTATTTAGACCAGCTTTTCAAAGAATGTCGCATGCGCCTTATCGAGTGGGATTGCGCTATACAAATGGTATAAAGGTTGGGGATTTGATTAATCAAGCTATATATCAATATATGTGAATTTGACTAATCAAGCTAGATATCAATATTCTTAGATATATTTAATAAATATTAGTGTTTACAAGTACGAGAGTCGTTCTTTTCAACAACAACAAAAAAGTACGAGATTCGTTAACTTATTTCCCCACATATCAAATACAAATCAAATTTCAACGTGGTTGTAACTTGTAAGAAGTTGATTGAAGTTTTGAACTTGCTTAAGAAAAATTGTAAATTAATCAATCAACCAAATATATGATGGAGTTTTAAGAACCTCTTTTCCATTAATTTGAATTTCCTCTCGTGAGAGTGATTGTAAGAAGGACAAACTAAATTTTTTAACAAAAAATAAAATATTAAAAATATATAATAATCAAACTTCCAGCTAACTAGAGTGTTCCACGTGACAAGTTCTCTCCCCCTTCATTTTTATTCCCCATTACTTTTAAAAAGCTCATATCTTCTTCATTTCAACTCATATTTGAATTTTTTTAGGTAATTAATATTCCCATTGAAGCACACTTAGTCGAAACAGATCAAGCCTTGAAAAAACTTGGAAGCATAGCCAAGGGTTATGCACCATATCCTATACCGAAAGCGCGAACACTTGTGAGCAAATATAATTGACAGTAGCATATTGTGCTAAGTTTTCGTCGGATCCTGCAACACAAGTACGTGTTTACACCAAACCTTATAAGTTGTTTAGCTATCTAGATCGGGTAAGCCGAAAGTATAATACTCAAAATCCCAATTATAATTATAAAATCTTACGATTTTACGATTTCACTTACATATTCCGATCCTGATTTCATTAGGAAATCTAGGGACCTTAAAAATTAAAATCCTACCCTATTCAAAATTTGAATCCTTAAAATATTACAGTTTCTAAGCATTTTAACGATTTTAAGGCCCATGTTGAATTGATTGAATTTGGACAAAATCGAACCTAATTAAAGGAATGTGATCAATCTTTGGTCAGTCAGCTTTTTTTCCTTCTCCTCTATCCACATTATCTAATTCTCTTTCACTGTCAAATTAAAGACCCATTTTTTTGACAATATGTGATTTCAATTTCATCAACGACAAAGTACAAGCAAAGCCATATTACAACATCGAATCAATAATATTAAGCACTTGGATCCAATCTTGGGGGAGAGATCCGTTTGCCGCTTCTTTTGCCACCCAATATGCACTTCTGTTACAAGATTTTGGGTTATAGTAGATAGATAATCCGACTTTCACTCTGAGCAGATTGCGTATCCACTGAATCCAAGCTCTCACTTGCCAAGGACATACTTTATGCTGATCTTGAATGATATCCACAAGCACCTTACAGTCCGAGAAGATAGAGGCTGAACCGTGGAGGGGAACTGCTGCTCTCACCGCCGTCAATAGAGCTTTTGCTTCCGCAACTATCGCTGCTGAACAGAAGAAAGTGCCAACACAACCATCCACAACTTGTCCATGGGAGTTCTTAATGATGACCCCATAAGCCGCCACCTGTGATTCCGATCTAAAAGATCCATCACAGTGAATTTCCCACTGGGAAGAACTAGGCGGTGGGCAAAGTGTGTTATGGTTAGAGAGGTGTTGGGCTTGGACACCGAGGGGGGTAGGATGCTGAAGGGGAGTCGTCCAGAAAGAGAAATCTCTAACTGCATTTGCTGAAGTCACTGTAGGACGGGGGATGACACCTTTGAAGACTCTCTCGTTCCGGGCCAACCAGATTGCCCAAAGGCAAGCCACGACCCCAGGTATAGAGACCGTAGGGGAAACTACACAGTTAGACAACAACCACATAACAACAGACGTCTGGTCCTGGGGAAAAGAGAGCGAAGGCTGAAGGATCTGTCAAACTCTAGCAGCGTGAGGACACTGGAAGAAACACTGCCACACATCCTCCACATCCCCTTCACAGACATCGCAAAGCGGGGAAGAACTACATTTTCTATGCCAGAGATTCCCCTTTGTAGCAATCGCATTCCTCGATATCCTCCACAGAAAAGAGAGAATCTTTGGAGGCAAAGAAAGACTCCAAAGCCATTTCCAAGCTTTTGAGGTGCAGTTAGGATGATTCGGATTTGGGGTCCCCAACCGATCTCTTTCTGACTCCCTGAAAATATGGTAGGCTGATTTCACTGAAAACAACCCTGATCTCTCAAAGTGCCAAACCCAATCACCATCAGAAGAATCCGTGCCAATTGGGATTCTCTTAATAGCCTCCACTTCATCCGAAGAGCAGCTTTGTTGGATAATGTCAAGGTTCCATTCACACCCATCATCCATAACCCATTGAAAAGCCCACAGTTGTTGCCTACTCATCGGCTGCAACTTAAAGTTGGGGATACCTGGAATCCAAGGGTCTTTTTCCAATGAAATCGATCTTCCACTTCCCATGTTCTTTCGAGCCCCCAACTTCAAGATGGATTTTGCTTCACAAATGCTAGACCAAATCCAGGATGGCCTCCTACATTTCTCAGCCTCCATAAAATCACTATTACGAAAATAGAGACCCTTGAGAAGCTTTTTTTTTTGACAAACGACCCTTAAGAAGCTTGATCCATGTCTCTTCCTTCCCATTAAGAATTCTCCATCCTTGCTTCGCCAACAGGGCCATATTGAATTGATGAAAATCCTTAAACCCCATACCTCCTTCCTGCTTAGGAGCCGTTAAAACGCTCCCTTTTCTCCATGGGATTGCCTTCTTTTCCATGTCCCCTCCCCAAAAGAAAGCATTGAGGCGGGAGTTCATCTATCCTATTCAAAGTGAATAAAATGTTAAGATTTATTATAATGAAGAAAAATACTAAGACACTTCACCCAAGAACTGATAACCCATAATAATTTACATAGTCCAAATACTTGTACTAATGATCTTCCTATAGAGACTTTGTTGTTGCGAGCAACTACTCTACAAAGTTTATACATTTGTGTTGAATTGGAATAATAATCTTGAGAAATTATTATATCGCATGTTGTGTGTCTTAGTTTTTATCACGATTTACCTTTTTAATATTATTTGATATTTGTTTCAAAATGGAAATTAAAATCTTACGATTTTACTATTTCGATTTTACCCATTTTTTTTTATGTAAAATCCTGCTTTGATAAACAAGACTTTCTTCCTGTAGTTATTCCTTTAAGTGCATAGTTATAAAATTAAAAAATAAGAAGTGCATTGAATGAGGGCATGTTTGGAGGGAGTATAGAACAAATTGTGGCTTGAAATAGTTTCGATGAACGGGTCATTTAGTTTTGGTAATTGTTTGGTTGAAATAGTTACAATGCATCGATTTTTTTAATTTCCGCACAAACAATACATGCATTGTTTGTTTGATGTGACACAAACTATCACTCAAAATGGGTGATAGTTAAATTTCAAGTTTTTTTTTTTGGAATTGTTGAGGTTGCTTGATTTAGATTGTTGTATTTTTTTTTCTTCCAATTATGTCCTATCTTTTCATGTGTGTTCTTTTTAATATAAAAAACATTGGGTAAAAGATATTTCATCCAAAAGTAATATAACTTATTTAAATAACACGATAACTATCACAAAACCAAGGTTGTCAAACCGGTTTGTGCCAGTGTGCCAATTTAGCAAGTGGAATGGTTCGACCGGTGGTATATACCGGTTTGTGCCGGTTAATATTACAAATAATTACAAATACTCATATTTAAACACGACATTTAACGTCGATACCTAAATATTTGTACTTGAATCCAACATCAACATTTAACTTTTTAACAATAAAAAGTTACTTTTTATCAATTAAATTCACTAAGATAAAATCATTTTACTTGGAGATTCGTATATCGATAATGCCGGTCATACCAGTTTTGTAATCGGTACAGGTTGAATCAGGTTCAACCAGTGGCACACCGGCGGGCGTGACAACCATTCACAAAATCAAAGGAAGTAAACTACAATACACTAATTATCGTATATACATGTATATTATTATGAATGCATTGATAATAGAAAATACATTTATTCAACTATCTCTAAAACCAAACCGACCCGAAAAAGTAAGTGAACTAGAGAGACCGTCCGACGAAGAAGCTTTGAAACGAAAGAACAAATCAACGCGAAAGAAAGACGACGAACGAAAGAAAGAAAAACACAGTTGAAGCGAAATTTTCCCCCATTTCTTCCTTCCTCGTCTCACTCTGCGGCGGACTCCCGCCATTAATCCGAAACTCGACCTCCAAACCCTAATCCCGAATTCCTTTCCAATGCCATAACGATATAGGCAGAGAGGAATCCCTCTCGGCCAAAATAGTATCGTCGGTACCCTGAACGTTTTCTCCAGCGGGATGATGAATTGTTGAGTCGGTAACCGCTCCGATCAGATCGGAAAGGCCCGGTCGAAGTTCTCTGAGATTCCTGGCGCAATGTCTTGGGGATTAGGATGGAAGCGGCCTTCGGAGATCTTCCGTCTGAGTCTAAATTACGGCACGGAGGAGTCATGGGAAGATCCTAACCGTACGTCGAGCTCCTCGTCGGGTTCGTCGTCGTCTTCGACGATTCCGCCGCCTTTGGATCCGGACGGTGGATTCCGCGTGGATTTGGATTGGACGGCCGGAGACGACGAGGATCAGTTGGCGCTGAGGCTGCAGTCGCAGCTGATGGTGGCGCTGCCGATGCCGCAGGATTGCGTGACGGTGGATTTGACGACAAACGAACAGCGGGATGGAGAGAGAGGGATGGTGGACGGCAATGTCGTCGGAGTGGAGATGAACGTTGTGAAGAGGAGGGAGCCGCTGCGAGGGATCACTGTGTCGAAGGAGGGTACCGGCCAGCAGAGCGATGGCGCCGGCGTTTTGACGAGATTGTTGAGGTCCAATTTAGCTTCTAGTGGACTTGGGGATGGTTCGGTATCGCCTGTGCCGATCATTGGAAGACCGTCACATTGCTTAGCCTCTGCGGTTGTAGTTTGACGGTGCGAACTCGATTAATTTTTTCCGCCATTGAAAAAGGG